CACAGGGAAGAAGGGAGGGGTGGAGAAGGAGAATTTCAGAAGTGAATGGTATGTCATGACTTTGCTATATTCTAATGGTGACAGAGATCAAGTCCCATACAGTGTTTGAAGGTATTGCTCATAAAACGTGAGTATCAGAAGATGGGGATCATTGGGGAGCATCCTGAAGGCTGGCTACTACACTTACTTATTTAGTATTATTTTATTCTAAATTAAAAGGGACCCCTAATTTCTTTTGGTATGTGTTTTCACTGAGTTCCACAAATGCAAACTGCAGTAGCTATGTAATATAAGTAACTCCGATTCCAGAGGCTAGGCAGATGGCTCAGTGGACATAAAAGGCTGGACACAACAGTGTACACCGGTCGTACCGAATGAGATGGAGGCAAGAGGGTCTTTGGAGCTCAGTGTCCAACCAGACCAGCAAATCATGAATCTCCAGGTTCAGTGACATGCCCTGTCTCAAAAGATAAGATTGAAGACTGAGACGGGAGGGCCAATGAGACGGGAGGCCAATGAGACGGGAGGCCAATGAGACGGGAGGGCCAATGCAATATGGAATATAGTATGTTTACTTACCAGAGAAAGAGAGAAAGAATCACACAAGCTGGGGAACCAGAAGCGTGGCAGGCTTCCAAAGAGGGCTTCCTTTTATCTTCACCTGTGCTAATTTCCTTATCTCCACCCTTAGGGGCGTGAAGAGTTTTGTGGGCTCACCCCTACAGAAGAACACACTTGACAGTGACCTCTGACCTCCACATGCAACAACACACAAATAACGTGACTTTCTGGGCACCACTCACAGTAAAACTCCCAAGAAAGTGAAACACAATTTTCCCACCAAGTTCACAGTGTTTGCATCGTGAACGTGTTAGCATAATTAATAGCATGCCAATGACATGCTGCATTTACGTGTCATGTAATTCCGTGGTAGGCTTGGATAATGAGCAGGCTTTTCATTCATGTGACTGTTTGGTGGGACATTTGCAAGTCAGGTGAAGCAAGGAGAACTTCCTGGTTGTGCTTAACTGCTCTGAACACTGACAAACACTTGGCATCCTGCCTGGGGTCAGACATTCAGTCCCAAGTAAGCACACAGAGGCTTACATTAGCTATGAACTGGCTCAGGCTTCCTGGCCAGCTCTCCTTGAGTATTAACCCATTTCTATTAAGCTCTGTATCTCCACGTGGTCTTGGCTTATTGGACAATGCCCGGGCGCCCTATCTTCCTGGAAGCCGCATGGTGTCTCTCCTTGACTCTGCCTACTCCCTTTCTCTATCCCTGTTTGGATTTCCAGCCTGGCTACATCCTGCCTGCCCACTGGCCAAAACAGCTTTATTCATCAACCAATAAGAGAAACATATTCACAGCATACATACAGAAGGACATCTCCTATCCCCCCACCCTGCCCGCCCAGCCCCCCCAAACCCACCCTTGTCATCGTGCACTGCTGACTGAACTATCATTTCTTTACTTAGTAGCAACGTGTTCTAATTCCCACTAGTGCATCCAACACCATGAAGGCTCAATAAATCACGACGTGGAGCCAAATTCAATGTTTTGGAGAGAGGTCTTGAAGATCCAGTAATAAGCAGGTGGAGAAAAAGATATACAAGAACACCTACGATGTGGTCACATTAGAGAAAGAGACTGTCTATATAAATCCTGCATATAGATTACAAATGTTTGAAATGATACTGCAGTACCAGGATAATAGCCCCCTAATATGCCCATTTCCTAATCCACAGACTCTGTAGATATGTTAATTTACTGTATTAGTTACTTTCTTTTGCTGAGATTTTTAAAACACCATCACCAAAACCACTTTATGGAGTAAAGTTTTATTTGGGCTTATGGTCTCAGAGGGATAAGAGTCCATTGTGGCAGAAAGGCTCTGTTGCATGAGCAGGAAGCCAAGAGACCCCCACCCTCAAGGGCAAACAAAAGCAGAGATGGTGGGCCGGCAGTGGGGAGAGGCCATAACCTCTCAAGGCCCGCCCCTCTGACTAACTTCCCCCAGCCGGGCTGCGTCGTCACCTCCATAAACAGCAACCCCACAACTGCGGACCACGTGTCCAAACACCCAAGCCAATGGGGGACAGTTTTCATTCGAACACCAAAGTTACAAAGAGAAAGGAAGGTAAAATTCCAAACGGGATTGAGGCTGCTACTCAGTTGACCTTCAAGCACACAGTTTACGTTGGATTATGTGGGTCGATCCAACGCAATTACAAAGGGTGTTCACAGGGGAAGAGGGAGGCACAAGAGAGCCAGAGTGATATGACGGCGGGGGCGGGGGCGGGGGCGGGGGGGGAGGTTGGCCTGTCCTAGCTGACTTTGAGGATGGAGGTTGCAAATCAACGGCAGGCAGCAGCTACGAGATGGAAGAGGCAAGGGGATGGATTGTTCCCTTAAGGCCTTCCTAAAACCCTGATCTTAGAGCCTCTGCCTTGCAGACTGTAACACAGCAGCTGTGGGTGGAGTCAGATGTGGTCGTCAGGTGTGGTCTCCAGGTGTGGTTATCAGGTGTGGTAGCTCCCACTTATAATCCCAACACTGGTAAGGCAGGTTCAGAAGGTTGCTCCGAGGTTTGCTGGACAGCCACGCCAGCTCACTGGGGGAGCTCCAGGCCAGTGAGAAATTCTGCCTCAAAGAACAGAGTGACAGAGTGGAGTCGGGCATTGGTGGCGCATGCCTTTAGTCTCAGCGCTTGGGAGGCAGAGGCAGGCGGATCTCTGTGAGTTCGAGGCCAGTCTGGTCTACAGAGTGAGTTCCAGGACAGGCTCCAGCTCCAAAGCTACACAGAAAAGCCCTGTCTTGCAAAACCAAAAAAAAAAAATCAACACACACACACACACACACACACACACACACACACACACACACACACACGTCGGGGGACTTGAGACACTTCGACACACAGAGAGATTCCTGCAGAGCTCGGCGAAAGGCCTCATGTGAGCATGACATTCTTGGAGCCATGAACCCGATGGCCACTGCCACCTGCAGATTTGCTTTCTGTGCCATTAACTCTACCTGGCAGCCTGGCAGCCAGTAACTCTACCTGGTAGCCACCCGCTTCCTGTGCCAGCAATAGCCATGAATAGCCAACGCATTGCCCGACAGGTCTTATTCAGAACTTGTGTTTCTTGGAGACGGCATCCATCAGAAGAACCTATGTTGTACCCTCGTTTTTCTTGGCATATTTAAACAATTGAAATTAGAAGACATAGTTGGGTAGAGCAGGGTGGGGAGGCGTGTCCTGGCATGCATCTGAGGGTCAGAGGACAGCCTGCAGGAGTCAATTCTCTCTAGACTCTCACCATCAGGGTTGGCGGCAGGAGCTTCCTCTGGCTGAACCACCTTGCTGGCTTCAAACTTGGAAGGTGTGTCTTCTTCCAAGACCAATTCAAAAGGCCTTGCTTGCTGTTGGAAGAGCCCTGTCTTGTCTCAGTTCTGTTCCTGTTTCTGTGATAAACACCATAGCCAAAATCAGCTTGGGAAGTAGAGTGTTGATTTCAGCTCATGGTTACTGGGCAGTCAGTGACTCAAGCAGAGGCCACAGGAGAATTTGCTTAAGGTTTTGCTCCTCTGGCTTGCGTAGCTGGCTTTCTCCTTCTTTATATATGAGTGTTGCCAGCAGAGGGCACCAGATCCTATTGTAGATGGTTGTGAGCCACCATGTGGTTGCTGGGAATTGAGCTCAGAACCTCCGGAAGAGCAGCCACTACTCTTGGCCACTGAGCCATCTCTCCAGCCCCTTAGCTAACTTTCTTACACATCCTAGGACCACCTGCCCAGGGACAGCACTTCCAGTGTGGGCTGGATCCTTCTACACCAATCACCAATTTTAGAAAATGCCCCACAGAGCTGGGTGGTGACACACTCCTTTAATCCCAGCACTCTGGAGGCAGAGGCAGGCGGATCTCTGTGAGTTCAAGGACAGCCTGGTCTACAGAGTGAGTTCCAGGACCGCTAGGGCTACACAGAGAACCCCTGTCTCAAAAAAACATACGAGCAAACAAAAAAGAAGAAAAGAAAAGAAGAAAGGAAAAGAAAATGCCCCACAGCTTACTTGCCCACAGATCAGTCTGATGGGGTGTTTTTCTCTATGGAAGTTCCTCCTTGCAGGTGACTACAAGGTGCATCAATTTGGGGGAATACTGTTATATTTGGACAGCTTCAGTTTGTCCCCAACATTTCACGTGTTAGAATTTTGTCCTGTAGCATAGTACTACTGGGAGGTGATATGGACTCTTTTAAAAGGTGTGGGGGGGTTTCTCTAGAACTGGAAATGTAAATTACTTGGAAGACTGCTTGCCCCAAATGCTTGACATAAGCCCAGCGTGGTGGCACATGGCTGTAATCCCAGCATGCTGACCCGAAAGGCAGGTGCAGTCACATAGCAAATCTGAGGTCAGTGTTGGGGCACGAGAGAGTGGCTGATAAATAAATAAACAAATAAATAAATAAGCAAGCGGCGCTGCAGCACATGCCTATGCATCTGCGAGGCAGAGGCAGGAAGAGCTCTATAATTTCCAGGCCAGCCTGGCCTGCACAGTGAGATCCTGTCTCAAAATAAATAAATAAATGGTAGATAAATATATAGATAATCAGTAGGAGTTGGGGGGGACAGAGAGGGCAATGGGGTGGATATGATAAAAAATATACATGTATGAAAATGTCATAATAAAGCTCATAATTATGAATAATTACTAAGTGTTAATAAAAAAAACACATCAAGAGTAGTGGTGTGTGCTGAATCAGGGTCTGAGGCAGAGGACTGCTGTGAGTATAGGTCAGAGTGGGCTACAGAGCCCCTGATTCAAGAGACAATCCCACCAGTAGCGGGAGGCCCCTAGCTTAACAGGGGACACGTTCCAGGAAGGGATTAGGTCATTTTACACAGGACTCTAGTTAGTTCTCTCCAGAAGGTTATTGCAAAAGCACGAGCCTGGCCCACCATTTTCTGGCTTCCTGTTTCCAGATACAATCTCTTCGTAGTCCAGGTCCCAGCCACGATGTGATGCAACCGAGAGACTTGCGCTGTAGCTGGTGGCGGTGCTGCACCCTGGGCCGTCCAAAGCTGTGAGCTACGTAACTCTCTCTTATTAATAAAGTTAGCCCTCCCCGGGCAGTTAACGGTAGTAATACCAGATGGATTAATACATTGTGGCTGGGTGAGAGAGTGAACAGAACCAAGCTAACCTGCCACAGGAGCCGGGAACCAGCCACCCACACCAGCGGAACCAAACTCGTGGCAGATCTTCAGCAGCGCAGACGTCCTCTTTACCTGTGTACCGCGGGCAGGAACCCTTCCCACAGCTGTGGGTTTCTCTGAGAACATCCGTAAGCTCACTAACGTGTGCTGAATGCACCTGACCTGTTGTTTCTTAAGGGTGCTAGGAATGCTCGTGTCAATCACCTGGGAAGATAGGGTCCTCCCACAGGAAGCCGGATCTTGGAAACTGTGATTGGTGGCAGAGAAAAATCCCATCCTCCCCAGGCTCTACTGTAGATTTTGGGTGAGCAGAGGCACGGTCTTAAGGATGTTCCTCTGAGGTGAGATGGCAGTGGCTCTGTCACTCACTCTCCAGCAACAGGTGAGGTTGTCCCATTCTGAGGACTGTTTTCCCTCTCCTCGTGTCTGAGCCTTCAGTAAAAAAGGACTGGAAGCTCCAATCTAGTGTCTGCTGTTGGTGTTGGGCTATTACAACATTTGTGTTTGTCTTTAGACACAGATGTAGGGGGGTCCATTGTCCTCTGCATAAAGCCAGGTGGCAGTGATGACAGATACACCAAGGAGTCTGCATCCCAGGGCTAAGGGTGAGGAGTCCGTTTGTCCCTTCAGTTATAGATCTCTGCGAATTCAGATAGAGGAATTGCAGATGTTATGACCTCAATAGATAACAAATGACCAAAACACAGTCAAAAGGGAACAGCGGATTTCTAAGAACAGGTAAAACATTAGTTGCCTCACTATGTAGTCCTGGCTATCCTGGAACTCTATCAGATTTGCCTCAAAGTCAGAGCAACCCACCTGCCTTTGCCACCAAGAGCTGGGATTAAAGGCCTGGCCTGGCATATTATTTCTAGACAGATACACTTTCTGTTATCAGCTGCTAGGGTACCCTCACTGGGTTTCTCCTACCTTGTGGGACATTTCTAAAGCCTTTATGATGGACTAATGGGAAGTTGCTTGTCCCTGGAGGTATTATCTCTCCCTCTAACTATGTACAGTGGCTGTTTTCATGGGTTCAGCTTTAGGGCTGAGCTACCAGTGTCGGCCTGAGGTTGAGAGTCAAGCACATGAATCAGAAGCTCTCGCTGGGCCAGTCCTTCCTGGTCTTACGAGTTTGAAATATGCCTGCCAGTGGTGGCGCACACCTTTAATCCCAGCACTAGGGAGGCAGAGGCAGGCGGATCTCTGTGAGTTCGAGGCCAGTCTGGCCTATAGAGTGAGTTCCTGGACAGCCAGGGCTGTTACACAGAGAAACCCTGTCTCAAAAAATCAAAATAATAAAAGCAGTTTGAAAAATGTCAAATAGAAAAAGGAGCATCGCAGAGGGGCTGAGAAGCAGCCAGGGCTCCCTGTGTGCTTGTCAGTGTGCTCTGAAATTGTTATCGGTGCTTTTGTCAACTTGGTGTAACCTCAGAGTCACTTGGGAAGAGTGTCAGTGGAGGAGCGCCGAGACCACACAGGCCTCGGGCGAGCCTAGGGTTGGGCTTGGGGCTTGGCTTGCTGGCCCTGATGGATGTGGGAAGACTTAACTAAAGGGGGACCCGCTCTATCCCCCGGGTTTGGGTCCTCAAATGAATGACAGCAAAAGCTATCTGAGCATGAAGCACGAGTGCATTTGTGTCTCTCGCTACTGCCTGTGGATGTGATGTGACTGGCCGTGTCAAGCCTCTGGTGCCCTAGCCGGGCGTTGGTGGCGCATGCCTTTAATCCCAGCACTGGGGAGGCAGAGGCAGGCGGATCTCTGTGAGTTCGAGGCCATCCTGGTCTACAAAGCGAGTTCCAGGACAGCCTCCAAAACAATACAGAGAAACCCTGCCTCGAAAAACCAAAAAAAAAAAAAAAAAGCTTCTGGTACCCAGCTTCCCTGCAACAATAGGCTGTACTCGGGAATGGTGCTGCAATAACTCCTTCCCCACGATGCTCTTTGCAGGGTGCTTAATCACAGCAGCAGCAATGAAAGCAGAACGATGATCAGTAAGAGCTGACAGTTGGACGAAAGCCAAGAGTTCAGCACGCGTCACGCAGCACAACTTTAATCCCACTTCAGCAAGCTACGGACTTGCAAACGCTTTTCCCGGCCCTGACAGGGTTTGTTGTTGTTGTTTGTTTTTTGTTTGCTTGTTTTTACACAAATGAAGTCGCCTTTTTAACGTGAAGACTGATGTCACGGTCAGATGTCTGTCATCCACCAAGAAGATCTGAAGGAGCTGAGGGAGTAGCTCAGTTGGGAGAGTGCTTGCCTGGCATGTGTGAAACCCTGGGTCCTACAGAAACCAGGTGCAGTGATGGGCACCTGTACCCCCAGGACCAAGGGCGTGGAAGCAGGAAGGTCAGGAGGTCAAAGTCATCCTTGGCTACGTAGTGAGTTTGAGGATAGCCTGGGCTGCATGAAACTGCTTCAAACAAAGGGGGGGGGGAACAGGAGAGATGGCTCAGTGGTTAAGAATACTCGCTGCTCTTCCAGAAGACTTGAGTTTCGTTCCCAGCACTCGAGTGATAGCTCACAACTGCTTGTAACTCCACGGTCAGGAGATCTGGCCTCCTTGGGCATCAAGCATGCACATGGTGCACGTACACACATGCAAGCAAAACATCTGCACACACAGAAACAGACTTTTAAAGAAAATAATAACACAAGAACAAAAAAGATTTGAAAATCCACTTAGGTTGTTAAGAACGTGGCTATTATTTACTGTTGTCATAGAACAATGAACTACTGAATAATCATTAACACAACTTTATTAATATAGACATTTGCAAATGAAGTGAGCAGTGCTAAAATTAGTAGTTTTCTGGTAATGTCACCTTCTCACGTACAATACTGAAAATGTTTTATTCATGATTACTCCAGATTCCCACTTTTTAACAAGAATCACAGAAAAAAGGCTCCTAGAATATTCTGGAACCATAGTTCTTATCACAAAGCCATATTTCATGTTGTTGACAGTTTCATGCATAGCAATATATATGGTGCTGCCACCTTAGAAGCCAAATAACTCCAACTAAAGGAAAAAAAATCACCTATTATGCTGACTAGTGGTGGATCACTGAGGCAGAAAGGCCTTCAGAGGTGTAGGTTTCTTTTGTTTTAGTCATCACAAACTTTCCAGAAGGACTCCAAATTTGTTGGCCCCAAGTCAGCATTGGGAGTTGTTCTTCTGAGACCCTGTCTACACCGCTCTCTGTAGATGGACTTCTGAGACCCTGTCTACACCGCTCTCTGTAGATGGACTGGCTCCACCCACCTTGGTACCCTCTTGGGTGCCCAATTTTGTTCTCAAAACCATTAGCCAAGCCCAAGAGCCCCAGATTTCCCAAAATGAGACAGGAACAACAATCTCTTCATGCTTGCCAAAGATGCCAAGGGACAAACTTCAGGTACCTCGTTACTGAAGGGTCCCTAAGATGGGGATCTGGGTCCCTAAGATGGGGAGTCTGGTTCAGGACATTTGGGTGCTTAAGGAAAGTTTATGGAAACCTAACCTTTCAACTTATGATGAGAGAACAAACTGGATGTAGATTCTTACCTTTGCATTGAACCTAAGGATTTATGCCCCTTCTAAAAGTTACAAAAATAAATTCAAACTCTTTGGCACTGGAACCAGTTTTTAGAACTTTTAAATCAACAAGCTTAACTGATTAACGTCCATAGCCAATGGATCTTAAGTTAGCCCATGCACTTGCTTGGCCTTTTCTTTGCCTAGTGCCCACAGGGAAGGCCTTTATAAGTGCAAGAGTCGCTGGGCATGGTGATGCAAACCTTTAATCGCGGTGCTTGGGAGACAGAGGCAGCGGATCTCTGTGAGTTTGAGGCTAGCCTGGTCTACAGAGCAAGTTCCATGACAGTCAGGGCTACACAGAGAAACATGTCGTGGAAAACAAAACAAAACAAAAAACCAAGTGCCAGAGTCCCAATAAGCTATTTCCCGGCCTTCAATTTTCCTCCATCTAGCAGGTGTTCCAAAAGCCGTTCAACAGTTTGGAACTTGAAGAATACGCAGTAGCTGCTGGGCAGTGGTGGTGCATGCCTTTAATCCCAGCACTCGGGAGGCAGAGGCAGGCAGATCTCTGTGAGTTCAAGGCCGGCCTGGTCTACAAAGAGAGTGCCAAGATAGGCTCCAAAGCAATAAAGAGAAACCCTGTCTGGAAAAACCCCCAAAAAATGTATATATATAGTAGTAAACCTGCAAAAACTAAGTGTCATCTGGAGACTTAATTTATTATTTACGTGTATGCATGTGTGTGCATTCGAGTGCATACAGGTATCAACAGAGGCCGGAAGGGGGCACGGGATCCCTGCGGTTGGAGTCCCGGGCAGCCGGGAGCCACCTGACATGGGTGCTGGGAACTGAACTCTCATCCCTCTGCAATAGCAGCAAGGAGCAAGCACTTTTTTGGGGGGAGGCGAGCACTCTTAACCCCTGGGCTGTTTCTCCAGGTCCCTTCTTTTTTGTTTGTTGTTTAAATACCTATGTCTAGAACTGTCCGCAGCGACTGCCTTTAAGTTCCTAGAGTTTTAAAGATCGCTGAGGCTTCATGCCCTGTGTGGACCATGGATCTGAGTCTCAGCCCTGTCCATCACCTGACAACTGACGTGGATTAACTTCCCGTAATCAACTCCCTCCTCCCCAGGGAGCATCTTTTTCTCGATCCACCCTCATAGCAATACTGACTGGCTTTTCTCTCCACTTGGTTTTTTTACAGGTTTCTCATCTGTCACCAGGGGTGTGATTAGGTCTCTGAAATGTACAAAGGCACACAACTCTCCAGTCCCTGGGGCACAATCGATCAATCTCGGGTTCTCTATCTGGTGTCAGGGCAATTCAAAACTGACCAGAGCAGTAAATGATTGTGAATGTCTAAATAGTCAAATTTTAATAAATTTCCACAGATATAGATTCAACCAGTTTAGAAAGCCTGCCTTGACTGTGGGTGTTTTCTCTTCTTCCTGGCTAATGTCAGTTGGATTTTCTTCTGTGATTTCTTTTGCTTCTAGGAAGGCCTCATATATTTTCTGGACTCTGATCATTTCTTTCTGTGCGTCAAAATGGACCTTCTGCCTGGTTAGGATGGGGACGATCAAGTTGAAATCACTAATTCGCTTGTTCAGCTTTTGGATGTTCTCTTGAAACTGCTTGCATACGTGGTCCCACTGTCTCTGTTCCCCAGGTGTCAAGGGGTTCCCAAGCTTCTTCCTACATACTAGAAGTGCTTCTCGAAGTTGCTCAATGGTATCTCTGATTTCCTTCTGCATCAGAATCCACTCTGGTTGATACCCATTATCTATCAATATTCTGTTCAGGTTGTGAGTCATGGGGTCAATATAGGAGCAGCCAGAAAACTTCTTCAGAGGTTTTCCTTTCCCACTGAGGTTGTCAAAGTCTCCTTTTGCCATTGACTCCTGAATGAGGTCCTCCACCAGGCGCTCTATGGCTTGAGTTATCTTTAGTTCTTTACTCTGCCTTACATCTTTGACAGTTAAGCTGTTAGCAAAGTGCTCCCTCTCAAGTTTCTGTCTTTGATATTCCATCACCTGCTCCGTCGCACGGTCTGCCCTAAACTGTCTGTACTGTTTCTCTCGTTGACTTGGCGTCCCAAAGCCCACGCCTTCGAAGCTTAAATAATGTCGGTGCTGAGGCGTGTTGTATTTGAATTTTTCTTCATCTTCTGTGTCTTCAGCTTTACTCTGTCTTTGCGCTATCACATGGGAAAGCACATTCCTATACGCTTCTTCGATCTTTATAAATGTTGCTGAATTGGCATTGTTGGAGCCGCTGTCTGGGTGGTACAGCTTGGCAAGCTTATGGAAAGACTCTCTGATGTCATCTACAGAACACCCTTCACGTAGATCCAGAAGCCTGTAATATTCTTTGATCTTCTTCTTGGACTTATGGGTTGAGATCATCCTAGATCCAGGACTTGAAAGCATTTTTACCCCACGAGGAATCAATAAAGCACTTATTAGATATGGTCTTAAGATCTGAGCCATCTTCACGAACGTAGGGTTTATCATTGTATCCGGTATTCTTCTTAACAATGATCTACAAAACAGCAAAGGACAGTACACGTGTATTATCAGTCACTTCCTATTTTCCAATATAGAAGTAGGAGTGTGGACTGACGTTTGGCTCCCAGCACACTAGCGAATGTCCCTAACTCCAGTTCCAGGGAGTCTGACACCTTCGGGCCTACTCGGGCATTGGATGTACATGGTGCTTAGACATACATGTATGCAAAACACCCATATGCATATAAAAAGAAAAAGAACAGTTAGCTCTTTGTAACAATGTTGCTATGCCAAATATATTTGTATAGTTACACTTACACATTTTACTGATTTCAGCTAACTAACACAATAATTGGTGTTTAGCAATTATTGTGACATGATCTGAGTTCTTCTATCCACCAAGCACAGAATTTTAGACCTAGAAAAGTTCTTAGAATTCATCTAACCCAACTTTCTCATTTTATAAGAAAGCAAGTCCAGGAGGTTAAGCAACTCAGTCAAATAACACTACAAGGTATGACAAATGATTAGGACTGGGCACAGGCAGGACTTGGCTGGACTGGTTTTGTTTGTTTTGAGACAGGGTTTCTCTTTGTAGCCCTGGCTATCCTGGAACTTACTATGTAGACCAGGCTGGCCTCAAACTCAGAGAGATCCACCTGCCTCTGCCTCCATAGTGCAGCTAGTGTACCGTGGTCGTCGTTGCGCATCAAACAGGGAGCATCAGAGACAGTTACCCCAGTGTGCAACCGACTTTAAGCTCTTCACCTCACAATTTGCTAAGTGCTGGGGGAGAGGGGGATGTTGAGAAGTGAGCGAGCCTCTGCTGTATTACAAACGCACGACAAAAAGTCAATGACGTGCTACAGGATGACTGGGTGCCAATCCCTGAACGTTTGCTTGTCACGCGTGTTTTAGAAGTTATGGGAACCCCGATGTCATAACATAGAGGTCAATGGATTTTAGAGTTGTCTGGAATGCTGGTTGTCATGCTCACCGTGGGGCAGGATGTCTCAGGACAGAGTCAGTCCCGCTGCATCCCCTACTCACCTTCCCGGACCGGGTGGGGGCTCTGCGGCTCGCGGCCCCGCTGCGCCCCTGCGCTGGCACGCTCGGCCCCCTCCGTCCCGGCCTCCCCGCCAGCCGGCTGCTGGCTCCCCTGCCGCGCTACACCGCGGAGCCCTTCATCATCCCTCACTGCGACGGGCAGCTCCCTCACCAGCGACACCGGGTCTCTGTCTTACAGAACCAAACCCCAGGGGACAGAGGACGAGCACCTACGGACGTTGTACCCGGGTGGGGGCGACAGGCTCCGCCTCCACCGCTTTCGAGGGCAGGGTTTGGACCGTTGGGATTATGGGAAGTGTAGTTCTACGGCAGGTGCGGCGCGGGGGACCCTGGGAGCCACCACAAGAGTTGTGGCTGGCTGGTCGGGTGTGATGGGTTGTGACTCCGTCGTGTATGTGATTTGGAGAGCACAGGGACTCGGTAAATGGTTTTGGACGGAGGAAGATTAGGCTGTTTGCCCACCTGCGTTGTCAGTAGGCTTCCTTCATTCAGCCAGTCTTTTGTTTGGTTGGACGTCTGCTGTTGCTGTTGTTCGACTCTCTGTATGGTAGAGGAGGACTTTGAGTTACAGCTCCCCCTTCCCCTCCATCTTCCTTTGTCACTTGTTTGTAGGAAGCTGGGGGTACAGAGCCCTGGGCTAGCACGCCTGAGCCTACCAGCTGTGCTACACCGCACACCAGCAGCAAGGACAGTGGCGCACTGCTCGCGGCCAGGCGTTGGGAGGGGAGGGGGAAAGTGACAGTGACGCCCCTTGGCTTTAAGTTCAACCACTCGGAATCAAACATGCCCCCCTCCCACCTAGCTTAGGCACTGTCAGAGATGAATGGCTTAAAAACAACAAAACGAAACTAAAAGTAGCCCAAGAGGCTATGGCTTTGTAACATTCTTTTTTTATTATTATTATTATTTTTGTTTTGTTTTGTTTCAGGACAGGGTTTCTCTGTGTAGCCCTGGCTGTCCTGGAATAGACGTCCTCCTGCCTCTGCCTCCTGAATGCTGTGACTAAAGGCATGTCAGATGGTTACAGCGGAACAAGGAGATCTCTGTGGCGGGTCTCTGACACCATCTGATGACTTCCTAAGGTTTTGGGTCAGTGGGACTAAGGTTCTGTTCATACACTTCAAAAGGATTTACATACGCATCAGTCGGGTGGCCAGTGATACAGGCAGTCGATAAATGGGTACTTAAAGGACTAAGACTGTCCAGGATAATGTGACTCTGAACCTACGTCATTCCCACTCTCTGTAAGTTCAAGGCCAGCCTGATATACAGAGCGAGTTCCAGGACAGTCTCTAAAACAATACAGAGAAACCCTGTCTCGAAAAACTAAAAAAACAAAAACCAAACAAAAAACTTAAATAATACATGGTACTTTTTAATAACTTTATGTTTGTTGACAAATCTCACTCTGTAGCCCTGGCTGCCCTCAAACTATAGACCAGCCTGGCTTCGAACTCAGATCCACTGCCTCTGCCTCCCGAGTGCTGGGATTAAAGGCGTGCACCACCCCTGGGCAGCCTAGTTCATACTATTTCTATTAGTGTGTGACGTTAACCCATAGCATTCCCTTGACATCTTCCTCCTTACAGGACAGGTGTTTAGCTGTGTTGGATAGTCTCCTGAACTAGTCCACTGTTAATGACATCTAGACTCATTTGATGAATGCTTCTTACCAGGCAAAGGGGTGATGGTGAACAGCACCAGGCTGGGGTGCCCTACCTGTACCAGAGGCAGTGCTCAGGGTTGCCTGTTACTCTGAGCTGCACCCTCAAACTTTTTTTTTTGTTTTGTTTTACGAGACAGGGTTTCTCTGTACTGTTTTGGAGGCTGTCGGTCCAGCCTGGCCTCGAACTCACAGAGATCCGCCTGCCTCTGCCTCCCGAATGCTGGGATTAAAGGCGTGTGCCACCAACGCCCGGCTAAGCTGTAGTCTTAAAAGTTTGAGGCTGTGCCGGGCGGTGGTGGTGCACGCCTTTAATCCCAGCATTCGGGAGGCAGAGGCAGGCGGATCTCTGTGAGTTCGAGGCCAGGCTGGTCTACAGAGTGAGTTCCAGGACAGCCTCCAAAGCCACAGAGAAACCCTGTCTCGAAAAACCAACAAAAAAAAAAAAAAAAAAAAAAAAAGATCTTCTGATGTCAGGGACCCTTTGCTGTTGTTTTGAATTTAAAGTGTGGGCTGGAGAGATGGCTCAGAGGTTAAGAGCATGGGCTGCTCTTCCAGAGGTCCTCAGTTCAATTCCTAGCAACTACATGGTGGCTCACAACCGTCTCAGAGGGATTTGATGTCCTCTTCTGGCATAAAGGCATATATGCAGTTAGAGCATTCATACATAAATCTTTTTAAAAAAATTTAAAAATTGCCTTTGGGCTGTGTGTGACCATTGCTTATTCAGGTAGCTCTAGGAGCAGAAAAATGTGGTAGGCACTAAGCTTGGAGGTCTCTTGCCTGGGTTCATGTATGTTCCCAGTATGTTGGCCTAGACCCTCCCACTTCTGATGTCTTAAAAAATGCTAAATATATTTTGTCTTTAATGAATCTCTTTATTAAAAAAATGGCATCAGGTAAGGGATGAAGTCTTTTTGTTACACCTATTTTAGTTTGGGACAAGACCATGGCGAAAAGGACAGAAAGGCACGGAGGAGACAGCCGTTCTTCCTGAGTTGGGCGGCTTTACTGTCCTGTGATCCAGCAGATCTTGCCGTCTTCTCCAAGCCGCACGGCCCCACTGGCCACCAGCTGCAGGGCTTCCGGAAAGATTTTATGTTCTGCTACTTTGACTCTTTCAGACAAAGTTGCAACAGTGTCACCCCTTTTCACAGGGACAGCTTCTTGTAGGATGATTTGTCCGGCATCTACATCTTCCTGGAAAACGAAGCAGACGTTTTCAAGTCTGGCTTTCTAGCCAGTGAAGTCTGCATCCAGACACTAGAGACAAAAGCGTAGGAAAAGACATACTCACAGCTACAAAGTGTACGGTACAGCCGGTAATCCTGACTCCGGCTTCCAGGACTTGCTCATGAGCGTTTGAGCCCTTAAAGGACGGGAGCAAGGATGGGTGGACGTTGAGCATTTTCCCTAGAAAGCAAAAAGCAGGTCAGAAACTTACATCTTGTTTGTCCTGTTAAAGAAACAGGTGCTCAGCTGTACTGACCTCAGAGAACAGAGTAGGGGAAGATGCCCAATGTGCACAGAATCATGACAATGGGACAGACAGGGCTTAAGAAAGAAGGTGGTAAAGTGTCACCGAGCTTGATGACCTGAACTTAATCCCCAGGACCTACCAAGTGGAAGGAGAGCACCTAGTCCTGCAAGCTGTCCTTCAACTACCACAAGCGTGCTGAGGTGATCCTGCTTCCCCATGCACTCAAAGAAAATAAAGTACAAAAAAAAAAAGTACCAACAGACTGTAGACATCTATGCATTTTCAGCCACAATGCCTTCCTTGCTATCTTCTGTCTGTGTGGTACACAGGAGAGCATGAATATTTTGTTTTTCTTTCTGTGGTGCAAGGTATCTATCAAACCAGGGCCTTGTACACACCAGGAAGGTTAAGTGCTTTACCAGGTAACTAAACCCCTAGTTATTGGTTTGTTTTTCCTTTAACATTATTTTAGAGGGTTTTGCTTGCATGTATGTCTGAGTATCATAAATGTGCCTGGTGCCTGAAAAGGACAGAAGAGGGTGTTGGGTCTCCTGGAAATAAGAGTTACAGATGGCTGTGAGCTGCCATCGTGCTGGGAATTGTACTCAGGTCCTCTGCAAGAGCAACAAGTGCTCTGAGCCACTGAGAATTTCTCCAGACACTAACGCTTGGTTTTTTGGGACAGGAGCTCGTTATACATTTCAATATGGCCTTAATCAAACACACTACATCAAGGCTAGTCTCCGTCCAGCTCTCTCCTTGGGATACACAGGCTCTTTCTCCTGCTTTCTCTCCCCTTCCTTCACTTTGCTTCTGAGGAGTGTGTCCTATAGGACCAGGCTGGCCTTGAACTTGCAGTCCGCACATCTCAGTCTTGGGATGCCCGGGTTACAGGTATGGACTGAGCATCACATGCAAAGGGAACTAATATAGTCCGCATTAAAATCTCCCAAGCTGAGGATTGTCTGGAAAGCTGGTCACTGGCGTCTGCCCTCCGCTCACCTCCCAATGTAACATCAAATGACTTTTGCTTACCATCCCATTTTTTGACAAAAGGGCCAGAGAGAATTCTCATGAATCCTGCAAGACAGACTATGTCTACAGAGAACTCTTCTAGGACGTGGTCAACAGCATTGTCAAATTCAACACGATTTTTATATAATTTATGATTAATTACCTGTAACAGGAAAAGAGAAACACACAACCTTTACAGAAACCACACGAGTGGTGAAGATGTCTGAGGGATGGCCAGGATGGAGAAGGACAAAGCAGCACCCACCCCAAACGGGAAGCCCACAATTACATAACCACATGCATGGCCTTGGGAAAGCAGTTTGTGTTTAGTGCAATCTGCAGGGCTGGCTGTGTGGCTCAGTGTACAGCCCAGGCTCCAGATGAAGAGCCAGCACTCAACAAGCAAATCACCCAACAGTGGGCAGCCTGCGGTAACTCACTCTGGTGGGAATGCCAGCCTTTTCTGCTTTGTCTAGGCCCGTGACCCCAGCTTTGTTGGAGATGACAACCACAATGTGTGTGGAGCTCTTTGGATCCCGAGTGCTGTCTATGAGTGCTTGGAGGTTCGATCCTGAAAAGACAGGAAAAAGAGTGAGTTCAAAACGACCTCTGCTTTATCATAAACTTGGACCTAACTACACTCGGACTGAAGACAAGTATGGCTCTGGGGCTGTCACCTAAAGAAACACTGTGTCTTCCACAGTACATTGCTCACTCACACTGTGACAGCAGGGCTACCTGTGGGGAAAGTCAGTGCTGGGTGGAGGGCCACTCCTCAATCCCCGCACTAGAATGTTCTACACGTGAACAAGAGGGACGCTGCAGTCATCTGAGAGAGTACAATGCTCTTCTACCCAGGGCTTTTCACTTCTGATAAAAACAACGTTACAATACTGCACTTTATTCTGACATATAGGAACAAAAACACCAGGTTAATAGTATTTACCATTTCTCACTTTTAAGAACACACTGAAGGGGAGCATATGGAGTTACTACTTCAGCTTTCAAGCCTGTTCACCATTAAGCTATGACACGAAAGAGGTGAGCTCTTCCTTTACAGGGCCCTCCCAGACAGCCCTGGCCATCTTGGCACTCGCTCTGTAGACCAGGCTGGCCTGGAACTCACAGAGCGCCGCCTGCCTCTGCCTCCTGAAACTGCTGCCCGCCTTGTTTTCTTCTAACCCATGTGCACGAGTGGTGTGCCTGCACCATGTGTGCCTGGTGCCCAGAGTTCAGAAGAAAAGGTGTCAGATGTCCTGGCACCAGTTAGGGATAGCTGGGAGTCACTATGTGGATGCTGGGAATAGAACCCAGGCCCCCTGCAAGAGCAGGTGACCCCAACTGCTGAACCGCCTTTCCAGCATGGGCTTTTGTTTTTTTAGGCAGGGTCTCACTGTGAAGCCCTGGCTGGCCTGGAACTCATTTGAGAGGTTGGCATTAAACTCAGGAATCTGCCTGCCGCTGCCTCCTAAGTGCTAAGAGGCCACACCAGCCACCAGCCAGCCCTTTCTGTCTTCAGTCTCTTAACCATTTTTCCCCACATCCTCCACTTAGATTCCCACCCCAGATTCTGCTGGGAGCATGCTTACTATCTGAGGTCCTCCTCACCTGTCTGTGTGAATGCTGGCAGTAGGGGAGAGCTCTATAGCTCTGGGGTAGGGAGAAGCCACGCCTCACCTGTTCCAGATATTAAGACAGCCACTCTTGACTTCTGCTGGGCAGGGAGATGACTCAGGAAACCATTTGACACCACTGCCCCATTCATTTGCAAGGCTTCAGTCAGATTCTTGACTCTGACACGAGGAGAACCTTCATTTCAATTATATGCACAAAAAGGAAGAATAACCATGGATTAACAGGAACAACAAAAATAGTACAAAACAACTTTATTCATTTTATTCTGAAAGTGGGACAAATAGGAACAAAAACGCCAGGTTAATAGTATTTACCATTTCTCACTTTTAAGAACACACTGAAGGGGAGCATATGGAGTTACTCCAGCTTAGACCCATGGGAAGCACCAGTGTACTCAAGCACAGCCCCACCAAATGCTGTCTGCCCATGTTCTCCCAACCCCTCAACCCTGGGCCTGTTCACACGGTGCTCCGAGCCTCTGGCTTCCTGGGAGGTGTGTGACCCAGAAGGCACTCAAGACTGAAATAACGGGAAGCTTCTCACTGCTGTGTAAGCTGAAGGACGCTACCGTCCAGCACGGGGAAGACCTGTCTGGACATGAAACCTACGCCACAGAGAGCAGAAAGGCAGACAGAAGCAAGGTCAACTAGCACTGACCATCACTGGTAGCTCACTGAATGGATCGACCTGTCTCCCTTTCAACATACAGAACTGGTCAGGGTGTTTGAGCTAAACCTCCAGGCAGAACTTTGAGGTGTCTGTCAGAGAAGTTATCCTCGGAAAGAATCCTGTGCCGTGTGGCTGTGCATCAGTGAGGCGACCAAGACATGTCAAAGTTCCAAATGGAAGCAGACGTGTTCTGGCCTCAGGGTTGACCAATCAAGGTACGTCTGGGCAAAGACAGATGACTAGGCAATGGCTAAGCCTGGAAGCCAAGAAGGAGCTGTTACCTTCAGGACAGGCCACGACATTGCCTATCACCCAGGCTTCCTCCCGGCGCTGCCCAATGTCATGCAGAATTTGGTCTGTCTGGTCCTTAGACACCACCAGGGCAGCCCCAATCCCACAGTTGAAGGTTCTCGCCATTTCTTCTTCAGAGAGCTGTCCTTCCCGCTGCAACCATGAGAAGATTTTGGGGATCCTCCAAGTGCAGGCATCTCAAAATAAACAAGAGTTGCCTGATTAATCTATTGTCCCATACAGAGAATACAAAAATGAGTCATAGGTAGACTCCGCTATCAATGGCCCTTTAAGATTATCTGTCAGCATGGATATCAAAGGCTGGCACGCCATCTTTTGTAAATGTCTAGCAGGGTCTCTTTTTTTTTTTTGGTTTTACGAGACAGGGTTTCTCTGTATTGTTTTGGAGGCTGTCGGTCCAGCCTGGCCTCGAACTCACAGAGATCCGCCTGCCTCTGCCTCCCGAGTGCTGGGATTAAAGGCGTGCGCCACCAACGCCCGGCATCTAGCAGGGTCTTAGTGATGACAAGCTATACATACCCTAAACACCATGAAGACCAACTTAGAGGGCAGTTCTGCTAGAGAGAGCTTCCTGATAAATACCTGGTTCCTTTAATTTCTTCTAAAACTTAGGCTGAGCTGACTTTTAGCTCCTTCTTTGTCCCAAACAACACATCACAACTCTTATCAGGAGCACCAGGTAAGGTTTATTTACATACACCGGCACAGAACTCCTCAGTAACAAAGTAACATGGATGGTTTGTTTGAATACACAGGTTATAAGATTTGGTTTATAAAAACTATACTGAATGAATGTGTCTGAAGAATGCTGGGGGGCTGGAGAGATGGCTCAGAGGTTAAGAGCATTGACTGCTTTTCAAGAGGTCCTGAGTTCAATTCCCAGCAACCACATGGCTCACAGCCATCTATAATGAGATCTGGTGCCCTCTTCAGGCATGCAAGCAACCATGCAGATAGCACACTGCATACATAATAAATAAAATAAAAATAAAGAAGGTTGGATTATTTTTGTCAACTTGATACAAGCTTAGAGTGATCTGTGAAGAGAGAATCACAGAGGAGAAAATGCCTCCATAAGACTCGCTTAGAGTCAGAGTCAGGTGGCGGCAGGCGGCACATGCCTTAAGTCTAGCATTTAGGCAGAGGCAGGCGGATCTCTGTGAGTTCGAGGCCGGGCTGGACCCACAGCCTCCAAAATAATACAGAGAAACCCTGTCTCGTAAGATCCAAAAAAAAAAAAAAAAAAAAAAAAAAAAAAAGGAGAATGCATTGAAACCACCACAAGAGGTACACCTTTAATCCCAGCATTCCCGAAGCACAGGGCAGATTTCCCTGAGTTCATCAGCGGATGCACAGAGAAACCATGTCTCCAAAACAAAATAAAACGGATAGACACAAAGGATCTTCCGTGTATGTGTGCACTCATAACCCACAGCACATGTTTTTTCCCTTCAACATGAACTTACCTAAATCTACCCCAAGCTTCTGAGGGAGGACTCTGGGGATGTTTTCCAGCAGTCCACCCCCAGTGATGTGAGCCAAGGCTTTGACACGTCCCGAGCGTATGATAGGCAACAGTGAATGGCTGTAGATCTTGGTTGGAGTTAGAAGTAAGTCCCCTGGAGATTGGAGAGATAAGACAAAAACGTAACCCACACATTTGAAACCCAAATATAAATGGACGATGACTATGGCCTTGCTCAGACACATTAATCTAGAATGTCGCCAGGCAGGAAACCATACATCAGTGCGATTCCTTCCAGCGAGAGTCAGTTACCCAGTGTCTGGTCACCACATCCATCAGGCGCTGGAGAGGAGTACTGGAGGGAAGACCTCGCTACGATCTTCCTCACAAGGCTAAACCCATTGCTGTGAAGACCAGATGAAGCTACTCCAACAACGACATCCCCTTCGGTGATCCTTTCGAGCTGAGGGAGTTTCTGATCCCTCTCCATTGCACCCACAGCAAAGCCGGCCAGGTCGTACTCGCCAGGAGGGTACATGTCGGGCATCTCTGCAGTCTCCCCACCTGGTGAGACAAGGACAAAGACAAATCTGTTTTAACAGTGACAGAAGCCGCATTTAACACCAACACCAGTGTGTAGCTCTTCCCATACTCTGTAGGATAACCGACGTCTGGGGCAGTACACATGGCCTTCAAACCCTGACTCTGATATGCCAATGCTCAGCTGGATTTAACATGTCTACAACAGTGTGACCTCAGGAGTGCTGTCAAGCACTGCCACCGTCCAGTCAGGTTTGATTAAAAAAAAAGAAAAAGAAAAAGATTGCTATTTAACGTGTACGAGTGCTTTGCCTGCATGTATCATGTATGTGCCTGGTCTACAAAACTGAGTTCCAGGATAGCCAGGGCTGCTTTACAGAGAAATACTGTCTCGAAAACAAACAAAAGCAAAAAGTTGGAAGGCAACTTTGGCCTTGAGGTCTGGTTTGTCTACAGATACAGCAGTGTATGTTTCTCCATTGAGACAAGAGTCTTGCTATGGAGCCTGCCCAGGCTGGCTCAAACTCTCACTAATCTTGCTTCAGCCTCCAAGTGCTAGAATTATAGGTATACTCCACTATACTAACCTTGACATGCAATAGAAGAAACAGCCAAAACTCGCCTTCCTGCATATATGGTTAAACGATATGCCTACAAAACTCAGGTTACATTTTATTCTTTGTCACTGCTGAGGGAAACTAATTTAACGCATGCAATCCCAGGAGCCCATCTCCCCTGTTTTAGGCCCAGTTAGGAGGAAGAAGCCCTAAGCCTGCCCAGTGAGGCTCTTGAGAAACATGGAGATGGACAGAGGAGAAGGGTAAGCCTGCCTGGCAGTTCAGGAGTATGAAATGGGGACAGGGCCTAAGAGTAACACAGGTAGTTTTATGTGCATTTCGGTTTCCTGTTGGTGATGCAAAGTCACCTCCATTAGCCACAACAGTCATAAATAAGTTCTACATGACTAGTAGGCAGTAGAGGACGGAGGGTCAATGGATCATACCCAGGAGAGCACAGCCAGCTTGTCCACAAGCGCCAGCAATTCCAGCAACAACAGCTTCAGTGGTCCTGAGGTCAAGTTTCCCACAGGAAAAGTAATCAAGGAAGAAGAGGGGCTCTGCTCCTTGTGCTAGGATGTCATTTACACACATGGCGACCAGATCCTGACCAATGGTGTCATGCTTGCTGCACAGTTGGGCAATCTGTAATATAAACAACACGCCGAGAGTAAGCACTGCCTTTCTCTGCCCAGTTCTCCCAGGGAGCAGTTAAACACGACTGTGGAGATCTGCTCCCAACGCCCAGGACAACAAGTTACGCAGGGCTCCTTCCTGCTCCTCCCAACCGATGGGACTGGAACTCACTGTTCAAAGTGTGCACCTGAGCTACATGGTTAAAATAAATGGTAAAGTGCCGTGGCTCTTTTTAACGAATGTATGTTGTTAAGAAGAAATGGCTACTTGATAAACATAAAAGTCATTTGAAAGACAAATTCCCTTCTCTCTTTCATGAAGCCTTTGATCGCAAGTGTCCAATTACCTTCAGTTTAGTCCCAACACCATCTGTTCCAGAGGCCAGAAGAGGATCTTTAAAACCAGCTGCTTTCAAATCAAAAAGACCAGCAAAGCCTCCAAGGTCAACATTGCAGCCTGTTGAACAGGAAATGAGTTACTCGTTGCATTTTAATTGATGAGTTCAACATGAATATTCCAACTTCTTCCCGACAATGGCTAATACAAGAGGCACATTTTCTGAGAGTGGGAGAGAGCCCCATGTGCACGGTGGACTGATCAAGGCAGAAGACTACGTACTTGTCTTAAGAATGACTTAGAGGACACCCAGCAGGAATCTGAAAAATTTCCCTCAGCTAAATGCAAGGCCTAAATCAATTCACAACAGGGTCTAATTTACCTGGTCTGGAGGTGGCTTTTGCTAAAGGCTGAATTTTCTTAACCAGCATATTTCCAGCTGCAATGTCAACTCCAGAATCCTTGTAAGTCAGGCCCCTAAGGAAATGAAAATGAAAACTAAGACATCACTTTAATGCCATGGAAAATTATTATTTGAGATGGACTCTCTATGTAGTTCAGGCTGTCCTGGAACTTACAAGATCTGCTTGCCTGCCTCTGCTGGGCTTCAAGGTGTGCAACACCACACCCAACAGGAGAAAATATCTTTATCTCAAACAAAATGAAACAGACAGAAACTAAGGCTAGGGAAATGGTTTGTTAAAGCACTTGCTACAGAAATGCTGGATGGGTGTGGCAGCCTGCCTGTAAGTGGAGAGGGGATCCCCAAATGAGCTGGTGGAGTTTGATTGACAGACTTTCTCTCAACATTTAAGGTGGAAGAGTAGAGAAGATTCTCATAACAACATCAGGCCGGCACATATAAGCACACGGCCACGTTTGGCCACACATCCCCACGAACTTGGATGTAAGTGTTCTAGAGTAGGCACTGATATGAAATGGGCCTATTTATCACCTTTCTTAGGTGGTGTGGAGTTAACAGATGTGTACTGCCAGGCCTCGTTTGAATTTCTTTTTAAATCATAGTAAAATATGCATACAATTTACCATATTATCCTTTTTTTTTTAAAATTTTTTGAGACAAGGTGTCTCTAGCTTTGGAGGCTATCCTGGAACTCGCTCTGTAGACCAGCCTGGCCTTGAACTCATGGAGATCCGCCTGTCTCTGCCTCCTGGGTGCTGGGATTAAAGGTGTGCGCCACCATTGCTCAGCTATTTTAGCCATTTTTAAGTATATTTTTCAACTGAATGGCACAATTTGGTGTAGTCATCATCACCACCACCCATTTTTCCTCACCAAATAAGACAGAAACTTTGTGTCCATTACACAGGAACTCTCCACTCGGGTAGCTCACCTGTAAACCCCCATTCTACCATTTAGTTCCTATGTAGCTTACACTAGCTCAAACTCCCGATACTGCAGCCTCAGCCTCCCCAGTAGCAATATCACAGACAAGACCTGTGCCTGGCCCCTCCTTCTTTTAAACAGGTTTTACCACACCCATTCTCAGGCCAACTTCAGTTTGAATAGGAATGAAAGGAAAAAAAAAAAAAAAAAGGATTGTTAAGACTTTTGTAAAAATATCCCTAAAGACCAAAATGAGTTTTTTTTTTACTGTTCCAGGATATTGGCTATCAGTTTTCTCATAGCTGAGGGCTGTAGAAACATGACTGAATAGTGCTTTATAAAAGCACAAACTATGTCATGTAGAAATCAAGTTTGTGAACGGCATTGTGAATTTATTAGTTTCCTCTTGAAAAATAAGAACTTGGCTTACTGGGATGCAGTGACAGATGAAGAAATGTTTTAAGCCACGTTGCTAGGTACTTGAGAGGACTACTAACCAACTCAGTGCCTGCAGTCCAGGGTCATTCTCACGAAGGACACAAAACCCTGCAGTCCAGGATTGGCATTGTGACACCTCACTTTCTTCATTTTGAAGACTCAGACTACAGTTAAAATTTAAGTGGGGGTGGCACACATCCTTAATCCCAGCACTTGGGGGCAGACAGGTGGATCTGAGTTCCATGCCAGCCTAGTCTACAGAGCAAGTTCTAGAACAGCCAGGGCTACACAGAGAAACCTTATCTCAAAAACCAAAACCAAACCAACCAACTAACCAAGATTTAAGTTCCTTGCTGGGCAGTGGCACAGGCTATTAGATCTCTGTAAGTTCCAGGTCAGCCAGAGTGCCATAGTGAGACTTCAAACCAAACCAAACCAAACCAAACTTCAGCCTCTTAAGGTAGATAATTTCCACGTGTTGGCACAGTATTTTAGAGTAATATATTTACAGAAGGGCTTAAGAACCTGTGTTTCACTTATGGTATAGCTTAAAACACTAAAAATTACTTTTTTGAGATGTCTCAATGGTTAGAATTTGCTGCTCTTGCAGTTGATATGAGTTTGGTTCCCAGCACCCACATGGTGGCTCACAACTATCCTTAACCCAGTTCCATGGGACCCAATGCCCCCTCTGCTGATCTGAGGGCACCAGGCATACGCTGTGCACATACATACACACAGGCAAAACACTCACACCACACACACCTAAACACACCCATAAAGAACTACGTAAAAGCAGTGTGATATATGTGATACTTAAAAAAAAAAATCAAAACACCAGTGGCAACCAAATTTATTTATTTCACAAGGAAATATTTGTCAATAAATGACTCAGTATTTAAAAATACATCCAAGTAATAAATAAAGTGTCAAACCCGCAACTGTGATTCATACTCAAGAATGCTTACCTACATAATAACTCAAGGATTAACAGTCTTTGTCACCATAACCTTGATGAACTTTCAAAGATAAGGAATTGTCAAGGAGCAGTTCCCATTTATTCATTCATTGCTGTGTTCATTTTATTCTTTTGGGGGGATATGTAAAGTCTTACTATAGACTGACCTCAAATTTGAGATGCCCTTCCTGTCTCAATCTATAAATAGTTAAGACTCAAACAAAATACAAGCCAAGACCCAGACAGTACAGATTGACAGCATAGGGCCAGGAGAGTTTCCTCCAAGTCACAGAGGCCAGTTCTGAACCGGAGGGAAGCTTTACCTGGGCCGCTGGAGGAAGGCCACAGCACGGAAGCCAATGTCCTTCCTGTAAACTGCTCCCTCAAACTTTATAGCAGCAAGTCCTTTCTTGGCTTCTTCAAGGGCTGACACAAGATTTTCCCGGACAGCTGTCACTGTGAGGACTCTGCCCCCACTGGTCACCACTCTGCCTTCTTTAAGAGCAGTGCCTGCATGGAATACCTGCAGTCCTAAAGCCTGGGCCTCTGGAAACCCTGTAAGCAAGCACAGATAACAAAGTGGGTGTTTTTTGTTGAGACAGGGCTGGTTTTCACAACATAGACCAGGCTAGCCTCAAACTCAGTGATCCACCACCTCTGGCTTCCAAATCTCAGGATTAAAGGTGTGCACTGTCATGCCCTGCAACAAAGACTTCGAAACATTTCATCCTGTGCTGTGGTCCTGCTCCAAAATTCCAGTTCCTGGGGAGTGAGAAAAACCAACCAACCAACCAACCAACCAACCAACCAACCAACCAACCAACCAATCAACCAAACCAGGAAAAAGCTATAGTTTCAACGAGGAAGGGAAGTATGGTAGTTAATTTTTCTTCCCAAGAGCTTAAAAAAGATAGACTGTTTCTTTAACATGTGAAACACAGTTATAAAGACAACTCTATCTCACCTCCATAATGCAGTCTCCCATCCCCTCTTCTCTTCCCAGCACCTGGTGTGGTAATGTATTAGCCACAGTTTCTCTGAATGGTCTGACAACACAGTGCCACCCAGCACAGTAACTTTATGCCTGCTGGTACTGTCCAATTTTGCTGTCCTGGGGTCACCAGTGCACTTCTTAGGGGAAATTTCATCAAGACAAACGCTCTTGGTTCAATCTCATTTCTCTGGTTCCTTTCCAGAAGCAAATATTCCTGATTCTGAGATTACAAGCTGATAGTCTTCTTGCTTATTTTTCTGGGCAGGACCAAATACACTCATACTAAGAAAGGCTATGCTACAACACACTAGGAGCCACAGAGGTCTTTGGCCACGAATCACAGACTGGATGCCATTTAAACACACACCTCATGGCCAGTTAAAAAAGAAAAGGGGGGTGGGGGATAGGACCTTTCAAATTTTGACTTCTGCCCCAGAAACCGTGATCCTTGGGCAGGCTGTACTCTAGCGGCCCAAACTGCATAAACAGAGCTTGTGTCTTTAAGTCTCCCTCATGCTAACAACGCTGACTCTCACGCTATTTCTACCCTGGCTGTGGGGAGGTGGACTCGCAGGGCTGCGAAGGGTCACTCTGGGAACCTGACCAGGTCACTCATTAACTGCTGCAGTTCTTTAAGACACTAAGCAGGGCCAAGAAGCTGTCAGGGTCTGATGGTGTTCGTCCACGGGGGAAGAGCTTGCTGTGGTCTCAGTCACCAGTTTCAGTGTAACCCAACCTCTTTCTTAATTACCGCTCCTCACCTGTTATCTCCACACCCTTGGCGTAGGCTCCGGGGTACCCTTTACTTGCCATGACAACAGTTATGGCAGTGTGGTTTTCTAGCCAAACAGGCAGACACGTATTCAGCATGCCATCCAAGGTGGACTGGATCACTTCATAAAGGTCACTTTTAAGAAGTGGGAGGATTACCTGGAAGAACAGAATCAATATGGTAGATGAGATGAACTTTCATAGTCTTCTCTTTATTCATTTCTTCCATCTTATTCATTGGGATACCCACGGAAATGTTTCTCAAAGGCAATTATTTCAAGACTGATAAGCCCTGAGGACAAAATAATGCTTTTCTTCCAAAAAGTAGTGGTATGCTACTTTTATTACTATTTTGAGACAGAGTCTCTGTAGCCGAGGCCATGCTTGAACTCTATCTGCCTCTGCCTCTCAGGATTGGGATTAAAGAGACACACCACACCACCATACCAGGCGGTATCTTATTTATTGTTACCCACTTGGCATTCTGGGTCACCAAAACGGCAATTAAACTCCAAAACTTTTGGGCCATCTTTGGTCAGCATTATACCAGCGTAGAGAATTCCTTTATTTAGAGAGAGAAAGAGAGAGGGAGGAAATCTGTAATGATGTAATGACAACATTGCATTATAACTATAAAACCTAGACTCTGAACTGTTTTTTTGAGACAAAGCCTCATGTATCTCAGCTTGAATTTAAACTCATTTTGTAGTTGAGGATAGCCTTGAACTTTTGATCCACCTGCTCCAAATCCCAGGTGCTGGGATTACAGGTGTGCCCCACCATGCCCAAGTGTATGGTCCTAGAGATAGAACCCAGGGCTCTATGTATGCTAGGCAAGCATTCTATCAACTGAGCTATAACTTCTAGTACTAAACATCTGAATATGACTGAAGTTGCAGAAAATGAGAGACTAACTTCCAGCCAAAGTAGACCACCACTGTATAATAGCCCAGGCCGGCCTCCTTACCTGTGTAGGGCACACCCTCCTGCCGCATGCCATCGACTGTTCTCTGAAGAATAGTGGTTTTAATCTTTAGTAACAAATCTTTAGGAACCTGGGGAACACACAGAAACATTTAAATGTAAATTTGCTGCTGTTGTTTTTGAGACAGGGTTTCTTTGGAGCTCTGTAGACCAGACTGGCCTTGAACTCACAGAGATCCCCGTCTCTGCCTCCCTATAATCATATGTGAAGGCGTATTCCTTTAATCCTAACACCTGCGAGGCAAAGGGAGGTAGACTGAGTTTGAGACCAGACTGGTCAGAGTCATAGAGAGACCCTGTTTCAAAACAAACAAAACACCCTCACAACGCCCTTATCTCACAGGGCTGGAAAGAACTCTAATCAAACGCTTCCTACTCAAGGACACATTTGTGGCAAGTGTCAGTGTCTGTCTACTTTCGCCTTTCCTAACCACGTCACCAAACTAGTGCAGGCCTGCTCCTTTCCTGTCTGCAGATCAGTGGCAATCACCATTTCACCTCAACAGGGCTCAACTATTCACCTTCAAAATACCTCACTCAAAGCTTCCTCAGACACAACGCTAAAATTAACAGTTCTCTCTTCCTCTCGTTCTGAGGTGTATCCTTCTAGCATTCCACGCAAATTTTTAAGCCTATAGATTTATGCATAAGAGTTCAATTGTGGAAATTAGGCTTACACACAGTTATCTCAAAAATCACTGTTATCAAAACCTATAAAAATATGCTTTGCTTTTATTCGAGACAGGGTCCCTCTATGTAGCCCAGGCTATCCTAAGAAGACATAGAAATAGAAATGATTTCTAGAGAGCTAAACCATTCTATTTCAACAATGGAGCTTTCTTTTCTTGTTTTTTTTGAGATGGATTTTGTGTATCCTTGGCTTTCCTCGAACTCAAGAGATCCTCCTGCCTCTGCCTTGATGCAGTGCATAAGTGCATCTGGCTAATGCAGACTTTGTTACATAAAACTACCCAGAAATTAGGAATATTGCCTGTCAGTCTGAAGTAGAGAGTGTGCAACTATGGCCTGTCCTGGATCTGTTTTATGTGCTGGGCCCGGGATCCAGAGGAAGAAAACAATTCTAGCTCTCATGCAATTAAAATATGGGTGTACACAGTTGGACAGGATACAGAACTGATTGTATTTCCTATCCCTTAGACTGGCTCTTAGTCCCTTAAAGACCATCAGAAGCAGTTGTTAGAGACCCTAAGAGGTAACTTCTCATTGGGAAGATAGCCAGCCTGCTGATTAGTGACAGTGTACGGTACCTGGGGTGTTGGGCAATAGGCTCCCATTCCCCCTGTGTTGGGGCCCTGATCTCCATCCAGCAATCGCTTATGGTCCTGTGCTGGGGGCATTGGGGCCACTGTCTTCCCATCAGTGAAACATAGACACTGTGGAGAAAACAGATTAGTCCGCTTAGGTCAAATGTCAAAAAGTCAAACATGATTCTTCTTAGAGGAAAAGTTTTCATTTCTGAAGAAAACTTGGACAATAATTCCAAGTTATATGGCAGGAACCAGATCTTGGATATTGAACTTGTAAAGGAGCTGTTATTTATAACAAACTAGGGACACACCTGGTTTCTACCCAGGACAAACATCAATCTTCCTACTGTTGAGACTGCCAGGCACTCATACTGTAAGGCAACGCTACTTCAGCACTTACTGTGTAGGTAGCTGTATGTGAAACAAAGACCATGAGTGCATGGAACCTGCACAGTGTGACTTAAGTCCAAGTGTCCCCATTCATGTCTATGGCAGTGGTTCTCAATAAGCAGCCCCAGGATGATGGGATGGGAGTTGCAGGGGTCTCCTAAGACCATTAGAGAACACAGATATTTACATTATGACTCATAACAGTAGCAAAATTATACCTAGAACATAGGAATGAAAGTAATCTTATGGTTGGGGTCACCACGACATGAGAAACTGTATTCAATGGTCAGCACTAGGAAGGTGAGAACCACTGGTCTAGGGTGTTCAATGGGCAGCGTTAGGAAGGTGAGAACCACTGGTCTAAACACGCGTTTTCTCATCCCAATCCTAACCCTGTGTAAACCCTGTTTTTAATCTGCTGGGCTCTGGTTCTCAGACGGTGCTAACAGAGTAAATGGAGTCTGTTTTGGGGCATGTTAAAGGCACAGAAAAGAGATGGCTATACTTACAGACACTTCTTCCCCTTCCAGAAATTCTTCCACAACAACTGTTTCTCCAGCCGCTCCAAAAGACTTTTCCTAATTGTGATTAAAAGTAAAAGGCTCTGTAAATCTTAGAACTTTTAAATTGACGTGTAGAACTGTCTCCTATTTGAGTTATGAAATACACAAGCACTGTAACTTTTTTCTGAAGACCTAACACAGGATATTTGCTGGTCTTTGACATGGTAGCAGGTAGAGCTCACATTTCTGCCACTTTCCTGACCACCATTTAATCTTTATTCTTGGTTATGACCATGAAGATTTTGTCTATAAACATTGTACAAAATCATGCACGTGAAAATAGACTTCTCTAAGAGGCTGAGTCATAATCATTGATATGGATTGCAAAGGAAACATTGTATCCATCCACTGCTCTACTTTGGTTAAGACTTGGAACACACAGGACAGATGCCCTTATTGTTATGGGTGCCAGGAGAGTTATCAAAGACTTTCTACCTTCCCCAGACACTAAGAATGTTAGAACTCACATCAAAAGGAGCCATTGGTTAGGGATTGGTGTAGCTCTGCACCAGCCATTTTCTAGAAATGGACTGCGCACAGTACAATGGACACCAGCTTTCCAGCGTGTTTGGGACATTTGGAGGCCCACGCTGTGGACTTAGAATATTTACTCATAGAGAGAGAACCTTCCCGAAGCAGCCACCTACTCGCATGATCTCCTGTACAGCTCTGCAGGCCTCCTCCTTGCTCTCTGCAACAATCACTCCTTTCCCAGCTGCAAGGCCACTGGCCTTCACAACCAAAGCAGGGAAGTCTGCGCTGTGGAGACAGGGAAGCTTTCATCAGCCACCAAATCCTCATAATGCAGACACTTAGATCCTCTTGTGATTTATAATAGTATGGGTCAGTAAAAGTGGAAGGTATACAGGGAAAAAATATTACTCCAGTATCATTTCAGGTAATTCTTGCCAAGATTTTTTTCTTGTGTATTTTACAATTTTGATCATACAGCAAGTACAATTTTGCTTTCTTCAGAGTGAGGTCAAATAAGTAACAATCCTTAAAAAGTTAAGCAGCTTTGTAGAGCAGACAAAGCATCATCTGTAAGATACACGCAGGGAATCTCAATATACAGCCAGATGACACCAACACAGGCAGACAGATTTCCAGAAACACAAAGCAATGAAGTGAGTCTGGAGATCTGGAAGGAGGGTTAACCAAAGTAAGTAACAAAGCTGTTACTTACCCAAGACACTGGGTTATTAGGATAGTAATAATATTCAGTGTTTAAGAAACCCCATGGGATGAAGAATGAACTTGGGTCAGCAAGATGGCTGACCAGAGTTCAATTCCTGGTGTTTTCTGATTCTAAGTATGTGTCAAAAAACAAACCAAAAAAACTTGACCCTACAGGAAGGAAAATATGTTGTGTGGCAGGGAGGAACAGAGAAAGGGGAGAAAGGCATGTGCTTATAAATGCACTAACTTCTCAAAGATCTCCACATGCAGGAGAGAAGGATACTAACGGGCCCAGGTTCGATTCCCAACACGCACAGGGCAGCTCAGGACTGTTTGTAACTCCAATCCCAGTGGATCTCAGGCCTCTTCTCACCTTTTTGGTCATCAGGCCATTCACACAGGCAAAATACCCATACACATAAGATAACAAAATCTAAAACCATTTACAAATTCACTAACTGCAGGGTCTGTTGTCTCACACCCATTGTCCCAGTACCTGGGAAGCTAAAGCAGGAGCAGGCCATCAGTGTAAGATCCTACTGTTGTAATAATACACCACTATGTTTGCCAGTTGCAGGACAATATGTATTTCCTCCTGGAGATCTCAGTAGTGAAGACAGTAACATATAATCGACAAGATTATTTAAGGGAAGCGCGTACAGAATCGTAGGTTTTTTTCCTTTTTGTTTGAGACTGGATCCATGTAGCCCAGGCTGCTTTTGATCTGGATCCTTCAGCTTCCATTTCCCAAGTGCTGGAGAATCCCATCTTATTGTGATGTTGAAAAGGAAACTAATTGTTGTATTTCAAGTTATCTTTTCCATAACTAATTCAATACAAACCACGAAAGCCTAAGAACTAAACTTTGTGTTTTCTTTTTGGTTTTTCTTTAAACCCCGTAGCCCTGGTTGTACTGGAACTCACTCTGTAGCTCAAGATGGCCTGAAACTCATAGATTCCCTTGCCTCTGCCTCTTGAGTGCTGGGGTTAAAGGTGTGAGCCACCACTGCCACCTTAAACACCGTGCTTTCAACATGAAAGAGACTTTCTATTCACATTCCATGGATACCTGTCCTTCACAGGGTAGGCTACCTTCCACCCACCTCATAATAAAGCTGCAGGCATCTTCAGGACTGGTGAAGGCTCTCCACTGCGCAGTTGGGATTCCATGTCGATCCATAAACTCTTTGGCAAACTTTTTACTGGATTCTAACTGGGCTGCTTGTGCTGTGGGGCCAAAGCATCGTACGCCGGCACGGGTCAGGTCCTCAACAACTCCTACAGGAAGAAGCAAAAAGAAATCCAGGTGACCCACAGTCCATCTAGGAACCAGATATGAATTATGATGAGAATAAATCTATGTTTAGTCAAGGTGCAGGCAAATTGGCAGTTATAATAGCTCAAGTTTTCCATGTTGTCTTTTATTTATTAGCAGAGTATTACTAAGAGGTGATTCTAGGTATACAGAAAGAGCCGTGCAATGTGGCGGCTGAGCCCCAGCTAACTGAGAGGATGAGGTGGGAGCCCTCAAGCTGTAGATCAGCTTGGGCACTATAACTAGACCTCATTTCAAAACAAAACACCCAGACAAACAAAAGCCAACACAAGTGAATGGTTCTACGTGAATATTTGGATTTGTCCTATTGAATATATACATTACTAAGGAGACTAGAAAAGAGCAGAAGAAATGCACAATTTGATCCCGATTTCCTCTTATTATCGAAGGCTGAGGGGGAAAGAAAACAGAAACCTCGATCCCACTAACTTCAAGTGGCCGATGTGTTATTAGGAATCCCCATCCTTGGACTGGATGAAATTGTCTCTAAACTTGTGCAGGCATTGTGTGTGGCAGCGAGGAGAGTTTACCTGCAGCTAGAGGGGCCTCTGGTCCAACAACCACGAGCTCAATCTTTTCATCTTTGCAGAACTGAGCCAGGACAGCGTGATCAGAGACGAAGACAGCTGTGAACAGAAGACATAAACCCACACATGCACAAAGATGTCTTCAGTTAACCAGATAAGCTAAGCACTACCCTTAGTAAGGTAATTTACAAACTAAGGCAGTCGGTGGTTTTGCCTTTGCGGGTACAGTTAGTAATTTTCACCATGAGAAATTCCAAACAGCGCATTACGTTAAAGAAGCTCAGAAGCCTACTATCACTGTCGCCAGTCAGGGACTCCAACATTACAATGTGGCTGCTCTTGTTGCCAGTCTTGGTTGCATAGGAAAGAGACAAACCCAGAGAACACACCCAGAAACTGTTTTTCCACAAACAAGCATAAGCTGCCTTTAATCTGCACTAGGCACCTGCTACCTTTTTCAATCACAGTGGTTCACAGGTGTAAGACACACTACCTCATGCTTACCACACAGAGAGACTTCACGGTACGATTTTGAATAGAGAACTACCTATTAAAGGTTGTGTGTGAGCTATCATGCATTATCAACACTATTAAACACCCCCACCCCATTTTGAAACATAATTACCAGCATTTGAGATCTTTCCGCAACAGGCAGTGCCTGCATTTCCTGGGGCAACCAACACTTGTTTGACATGATGAGACTGTGCTAGTTTCCAGGCCAAGGTATGTTCCCTCCCTCCACTGCCAATCACAAGAACTCGGGCTGCCATTGCTGTCTGCAAAGCAGGGATTCAGAAGCAAAATGAAACCTGCAGAAAGAAAACCATAGTTGACATCTTAAAACGCATGCATTTTAGAAGACACCATTTTTCTTTTTTGGTAGTGTTTTATTTTGTTAACTTTTCTGTGTACCAGTGTTTTGTCTGCATGCATGTCTATGTACCACAGGTGTGCCTAGTGTCCATGGAGGCCAGAAGAGGTTCTTGGATCCTCTGGTACTGGTACTTTGGTGGGTGTGGATGCTGGTAATTAAACTCCAGTCCCCTGGAATCGTTGCAAGTCTGGTCACTGCTGAGCCATCTCTTTAGCCATTCTTTTGGTGTTCTTGAGAAAGTCACTCTATGCTGCCCGGAGATGGCCCATGCTGCTCTTCCAGAGGACTTGGGTTCAATTTCTAGCATCTACATGGCGGCTAGCAACTATGTAACCAAACCCAGGGGACCTGACCCCTCCCTTTCGCTGGCCTCTCTGGGCACAAGGTACACTGGTGGTAAACAAGCAGGCAGGCAAGCCACTCAGACACACACAAGGCAAACCCCAGCTGTGAGGCCGGACTTGTGTATCTCATCCACACTGTGAGGTGTCAGAGAGGACACAGTGCAAGTGTGGTACTTAGAAATAAATATATTTGAGGGCTATTCGTGCGCTGTCCAAACTAAGTAGAGCTTCATTAAAGCCTGAAGGGACAGTACATTAATGGGTGCGCACCATCTAGAAAAACGATTTACATAAACAGCAGGCATAGGCTATTTGCCTTATCGGTGCTCCAGACAACAGGAAGCAGAAGCAGGTTAAAAAAACAAGCAGAACTGTGTTTCTACACAATTGCATTATTATGGGCACCTGCCTCCCCAGTGCTGAGGTTACAAGTGTGGGCCACCATGCCTGGCTTCTCCTACCATTTGTTTTCTGGCTGTACAAAAACAAGAAACAAAATCATTTGTATGTAATCCATAGCTTGCAGGTTTATGGTGTAGGAGCTCATGGGATACCCTGGGTTGGAAATCTGTTAGAGAAGCCAAAATCAAAACCTAACACATCTCACTTGACTGCTAGTATTTATTACTTTTAGCTGTTAAGAATGAACAGAGTTAGCTGGGCGGTGGTGGTGCACGCCTTTAATCCTAGCACTCGGGAGGCAGAGGCAGGGGATCTCTGTGAGTTCGAGGCTAGGCTGGACCGACAGCCTCCAAAGCCAGAGAAACCCTGTCTTGTAAAAACCAAAAACAAACAAACAAACAAACAAACAAAAAACCAAAAAAACAGAATGAACAGAGTTAACATTAAAATAGTGTGTGAGCTGGGTGGTGGCGGCGGCGACGCAGGCCTTTAATCCCAGCACTTGGGAGGCAGAGGCAGGCGGATCTCTGTGAGTTTGAGGCCGGGCTGGACCGCCAGCCTCCAAAACAATACAGAGAAACCCTGTCTCTAAAACCAAAAAAAAAAAAAAAAGGTGTGTGAGTTCAAGGCCTGCCTCATCTACAGAGTTAATTCCAAGACAGCCAGTGCTGTTACACAGAGAAACCGGTCTCAAAACAATGAAACAAAACAGCCCCATATATTGTATACTACAAAGTACACAGAAGTAGGAAACAATAATTTGTTATATGACTTTGCTAACTTAAATCGACACCTCAGGTATAGAAACAATTTATCAAGTCATTGCACAAACAGGAGCAACAATAACAAAGGTGGAGAATGTTAGTTTAGTAATAAAGTTATTGCATAGAGTAAAGCTTCTTGTTCAAATCCTAGCACCAAACTCGGAGACTGGTGGGGATGCAAAGGAATTAACTAAGCAGAAGATGGGTTACAGGCAAAACTGTCATTTGTACCTTCTAAATTGATACTCCAGTTTAGGGTTACATATTTAAACAGGCTGATGAGTGGCTCATCAGTTAAGGGCTCTCTCTCCCTCCCTCCCTTTTCCAGACAGGGTTTCTCTGTGGAACAGCCCTGGCTGTCCTGGAACTAACTCTGTAGACCAGGCTTGCTTTGAACTCACATAGATCCGCCGGCGGCCTGTGCCTCCAGCGTGCCGGGATTAAAGGCGTGGGCCCCCACCGCCAGGCTGAGCTTGGTGCTCTTACAGAGTACCGGGGCTTACTAACGTCCTAACTTTGGTTCCAGAGATACAACACCTTCTTCCGGCCTCCTTGGGGCATTGCAAGCACGTGGGGCACACAGATGCATGGAAGGGAAAGACTATACATAAAAAGGCTTTTGGTTCAATTCCATGTGTCATTTTCTTAGGGATAGTTGAAGCCGATAGATCTTTATTAATAGTTTGAGTAGCAGCGGAGTCAAAGGGCCTTAGTACCCGGGAGACCTTTCTATCTTAGGTGTCAGTTAATTAGAAGGCAACTTACGGGGAGAATACAAGAGTCGGGCAAAAACATTCCCAAAGATTTGTTTAAAAAGTAGAAACCAAGCCAGGCAGTGGTGGCTTTATTCCCAGCACCAAGGGAGACGGATGTATGTAAATTCGAGGTCAGCTTGGTCTGATAAGCCACACAGAGAAACCCTGAGAAGGGGGGAAAAAAAACAAAACAAAACCCAAAAAAAGTAGAACCCAAACGCCAATGCGGTCCCGCTAACCCGTTAGGGACAATGACAGAACCCATCTCCTTTTTTTTTTTTAATCGACTTCACGGGGTCTGTAACTTTAAAAGGCGCAGACAAACAGAGACCTGAACCGGGTCTCAGTAAGCAGGGCGCGGGGAAAAGGTCTGGCCCGGGCCGACCTCAGTTGTGGCCGTGCGCAGCACAGCGTGCGAACCCTTTCCTCCCGGCGAACCCAGCCTCGGCACCCGCAGCCGCCGGGGCTAAACCCTATCAGCTCGGAGAGGAGCGGAGCGGAGGCGCCGTCCCCGCACGGCCTGGAAACACAGAGGGGTTCACGCACCTGCAGGCCCCGGCCACGCTGCTGCCGCTCGCACCCGACGGAAGCACGCACACCCCTCTCCCTCCCCGGGAACCCGGAGCGCGCGCCGGCCCCCGCCCCGCCCCCGGCGGCTTCGGACGCCCCCATTGGCCGGGCCTCCTCGGTCCCCGCCCTCGAGGGGGTCCCCTCCCCGCCCGCGCCCCTCCCGCCCTAGGGTGCGGTCCGCGCTGGTCGCCTGGCGGGGCTCGCGTGCGCCGCTGGCTGACGCTGGTTCGGGGCGGCCCCGGTGACAGCGTCCCGAGCCGAGCACACGAGTGCGCGAGGCCGCACGGCCGCGGGACGTGACGCGGCGGAGGAACGCGGGCACGCGGGCGCGCGCGCACGACCCCCTTCCCCCCCCAGTACCCGCGGCGCTTGCCGCCCGCGCGCTGGAGCCCCTGTCCCCATCCCCCTTCCTCCGCTGCCTCTAAGTCTCGGGGCCTGCACTCGTGACACAAAAGCCTCTCAGGGAGGCGCGGGCGGGGGGGAAGCCGCAGCCGCGGCGGGCACGGCCGCCTCGGGGAGCGGCTTCTCCTGTAATGGCGCCTGCGTCAAGCACTAACATGGCGGACTAGCGGGTGCGCGGCGCAAACGTCAGCACCTCTCCCTCCCGGCGGCTCGGAGACAGCGCCGGGGAGCGCGGCGGCGCGCGCTGATTGGCTCGCGGGCGGAGCGTGCAGGGCCGGACGCGCCCCCGCCGGCCAATCAGGAGAGGGATTAAAGGAATTGGCCGCTGCGCCTCCTCCCGAGGCATGCTGGGAGCCTGGAGGACTAGCGAGGAGGAGTTGAGAGAACGGAGCAGACGCCATGGCGGCCGACATCGAGCAGGTTTTTAGGTCTTTCGTGGTCAGTAAATTCCGGGAAATACAACAGGAGCTTTCCAGGTAAGCGGTCCCCCCGGGCTCCCCCTGCCCCTGGCGGGCGGCGAGGGCCTCGTCTACCCTTCCGTGTGGCGCCTTTCACGGAGACGCCGTCGTTGCTCGGCTCGGGCCCCGCTACGGCCCCGCCTGGGCCCGGGATCCATTTTCCGGGCCCCCCCACCCTCACCCCCCGGCCCCTCCGTGCGCTTCTTTCGAGGGCGGTCGCCCCTTGCGCGGTGTGCGCACACGCCGCTGCCGTCCCGGGGCCGAGACGGGGCCCCTTCGCTCGGTGCGGACGCCCCGGAGCCCTGCCGAGGCCCCGCGTCCGCCAGGGCCGGGCCTAGCTCTCTCGGCGGCCCCTCCTCCGCCGCCGCCGCCTCTCCCTTCCCCCTCCCCGCCTCCGCGCATCTCCGCGGCCCGTGTCGCCGGCCGGAAAGGGTCTCTAACGGCCGCTTCTTGGGCAACCTGAAAACTTGTTTATCATTGTCCGCCTCGGATCGGTCGGCGGCCGGCGTCTGTTTAGGAGACGGTTCGGGCCCCGCTTGGTGCCCTGCTCCGGGGACCGGATAGGCACTCTCCTTTTTTTTTTTCTTCTTTCTTTTCCCCGCCCGCAGTTGTAAACTAAGACATCTCGCTTCGGTGATGAAAAATATTCGAAGGGGGGCTCCGGAACGCGTGGCGGCTGGGTTTTATTGAGTGGAGAGTGGGCTCCGTGTGTGTAAGATGTGTTATCTTTCTTGCCGCCCTGACCTAATGGACAGATCTGGAGAACATCGCGCTGTTTTTTGTCGCTGCTAAGTAGACTTCGGAGATTAGCCTTGCCTCCCGAAATTTCAAGGGGAAGAGGTTTCCGAAGTTGTTTACTCCGGAGAATAGTGCGGATTATATCAAACGGTTTTCTTTTAGTAGTTTATTTTGTGTCAAATGACCGTCCCTTTAAAATGCAGTAAGAAAGGGTTCTTGAAGAGTAAATATTCTGGGTTAAAGATGTTTACGAATGGTGTAAGTTGAGAGCAGTAATAATGTGAGTTAGAAAAATCAGCTGATAAGCAGTTGTGAATTATGTTCCCAAATTAGCTAGGGTTATTGGTGCAATAATATTTTATTGCTGGAATTTTCGTTTTTTTTTCAAGATGTGATTTGTTTTCTTTTGGTTCTTTCATTTTTCTTTTCCGTGGACAGGCTCTACTAATGTCACTGCTTACAGTCTTGCCTAACTGAATGGCGTCCCACTGTCCCAGCGATGGGTGGGATCACAAGCTTGAGCTACTTCAACATCCCTGGGTTTTTTGTTTTGTTTTGTTTTTTCTTCCTTCATTTCTTTTTGGTTTTTCTAGATAGGGTTTCTCCGTATAGCTGGCTGCCCGGGAACTCATTCTGTAGACCAGGCTGGCCTTGGTTCAGAGATTCACCTGTCTCTGCCTCCCTAGTGCTGGCATTAAAGATGTGTGCTACCACTGCCCCGGCTACTTCTTTTTTTTAAAGTAGGAATACACACACATGTATATATATACATGTGCATATAAATATATATATATACCCCCACTCTGTAGCTTTTCCTTTCTTTTTTTAAAAAACATTTTGAGGTTTTTTGGGGGGGGCAAAAACGTAAACTAGGGAGAATATAATTTTCCTGGAAACTTTGTTGTTTTCAGGCAGGGTGTCTCACTATGTAGCTCTGGCTGATCTAGAACTCCAAATGTAGGCCAGGCTGGCTTTGAGTTCATAGCGATCTTCTATCTTTTGGGATTAAAGTCCTATGCTATCACAACCTCTGTTTTGAAAGTTTATGTAGTTTACTGCACTAATTGTATTTACTTGTTTTAATAAGCCTTGATTTTTTTTTATAGTCTTTGAGGGGGTTTCCTTTTGTGATGTGGTTTCTCTATGTAGCCCTGGCTCCTGGCTGTGCTGGAACTCACAAGAGATCATCTCCCTCTGGCTCCCAAGCGCTGGGATTAAAGGTGTGAGCCACCATGGGCTGGCAGCAGATCTCTGAATGTGATCATTTTGTATTGTGTGTTTTTGTCATATACTGTGTCCTTTGGAGTTTCGGGAATTTGGATATTTTCATAACTATAAATTCCTTTCCAGGGTAAATTGTTGGATAGCAAAGTGGCTTGAAATTAATTGCTTTTCAGTAATTGTAATTACATCCTAGTAACATTAGGAAGAAATTATTGGCCCAGTAGTAATGGTACACACTTTTAATCCCAGTGCTTGGGAGGCAGAGGCAGGTGATTCTCTGGGTTTGAGGCCAGCCTGGTCTACAGTAGCTAGTTTTAGGACAGCTAGGGATACACATAGAAACCTTGTCTTGAAAAACATCACATTTTTTGGGAGTGCTTTTTTTCCCAACAGATCCACCTTCCTCTGCCTCACAATGGCTGAGTTGCTACCATGCCCAGCCCTTTAATCCTAATGCTTAGAAGGCAGAGTCAGAAAGATCTCTGTGAGTTCTAACATAGCCAGGCCAGACAGAATAGAGAAACTGTCTCAAAAAATCAGGTAAGTATGTGTAGATGGTTGGAAAAGTCTGCAAAGAGCATTAGAAAAACACAGGATCAGTCTTTTTGTTGCCACTTCAGTGAGCTATTCTATTTGCTTATTATATATTCATCAATAGATGGTGAGGCTGACTCTTAGACAACTAAACTCCTCAAATCACTGTATATAGATGTATTTCTTCCATTTATAGAAACAATAATAGCCCTGATTGAAGAGTTTTATTAAAATCACATGATTTTTTAAATATGTGACAGGCTAGACAAGGCACAAGCCCTCAGTCCCAGCAGTTAGACAGGAGGGCAGATCTCTCTGAGTTCAAGACCAGCCCGGGCTACATAGTGAGACCTTCATCTTAAAAACAAAAGTGGCACTGGTTAGTACTTATTTATCAGACTAACAAGGTTCGTTGTGTTAGAAAGTCATTCCTCATCACTAAGTATTTGTTTCTGTAATGAAACTATTAGCAGGTAGTTTTGTTTTTGTTTTTTGGTTTTTACGAGACAGGGTTTCTCTGTATTGTTTCGGAGGCTATTGGTCCAGCCCGGCCTCAAACTCACAGAGATCCGCCTGCCTCTGCCTCCCGAGTGCTGGGATTAAAGGCGTTCGCCACCACCGCCCGGCTAGCAGGTAGTTTTATGTGTATTCAGTTAGTAAAATTTTAGTTGAAACTGAATGAATTTTAATTTTTTTGCAAGTTTACACAAAAAAATAGTAAAAATGCTTCCATGAATGACCTTGTTTTATCTTTAGTAACATTCTTCTGGCCCTGTAATCTGAAAATAGGTTAAGCCATTAATCATTTTACTATTAGTATAAACTTGTTCAGTGGGAATTTCTTGAAGTCCAGAAATTGTTTAGGTGCAGAATTTTTAATAGGTGTAAAATACTAGATAGTAATTTTCTTTTTAAATTTAAAGGTATTAAAGTCTGAACCTGAGGGGAGTCTACAAGTAACCTTTTACCGGGTACCTGCCCTGACTGGCTGTCATCCACAGGGGTGGCTTTCTTGTGTCTCATCAATTTATCTTTGTGAATTGGCTCATTAATGCTATGTAACTGAAAGCTTTAAGTTAGGGTTTTTTTTTTTTTTTGTTTTTTGTTTTTTGTTTTTTTTTTTTTTACGAGACAGGGTTTCTCTGTATTGAGGCTGTCGGTCCAGCCTGGCCTCGAACACACAGAGATCCGCCTGCCTCTGCCTCCCAGTGCTGGGATTAAAGGCGTGCTCCACCACCAGCCCGGCTTAATTTAGTTTATTTTTTTTTAATTTAGATTTTTTTAAAACTCACTTAGAGATCTGATTTTAAGGACCTTTCTCTGTCACAGTTCTGAAAACTAACATTCCATCTTGAGTGTATAATGTTAAGGAAGAACTTATTAATGGCAAACATGAAATAATAGAAAATTGTGAGGTGCATGGGCAGTATAATGTGGGGTTATGTTAGTTAGGTTACTAATAATGTTGAGTTAGTAACTTACGGTGTGATACAAGTATTAATGGAGACTGATAATTTTTCTTGTCAAGCGGAAGGAGTGAAGGCCAGCTGAATGGTGAAACAAATGCACCTATTGAAGGAAGCCAGGCAGGTGACACAGCTGCCTCTGCAAGGAGTCTCCCAAATGAAGAAATAGTGCAGAAGATAGAGGAAGTCCTTTCTGGGGTCCTAGACACGGAACTACGATATAAGCCAGGTAAGTTGAGGGTAACTGCTTCAAAGGTCTTTTGAAATTTGTGAATGTTGGTTTTAGGTTAAAATTTGTATAGTGTCTTGAACTCCTTTGAAAACAGTTATATACAAACGTGAACATTGAAACACTTCATTGATTTACTGGTAAAATAATATTTTTAATATCTTCAGTTTTGTTATGAATAAATGGCAGGATTTTTCTATGTGTGCCTTTGAAGAATTGTATTAATACCAGTTTTTTAAAGTTGCTTTTGGTTTTGTTTTTCTTAATTTTTATTGTGCATGTATGAATGTTTTAGTGTATGAATAGGTAGCATGTGTGTACTGGTGCCTGAGGAAGGCATGAGGAGGGTTTTGTAAACTAAGGGGGTGTTGAGAACTGACCAGGTTCTTTGTGTAGTATTTGCTTTTTGAAATTGATTAAATAGTGGGTGATGGAAAATGAAAAAATTGGGGCTGGAGAGATGGCTCAGCATTTAGAACACTGACTGCTCTTCCAGAGGACCCAGGGTTAATTCCCAGCACCCACATGGCAGCTCACAACTGTCTAATTCCAGGATCCAACACCCTCACACAGATATACATACAGGTAAAAACACTAATAGAATAAAAATAAATAATTAAAAATGAAGAAATTGTGATTAACCACAAAAATAAATTATTAAGTATAGGAATTAGGTGTGTGGTATGGTTCTCTCTGATAAGATATGGTTTAAATAATAGTCTTGTTTAGATCATGGCTCTGGCAATCTTGTTTAGGTATAAACTACCATTTTATGCTGTGAAATAAGCAATAGAAAATTAATTTTCTTTTGATATGTTGTCTAGTGTTGGTACTTTTTCTTCTATAGTAGTCATTCCTGGTATATTTGACTAGCGTTTCCTTAAGATGTGTCAAATTTTAAGCCTAGCAAGTGTCATATCACTTTCAGTATAAATGAGGACTAATAAAATATTAATAGTAGAAGTTATTTAAAGGAGACTTTTTATTTTTGGACAGTAATCTTTTACTAACTCTGTAGTGTGAATTTTTTAAAATAGGGCTTGAAACTAAATATGAAATAAATTCATTGACATAGTTGCTAAAAACTTGATATGATTTGAGAGCAAAGTTTTTTTGGGGAGGTACTTTTTTTGATACAGGGCCTTACTTTGTAATTCTGACTGGCCTGGAGTTTTGTAACCAAGCTGGCCTTGAACTCACAGAGACCTGCCAGCTTCTGCCTACATGCACTATCATCCCCAACCTAAGAAAAGAATGATTTTCAGTGTATTATTGTGTGATTTTGTGCCCACATGTAGGTGGTTAACTATCCATGCAGGCGTGTACATACACAGCCATATGTATGTGGGCTGCCTTATTTGTGAATTGACTTTTTCCTTCTACCAGGTGGGTCCCAGAGATTGAACTCAGGTAGGTCATCAGGTTTGGCTGCAAAATGTCTTTTCATTGAGTTGTCTCACTGACCCTGAGGGGGGCGGGAATGCTTTTTCATCCTACCAGGGTAAACATTGAAGCAAAGGCTCTGCACATGTTAGCAAACACTTTGAGCTATATCCTACCTTAAAATGATTTAGTTCTAAATAGGTCTTTTTGTTATTAGACAAAATTTATTTTGATGCAAATTTCAGTTTAGAAATAACTGGAGAAATGGCAGTCTTCAGGTTTACTGGCTACAATAGATTCTTTTTATAAATTTTTATTTACGGTAAGATTAATTATACAGTGACTTCTACATGTTAATGAAAATAGTAGTAATTTGTATGGATCTACTTTGGGGAATGGCTGACAAGTTTTCATTACTTTCAGACATGAAGGAGGCCTCCAGAAAAAGTAGATGTGTATCTGTACAAACAGATCCTACTGATGAAGTTCCCACCAAAAAGTCAAAGAAGCATAAAAAGCACAAAAACAAAAAGAAGAAAAAGAAGAAAGAAAAGGAAAAAAAATACAAAAGGCAACCAGAAGAACCAGAGTCCAAGTTGAAATCTCGTCATGATGGGAATGTTGATCTAGAATCTGATTCCTTTCTAAAGTTTGATTCTGAACCTTCAGCGATGGCACTGGAACATCCTAGGAGAGCATTTGGCTTCCCTGAGGCCAGCGAAGCCCCTTTAGTGCTAGAGCCTCCAGTAGGGTCAGCGGAGGTTCAGGAGGCACACATTTTAGAGACTCTGAAGCCTGCTACCAAAACTGCAGAACTGTGTGTTGGATCTACATCAGTGATCTCAGAGCAGTGTGAACAGCCTGGGTCAGTTACGATGGAACCACCAATGGCGAAGACTCTGGATTCCTTTGTAGCAGCACCAGTGCCTATGTCAGCAGCAGTGCTGAAGTCACCTGAGCCTGTTGTAGCAATGCCAGTGGAGCATCAGAAGTCTGTGCTCAAATCTTTGGAAACTACGTCTCCAGAGATATCAAAGACCACGCTGGTAGAGCTTCCCATAGCAAAAGTGCTTGAGCCGTCAGAAACCCTCATGATAGTATCAGAGACACCTACTGAGGTGTACCCTGAACCAAGCACATCAACAATGGATTTTCCAGAGTCATCTGCCCCTGATGCGCTAAGACTGCCAGAACAGCCCGTAGAAGCACCATCGGAGATTGCAGATTCAACCATGACAAGACCTCAGGAGCCACTGGAGCTGCCTAAGACCACAGCGGTGGAGCTGCAGGAGTCGTCGGTGGCCTCAGCCCTTGAGTTGCCGGGGCCACCTGCGACCTCCATGCTGGAGTTGCAGGGGCCCCCCGTGACTCCAGTGCTGGAGTTGCCTGGGCCCTCTGCCACCCCAGTGCCCGAGTTGTCAGGGCCCCTTTCTACCCCAGTGCCCGAGTTGCCAGGGCCCCCTGCGACAGCAGTGCCCGAGTTGCCAGGGCCCTCTGTGACACCAGTGCCACAGTTGTTGCAGGAATTGCCAGGGCCTCCAGCACCATCCGTGGGGTTGGAGCCACCACAGGAGGTCCCAGAGCCACCTGTGATGGCCCAGGAGTTGCCAGGGGCACCTGCAGTGTCAGCGGCGATAGAATTGACAGGGCAACCTGCTGTCACAGTAGCAATGGAGTTGACCGAACAACCTGTGACGACGACAGAGCTCGAGCAGCCTGTGGCGATGACAACGGTGGAACATCCTGGGCATCCTGAGGTGACAACAGCAACAGGGTTGCTGGGGCAGCCGGAGACAGCAATGGTGCTGGAGTTGCCAGGACAGCCAGTGGCAACCACAGCTCTGGAGTTGTCTGGGCAGCCTTCAGTGACTGGGGTGTCAGAGTTGTCAGGGCTGCCTTCGGCAACTGGGGCACTGGAGTTGTCAGGGCAGCCTGTGGCAACGGGGGCACTGGAGTTGCCTGGGCAGCTCATGGCAACTGGGGCACTGGAGTTCTCGGGGCAGTCTGGGGCAGCTGGAGCATTGGAGCTTTTGGGGCAGCCCCTGGCAACAGGGGTGCTGGAGTTACCAGGGCAGCCTGGGGCGCCAGAGTTGCCTGGGCAGCCTGTGGCAACTGTGGCGCTGGAGATTTCTGTTCAGTCTGTGGTGACAACATCGGAGCTGTCAACGATGACCGTGTCGCAGTCTCTGGAGGTGCCCTCGACGACAGCGCTGGAATCCTATAATACGGTAGCACAGGAGCTGCCTACTACATTGGTGGGGGAGACTTCTGTAACAGTAGGAGTGGATCCCTTGATGGCCCAAGAATCCCATATGTTAGCTTCTAACACCATGGAGACCCATATGTTAGCATCCAACACCATGGACTCCCAAATGCTAGCATCCAACACTATGGATTCTCAGATGCTAGCATCCAATACCATGGATTCCCAGATGTTAGCATCTAGCACCATGGACTCCCAGATGTTAGCCTCTAGCACTATGGACTCCCAGATGTTAGCAACCAGCTCCATGGACTCCCAGATGTTAGCAACCAGCTCCATGGACTCCCAGATGTTAGCAACCAGCAGTATGGACTCCCAGATGTTAGCAACCAGCAGTATGGACTCCCAGATGTTAGCAACCAGCAGTATGGACTCCCAGATGTTAGCAACCAGTTCCATGGACTCCCAGATGTTAGCAACCAGCAGTATGGACTCCCAGATGTTAGCAACCAGCAGTATGGACTCCCAGATGTTAGCAACCAGTTCCATGGACTCCCAGATGTTAGCATCTGGTGCTATGGATTCTCAAATGCTAGCTTCTGGCACCATGGATGCTCAGATGTTAGCATCTGGTACCATGGATGCCCAAATGTTAGCATCTAGTACCCAAGATTCTGCTATGATGGATTCAAAATCTCCTGATCCTTATAGGTTAGCTCAGGATCCTTACAGATTAGCTCAGGATCCCTATAGGTTGGGTCATGACCCCTATAGGTTAGGCCATGATGCTTACAGGTTAGGACAGGACCCCTACAGATTAGGCCATGATCCCTACAGACTAACTCCTGATCCCTATAGGATGTCACCCAGACCCTACAGAATAGCACCCAGGTCCTATAGAATAGCACCTAGGCCATACAGGTTAGCACCTAGACCCTTGATGTTAGCATCTAGACGTTCTATGATGATGTCTTATGCTGCAGAACGTTCTATGATGTCATCTTATGAGCGCTCTATGATGTCTTATGAACGCTCCATGATGTCCCCTATGGCTGAGCGCTCTATGATGTCAGCCTATGAACGCTCTATGATGTCAGCCTACGAGCGCTCCATGATGTCACCTATGGCTGAGCGGTCTATGATGTCAGCCTATGAACGTTCTATGATGTCAGCCTACGAGCGCTCCATGATGTCACCTATGGCTGATCGATCTATGATGTCCATGGGTGCCGACCGGTCTATGATGTCATCGTACTCTACAGCTGACCGGTCTATGATGTCATCGTACTCTGCAGCTGACCGATCTATGATGTCATCTTACACTGATCGATCAATGATGTCTATGGCAGCTGATTCTTACACTGATTCTTACACTGATTCCTATACGGAGGCATATATGGTGCCTCCTCTGCCTCCTGAAGAGCCCCCAACAATGCCACCATTGCCACCTGAGGAACCACCAATGACACCACCACTGCCTCCAGAGGAACCACCAGAGGGTACAGCATTATCCACTGATCAGTCCATGCTAACAGCCGACAATGCTTGGTCTACAGAGGTGACATTACCTACTGAAGAATCTGTATCACAGCCTGAGCCTCCTGTGAGTCAAAGTGAGATTTCAGAGCCTTTGACAGTACCTGCTAATTATTCAGTGTCAGAATCTGAGACTCCAATGTTAGCATCAGAGGCTGTTATGACTGTTGTAGAACCTGCACAGGAGCCAGAATCTTCAGTTATATCAACACCAGTTGAGTCTGCTGTAGTAGCCGAACATGAAGTAGTTACAGAGAGACCAGTGACGTACATGGTTTCTGAGGCTACCATGTCAACTGAACCAACTGTGTTATCAGAGCCTTCCCTTATGTCAGAGACATCAGAAGCATATAATTCCATGAGACCATCAGGACATGCTATCTCAGACGTATCTGTGTCCCTCTTGGAGCCAGCAGTGACTGTTTCACATCCAGCAGAGAACACTCTGGAGATACCATCCATGGCTGTTCCAGCACCTCCCACTATGACTACTCCAGAATCTCCTGCTGTTGCCATCCCAGAACTTCCTGCTGTAGCTGACTCAGAACCTCCCATTATGGTTGTTCCAGAAACCCCCACTGTGGCTTTCCAGGAGCCTCCTGCTGTGGCTGCCCCAGAGCTTTCCTCCATACCGGTCTCAGAGCCTCCTGTGGCTGGCCCTGAGCTTCCCGCTTTGGCTGACCCAGAGTATGCTACAACTGCAGGGTCAGGTGTTTCTTCCCTGGAGCCTTCTGTGCCTGTTGTGGAACCAGCGGTGTCAGTCTTTCAGCCTGTTATGGTTGTTTCAGAACCCTGTGCTTCTGCCCAGGGAACTACCATGGCAGTTTCAGAACCTGCTGTCACCGTTTCGGAGCATTTGCAAATGCCACCTGAGACAGCTTTAGAGTCTTTACCAACAGTGGAATCTAGTGTTCTGTCATCACATGTTATAAAAGGAATGAATTTACTTTCTGGTGATCAAAGTCTTGGTCCAGATGTTGGCATGCCGGAGATTCTGTTGCATCCAGGTAGAGAACCACATGATGGAGGACACTTGAAAAGTGACTTGTATGAAAATGACTATGATAGAAGTACAGACCTTACTATAAACAGTCATTTAATTGCTAAAGATGTGGAGCGTAATACAGTGTGTGCTGCTACCATTGGTCCTATTGGTGAATCAAGTGAAGAGAAAGTTTTGCCTGTCATTGAGACTAAGGAAGTCACAGAATTGAATACCTGTCCTGCTGTTAGTGAAGCTGAAGTAGGAAGAAGTCTATCTTCTCAACTTGCTCTGGAAATGGATACAATGGGAACTAGTAAGGGGTTGGAATTTGTCACAGCATCTGTTCCCAGTTTAGCTAGTAAATATGACGTTGAAGTATCTTTAACTTCTCAAGATACTGAACATGACATGGTAATTTCCACCAGCCCCAGTGGTGGCAGTGAAGCCGACATAGAGGGACCTTTGCCTGCTAAAGACATTCATCTTGATTTACCATCAACAAATGTAGTTTGTAAGGATACAGAAGACCCATTACCTATAAAAGAGAGTGAGCAGACAGTAGCAGTTGCACTTAGTCCTAAAGAAAGTGAAGATAAAGAAGTATCTCCTCCCAATAAAGAAACAGTTGCTGATGCGGGATATCCTGCCAGCATTGATGAGATTAACGAAGCTGACCTGGTGAGACCATTACTTCCTAAGGACATGGAACGTCTTACAAGCCTTAGAGCTGGCATTGAAGGACCTTTACTTGCAAGTGAAGTTGAACGGGACAAACTGGCTGCCAGTCCTGTTGTAATTAGTATACCAGAAAGAGCTTCAGAGTCTTCCTCAGAGGAAAAGGATGATTATGAGATTTTTGTAAAAGTTAAAGACACACATGAAAAAAGCAAGAAAAATAAAAACCGTGACAAAGGTGAAAAAGAGAAGAAAAGGGACTCTTCTTTAAGGTCTCGGAGTAAGCGTTCCAAGTCTTCTGAGCACAAGTCACGCAAGCGCACCAGTGAGTCTCGTTCTAGAGCTAGGAAGAGGTCGTCTAAGTCAAAGTCACACCGTTCTCAAACACGCTCAAGGTCACGTTCAAGACGCAGGAGGAGGAGTAGCAGATCAAGATCTAAGTCTAGAGGAAGACGGTCTGTATCAAAAGAGAAGCGCAAAAGATCTCCAAAGCATAGATCCAAGTCCAGGGAACGGAAAAGAAAAAGATCAAGCTCCCGGGACAACCGGAAAACAGTTCGAGCTCGGAGTCGAACTCCAAGTCGTCGGAGTAGGAGTCACACTCCTAGTCGACGGAGAAGGTCTAGATCTGTTGGTAGAAGGAGGAGTTTTAGCATTTCCCCCAGCCGCCGGAGCCGAACCCCCAGCCGCAGGAGCCGAACCCCCAGCCGCCGGAGCCGCACCCCCAGCCGCAGGAGCCGCACCCCCAGCCGCAGGAGCCGCACCCCCAGCCGCAGGAGCCGCACCCCCAGCCGCAGGAGCCGCACCCCCAGCCGCAGGAGCCGCACCCCCAGCCGCAGGAGAAGATCAAGGTCTGTGGTACGAAGACGAAGCTTCAGTATATCACCAGTCAGATTAAGGCGGTCAAGAACACCTTTGAGAAGAAGGTTTAGTAGATCTCCCATTCGTCGTAAAAGATCCAGGTCTTCTGAAAGAGGCAGATCACCCAAACGTCTAACAGATTTGGGTGAGTCTTGTTTTACATTGTAATAGAATATGAGTTAAGCTTGATTCCTGATGATCTTGAGTCAAAACAAATATTTGGGGTTGTTGGTTTAGATAGATACTCAGTTGTGTTTAGGAAATGAAGAGGAAGTGAGTGCCCTTTCTTGAAAAGTAAAAAGACCTGCTGTGGGGAGTATGCAGAGCCTTGATGTCTGTACTTGTTTTACCTCAGTTAAAAAGGTAGTAGCTGGAGAGGCCTTGTTGCAAGTCAGATCGTGTACTGTATATATTTTAATACATGGGTTTGCAAATAAACAAAATTTGAAAACTTCTCATTTAATAGTTTTGGCTTTTTTTTTTTTTTTTTTGAGGCAGGGTCTTAGTCTGTAGTTCATGTTGGCATTGCGTTTCTATGTAGCCAGCCCAAAGAGCTTGTGTTCTTTCCTCAGGCTGATGTTGGCTGGGATTACAAGCTGAGCCACCAGGCCAGACTTTAGCTATGTCTTAAAATGGCAATCTAGGGTTGTTAAATGGGAAGGTTAGTCTCAGTAATATAAGTTATTGAAGTTAGGAAATTTTGTATCTGTGAGTGAACTGGATGAATGAATCAGCTTACTTAATGAAGTGATGATAATCAAGAATCTGCTGTCTTGCCGGGCGTTGGTGGCGCACGCCTTTAATCCCAGCACTCGGGAGGCAGAGGCAGGCGGATCTCTGTGAGTTCGAGGCCAGCCTGGTCTACAGAGCGAGTTCCAGGACAGCCTCCAAAGCCACAGAGAAACCCTGTCTCGAAAAAAACCCAAAAAAAAAAAAAAAAAAAAAAAAGAATCTGCTGTCTTGCTTTAAAAATAAGTTTTTGTCCAGCCGGGTAAGGGTAGCATATATACCTTTAATCCTTGCACTTGGGAGACAGAGAGGCAAGAAGGTCCCCCCTCAAAAAAAAAAAAAAAGGCAGTCTAAATAAAAAGATGGCAGAATTTGTGTTCAGTTTAGCAAGAGTTTTCTTTACTTTCTCTCGAGGAATGGTAAAGTAGGATTGTCAGTGATTGTAAGTAGTGAAAGAAGTTGATAGAATGTACTACTTTCACCAAAGGACAAAACTGAAAAGAGTAGAATGTGACAATTGCGCTCGTAATGGTGTAGGGGACATTATTCCCACAGTGGAGAGAAGTGTTCATTTTTGCTCAGTTGAAGGACTGTTGAAAGAGATGGAACTTAGGGCTTAATAGGGATGAAGTTGTCAGATGAGAATGAGATTTGTCTGTGAGAGAGACAGACTAAATTTTGTAGCAGCTCCCAAGTACTTGGGGTTGCAGTTTTTGAGTTTTCTGTGATTCTGGGCTCTGAACACAGAGCCTGTGCTTGCTCAGTAAGCATTCTTCAACTAAGCTGTATCCTTAGCATGAAAATGAGAATGGCTTATGGTCATGCTAACTTTAGATAATGTTGCCTTTGGCAGACTTGTGCCTTATGGCTTGTCAATGGGTGTTCCTCAGACTTAATGTGTGTAGCATTTGAATTGGAAACGAAGAATAGTATTGGTTGTTGAAAAGGCTCATCCACTTTGATGATGGCTGTAACTTAGGGTAGAATGCTGATGTTTTTGATTTTACTGTATATGAACTTTAGACAGAACAAATATATAGCATTTAGGAAAACTGCTTCTTGTGTTTTTCCTCTAACAGATAAGGCTCAATTACTTGAAATAGCCAAAGCTAATGCAGCTGCCATGTGTGCTAAAGCTGGTGTTCCTTTACCACCAAACCTGAAGCCTGCACCTCCACCTACAATAGAAGAGAAAGTTGCTAAAAAGTCTGGAGGAGCCACCATAGAAGAACTAACTGAGGTAAGCTAAACAGACTTTGTTCTCATTCCTATATGGTGTTGACTCTGGAGCGTGCCAAAACCTGAATTGTGGGCTGAACTGATAATGGCTGGCACCGAGTGCCCAAAACCCGAAATACAGATGTGGCAGCGGCAGAAGCTCTGTTTAGCAGGCCATTATCCGGGATGGCTAAGCTCCGCTAGCTAAAAAGTTACTTCCCATTACTTTTGCTTTCCAGTTTTAGAAGCCAAACTGACTGAGGAGTGGAACGGTTCGTTTGAATGGAGGAGGTGTTGAGTGAGCAACACGCAGAAGCTCGCCTACAGTTTCGTTTCCATTCACGACGTGTTCTCTGATCGCCAAGAGTGTACTGCATATACGCAAAGACACAGACAATCTTCAGAAATGATCTTTTGCCACCGGAGCTTGGAAATTAATGAGAATAGCTGGCCATTGCCTGAAAGGAACTTCTTTCGCATCAACATTTCGGGTTTTGGCTGTTTGGTACCAGCCATTGGCGATAATGGCCGGCCATTATCAGTTCTTCCTGCGGTTCGGGTTTTGGCAGTAACATATTTTAAATATACTTATTTTTGTTTTTAAAAAAATTGATCTTTTGAAATTAAGGCTTTTGGGGGAAGCTTTGTTTTACTTTAATATTTTTTGTGTGTGTGTGTGGGGGAAGACGCTGAAATATTGCTGCTAGGATCCAGAAATAACACACTGTTTCATATACTGAAACTTGTTATTGGCTAGCCTTATGCCAGCCTGCCACTGTCAACATATTCTGTTCCCATTGGTTATATGCTTGATATACTCTTGTGTTTTTGGCTAATTGAGCTTTTTAATTCTATTGTAATATTTTCAATTGATAACAGATGTGATAAATTCTGCTTGTATAGACTGGTCTACTAAAATTTACTCTCAACCTTTTTATAAAAATCTGTTCCTTTGCTTCTGAGGAAGGAGTTGACTTCATATGTTGGACTGCATCAATTGCACCCTCTCCATCATGCCTTATTTTCCATTCTTAAGTTCCAGTACTTAAATAAATTTTAAAAAACATTTATGGAGAGACGTTACTATTTACCCTGCCACAAATGTTTAAAATCTTTTCCATACACTTGGGGATTATAGTTTCTTAATTTGCTTCAGTGCTTAGATTCATTATAGTATGAATTATAACGTAAGAAAAGACCGAGCAAAAAGCTTCTTGCTTACTTACCAAATGCAAGCTGTTTATCTAAAACCTATGAACACTTAGCGCTCTGCTGTTGTTGGCTTCATCTTCAGCGCTCTTGTTGTCCCACGTGACAAGTCTCTCCTGACTTGTTCACTACCACCTGACCAAGATGACTTTCCTTTCCTTCCCATTTCTTCTTTACTATGGAAATTGCGCTTAGAACTCTTGAAGGAATAGTCTTTGATTTTTTTTTTCCAAACCCTGCCTGAATATTCTCTCTTGAGCCTTTGTTCTTTTAGCACTTATGTACCGTTTGTATTATATCAGTTTGCACTTGTTACTGTGTTGCTCTGTAAAAAGGTTCTTCAATTACTTCTTGTATATGTACTCTTGTCTCGTATTAGATTGTAAGCTCCTCTGGAGCAGGGACCATGTCTTTCCTTTCCCCCCCTGTTTTCTTTCTTTCCCCCCTTTTTTTTTGTATTTTTCTGAAGACAGTGCCCAGTACAGTGCTCTGCACATAGTAGGTGCTCAATAAATGTTGTTGACTGACTGAGCAGCCAGTGTGTGTTTAAATAATGTATCTAGTAAGCTCTCATAATTGTTAATTACATGAAATTGATCTTATGCGATTCTTTTTTTAAAATTACATTATGTTTTGTGTAAACCATATTCATCTTTTGTTTGTTTTTACTTTAAAGAAATGCAAACAGATTGCACAGAGTAAAGAAGACGATGATGTAATAGTGAATAAACCTCATGTTTCGGATGAAGAGGAAGAAGAACCTCCTTTTTATCATCATCCCTTTAAACTCAGTGAACCCAAGCCCATTTTTTTCAATCTAAATGTGAGTATTAGTAACGTGCTAAGAGACTGATGAAACCCTTGTCGAGTTTAGTATAGTGAGTATAAAATATTAGTATATAAATACTATGGTTAATAGTGATAGTTCCTCTAAAACTAGGGCTGGAAATGTGACTCTGCTAGTATGGGTGCCTAGGATGTGTGAGACTTCCAATTCCTGGCACTGCAAAAAAACCAAAAGTAAACATTTCCTTTAGATTTATTGAAATTCTTTAGAAACCATTTATGGTATCTGTTACAATGGATTCTAATTAAATACTGTACTTTAGATTGCTGCAGCAAAGCCAACTCCACCAAAAAGCCAAGTAACGTTAACAAAGGAATTTCCTGTGTCATCTGGATCTCAACATCGGAAAAAAGAAGCTGACAGTGTTTATGGAGAGTGGGTTCCTGTAGAAAAGAATGGAGAAGAAAACAAAGATGACGACAACGTTTTCAGCAGCAGCTTACCCTCAGAGGTAAGTAGTGGGACATCACTTGTTTGTTTGCATATCTGAATCTTCCATTTTATTGTTATCTTATATCTGATTTGGATTCTGTTTCACTCTTCTTAGGGCCGGGTTAAACGGCAGGGCCGGGTTAAACGACAGATGAAACAACCCGCAGCTTCTCATTTGACAGTAACTCGATGCAATTCACTTTGTGGAACGAAGCCACAAAGTGAAAAGCATCGAATTGCAGAGAAAAGTGTTATCACATCCCTACCCAACATTGGGCCCTCCATGCACTTGTGGGAAGGTAGCCCAAGGTACAACTATTTAGCTTCCCGTTTTGCTTCAAGGCTCTATAGCTCTAGATTTTGGTGGTAGCAAGTGTATTGGGTGGAGGGATTGAGGGGGAGAGAAGGCAGATCCTCAGGTTCAACACAAGAACTGAATTGAAAAAGTCATTGTAGGCTGATGTGAACATCTTGGGTACATAGCCTATTGCCCTTACTTAAGTGATGGTTTCTTACTATTTCTCTGGGTTTTCAGATAGCCTTTGATTTCAGTGATTTTCCCTTCCTTGTGCTACCTTAGCCCTTTTGAATTCTTGTGTTTAACCTAGTGTTCAGCCTTGGTTCTTCATTCCCTTCTCCTTTCCCTCTTTGCTACTATTAAAAGTTGGAAGAGTGGAATTTATACATTGAAATTTCTCAAGGCAATAGTTGTATCTTGTCAAAATGACACAGTAACAATGCCAAATGTCAAAACAACCCCATTAAAATGCCGCCTGATTAAGTTATGTGCTGCTAAATACAGTGCACATGAGAACAGCAAAACTGTATATATATGTAAATATATATATATCTGTATCTTTGTATGTATCTCTGTATCTGTATCTTTGCTGTGTCTTTTAATAAACAGTTTACTTTTATTTAACTTGTTGTGCAAAATCACGCTTGGGGATCTGGGAGGGTGGAGACTTGACTAGGGGAGGTGGGATTTAGAGACTAACAGTCGTCACCTTGCCCTCGGTTTCCAAAGCCTTGACATTCGTCCAAGGATTGGATTTAAGATACCTTATGCCCTTATGGACTCCTTTTTTTTTTTTTCCAGTTCTGGGATATGTGTGTCTGAGAGACCTCTACTCTTCACCTGAGGTTCCCTACATTGGCCATAAACATTTTCCAGTAGACACTTCCAATTCTACAGATAAATCTTGTTTATAATGTCAAAGTGAACAGAACTCAAATCAGAAAATTTTTCATGCAGTACTTTTCCCCAGACATTTTCACAGGCGACATTTTCACTGTGTTTTTTTGACCTGCGGCATTTTGAGAGGGAACATAGCAATACTGATGAACATAACTGGCCAGTGCAGCTAACTTTATTTGCAGTTAAGGGTGGTGGTCTGTATTCACATGGAGTTCAACAACTGAAGCAAATAAAACCATCACCAGTGAGAAGGGTATCTGGTTTGGACAGCGCTTTAGTTGAAACAAATTAGTGCTCGTTTACTAATCCCCAAATCAGGCTACTTCCACATTTCAGGAGGGAAAGAACTGACATTTGTAGCTAACTTAATCTTTTTGTAGTAGCTGGATACAAATCAGATCAGGTGAGGGCTGTACATAATTAGATGTCCTGATAGATACGCTTTTAGTAGTTTATTACATTATTAATCATTTGGGAAGAACATAGGCAGAGACTTAGAATTATTGTAGAATTCTTACATTTTTCTTGAGAAAATGACTATGATTTTTAACTTCTGTTGAACCATGGGGAAAGTGCTTAGTGCATGTTGATTTTACTTTTTGAAGAAAGTTTATTACTAAAATTTATGACTGCCATTTTCAGTCTCAACATTGGAAGTGATGGTTTAGCCTTGTCTCCCATCCAAGGATAGATTCTAATTAAGGGGTAGTGTTGAGAAGATGGACACGCTGAAACAGAAGGACTGTTCTACCAGTGGGTCAGATGAATAAAGCATAATATCTCTTGGGAAGATGAATGCAGTGTGAGAACTAAGATCCATATATAAAGAGAAGACAAAAAGGGTGCAAGTTAACTTCAGTTTTAACGAAAAGAATTCCAAACTTTAGGAAGGAACCACAATTGTTTTGCTTTCATATATGTATTTCTGTAGCAATGTCAAAGGTGCCCAAGGAAACTGAAAATACATAATATTCAACTTGTTACTTAATTACCATCTAAGTGTACTATTTGTAGAGTTGGTGTTCTTTCTACCAGCGCAGCACTTATGTTGACATGCTCTGGGAGCATTGACCCTTCTGATTTCTTTGGGGCTTCAAATAATATAATTTTTAAAGAGTAATGCAAAATTTTTTCCTAAATGGTAAGATAGCATTTTTTTAAAAACCATCTCTTGTTTTAATAAGTACAGTTGGAGTTTATGGGTCTTCAGTCTTGACCAAAAAACACTGCAGCAAAGATGACAGGATTTTATCTTCACAAGGGCTAAAATTTATCCTTGTTGTCATCCCTAATCCCCTGTCTTGCACGGGAGTGTGCTGTCATGACACGACGAAACTGCTAAGTCCCTGTTGTGGAAACCACTCCTCAGATGGCGTCCCCTCTGCCATAGCGTCGTCTTCCTTCCCAGAAGCCAGCCGGCAGCGTCCTCCGGAAGGAGTGACTACACAATTGTCATCATATTTTTGTGAATCTGATTTATAAACAAAAAAAAGTTGGGAAATTAATGTTAAAAAAGTAGTTGTCAAGGACAGTACTTTAATAAGGTTAGCAAAGGCTTATTGGTAGATTAGAGATAGTATACTTGCGTAAGTGGTATAATAACTACAGCCATTACTAATTTCATTTGTTTCAAGCAGTGTGTTAGGTTTGTATTATTGGATCCTGTATACATCCTAGTAGCTAAAATTCTCTTGAGATTGGAAATGCTTCATTTATGAAGTTTATCAAAGCTAACTTCTTGTAAAAAGATGAGAAGTGTAACGGGTTAAAGTGTAGGTTCTTGAATTATAGTACTGCTAGACTGTAATTTTCAGCCTTGTTACTCTCCTTTTCGCTACATCTTTATAGGCTGTTGACCCTGGATTTCTCCAAAGTACTTATAAGGACAAAAATATTAATTGAGTAACTTAATTATGGTATAGAATTTTGCATAATAAAAATATTCATAATTCATTTGAAAAAGTGACTTAGGAATGTTCTATGTAATTGTGCCTTCCCTTTTTGAAGTTGACACTACTATTTCATATGGACTGATCCATTTGAATGATTTTTGTTTAAGTGTTGTAAATACTTTACAGGTTGGATGATTTTAGCTGTTTCATTAGTTTCTTTTATTCCTCTTGATAACCTGCAGTCACCTGTGTAGAAAATAATCCAATTTAGCCCTCCACACTTACCTTTAGCTCTTTTCTGTGAGTCACTGACAGTCTGTGAAATTCTTAGGATACAAGATGGGAGAGTAAAGTGAATGGAGGAGTTGAAGTGGGAAATGTGTAGAGAGGAGTGTGTGTGTGTGTGTGTGATTATGGGACATGAAATGTGGTACACTGGTGTGTGCAGTCTTTGGAGTAGCTTTAGATACCATTAAAGACATTAATGTGAGAATTAGAATTCAGGGCACCAGATGTAGATGTTTACATCTTTCTTAGTTTGTAGAGAGGAACCTTGGAACCTTTCTCATATTTTTTTTAAGATTTTAAAACATTTTTCAATGTAACAGTCATCAGCCACTAAATTTCCCAAATTCCAAGTACTAACTAACTGTCTGTGTTTTCCCAAGACAGGGTTTCTCTACATGGTTCTGGCTGGCCTGAACTCCCTATGTAGACTAGGCTGGCCTTGAACTCAGATCCATGTGCCTCTGCCTCCTAAATGCTGGATTAAAGCTGTATGGCACTATGCCCAGCTAGCTGTTTGTTGTATTTTATGTATTTTAATGAGACTATGTAACATTTTATCTGATTCTTGAATATTAGTACTTTGAGGACTGTGGTTAGTGAATTACCTTGAAAAGGTAGCTAAGACACTTGAGGATGTTACACTCCCTCCTTTTGTGAAGCCAGAGAGGAAACTCAATAGTCCAGCTGAACTATATTCCTAACCTAAGATAATCTACATTTTCTCAATTTTGAATATAGTTTCACATTAAAAATAGGAAATAAGTAAACTTTTGATATAAACTTCATGCTTTATTTGCTAATAAGCCTGTTGAAAAAAATGCAGTTGTATTAGGAAATGTAATTTATTTAAACATCAAGGCTATTATATTAAATGTGCCTTTTATAATGAGATGTGAATTTAATATGAAGTAGTGTAAATTTAATATGAATTAAAACTGAAACTTGAGTGAGTTTCATTTGGGGGAGTAGAAGGTATATGTAGGTTATTTCTTGATAAGGTTTACAATAAAATTGTGGTAGGTAAACAGGCCTGTGAAGGATAAATTCTTAGGTAAATTTTTTTATTTAGAAAGATTTAGTTTTTGGAGATAAGTGTATTTTTATGGCTATAAAGTTGGAACTATATGTTGGAAATTAGAAGGTTCTGATTGGAACGAATAGACTCATTTTCTCCAGTGTCTTTCAGCATTTAGTCTTTGGAGGAAAAAAGCTTACTATGGCTTAGTAAGGTTTGCAAATTGCTCTGAAACCAAAGTAAGTCAAAGAATGTTAATTGGATGGTATGCGTTTCATTTGGTGGGTTTACACAAATGAAAATGTCTATCTACATGATAATTCCACTTGACAGATAATTTCTATTATTTAGGTCTGGAATAGCTATATTCACATTGAGAAACCCAGGAATCACATGGAGTAGATTTTATTTCTAGGAATTAAGCCATAGTAAAACCAAAAGATGAATGTAGTATTTTGGTGTGACTTTACATAGGTTGTCTTAGTTTTTGTAGCCCTTAAAAATAAACATTAAGTAAGAATAGTATTTAAGATTACTTGCTAAAGATTACTTGCTAAGCTAACAGTAAATAGTCAAATAAACACAAATTATATATATATATATATTTTTTTTCATTTTAAGCCAGAAAAGAATGCCTTTTTCTTTTTTAATGATTTAGTCAAATGATTTTTGGATTATTTCGATTAAGATAACTTAAGAGTAACATGTAAGCAATATCTGAGGTTGGACAAGATCCCTTAGTCCTTACACATTATTCTCTTACTCCTAATGCTTCCTTTGGTATATAGGTTATCTTTGTAAGAAGTGCAGTACACAGTGAGATTATCAATAGCCTCTTTTTTTTAAAGCTGTTTTACTGACTTATATTTGCAATATCCATGTATATAAAAATAGTAAGTCTTTTTATTAGATAAACATTTTATAAAAGAATTATTGTGTGGCAAAATTGGAAATACTTGTATGTTAAAATGATACTGAAACAAAGAATTGAGTTGCTAGAACCCAGTTTGCTTCCTTCATAAAGATTTTGTTAAACTTTGGGTAAGTCCTTAAATCTGAGTTGAGAATCTGCTTTAGTGATACTTGTTTAGCGCAAGAGGCAAGGCTTTCGCTGTGGACAGAAGTCTGTGATGCTGGTGACCAACTTCCCATGCTGATCACTGGGCTACACCTTAGTCTTAGCCTACATTTTCAGGGTTGTTTCTAGATTATGGGACTGCTTGTACATTCAAAATAGCTATATGTTGAATATAACTTTTTCAGATCCTGTGAAACCTGCTCATGAGTAAAGACTCTAGTGGTGTTCTGCTTGCTTATCCAGATTATGCTTACTACTTCTGGAAGTTACACCAACAACCAAGTTGAGCAAGAGGAACTGATAAAGAATATAATAGTATAACGTTGCCTTTAATCCCAGCACTCGGGAGGCAGAGGCAGGCGGATCTCTGTGAGTTCGAGGCCAGCCTGGTCTACAGAGTGAGTTCCAGGACAGCCTCCAAAACGATACAGAGAAACCCTGTCTCGAAAAAACAAAAAACAAAACAAAACAAAAAAAATAGTATAACATTGGTAGCCATTAAAAACCATTTTACCTAAATAGCTTCTTAGTAAAGGCTACTGTTAATGAGTTCATAATGAAACTCAAAGGTTATAGTTTGATATTGTTGTAAATACACTGGTGAAATCGGAATTTGGACTGAGTTCTGTCTCTGAATGCTTGGTAACTTACCTTAATTGTCTTCTATTTTACAGGAGTATCCTCTTTGCCTTTTGAATCTTCTCATTTCCCAAGAATCTTAATCTATAAAGTGTAGTTTGTTGTTTTGACATATGACATCTAAAGATATAGAAGCACCTGAGAGAACTAGGGTACTGTTGTAATTTGGGATAATTATCTGTTTTCTTTCTTAGCCTGTGGACATCTCAACAGCAATGAGTGAACGGGCACTTGCTCAGAAGAGACTCAGTGAGAATGCATTTGACCTTGAAGCAATGAGTATGTTAAATCGAGCTCAAGAACGGGTATGTGACTCTTTCATGTTTAAATGACAATTTCACTGTCTAGATGTCTGGGGCATTCAGAACACTGAGGGACCATTACCATTTTCGGATATGTGTTAGTGGGGCCTGGACTCAAAGTGTACATGTGCTGTTTTATACTTGATGCTTGTTACTTTCTGTTGTGTCCTAGTAACTGACTCATTTTAAATAAAAATGACTTAGACTAATAACTCTGAAAATCTTCATTGTGTGCTATGGTAAGAACTGTTGCTTGAGAACCAAACAGAAACTCCATCCTGCTTTACATCCAGTTTACAGTCTGATGTGCACATAAGTGGCAAGGACAACTCTGTTATCCTATGTTTCAGCCAAACAAAGTGAGCTAGCCAGGGGTCAGCTGATACCCACAAGCCATAGGTAGAATCGGGTTCATGCGCGAATAATAACCCACCACCTTGAGTCTGCTTTGAATAGGGAGGGGCAGCTTTTCATTTTATGCTAAGTCTATGTGGGACAGTTTAGGTGGGAAGTGCCATCACTGGTAATTCCAGGCGTGCGTTAAGGGTGATATGGAGGAAAGATACCTGGTTCTGTGCCATAGTAGGTGTTGGTGAGTGAAGTGGTCTACTTTTTAAAGAATGACTGTCACAGTGATAGGCAGAAACCTCTTATCTTCTTTTGCATTAGTAGATTTCACTGACTGCTGTAAAACTTATGGGAAGACTCAGGAAAACACTGAACCTTAAATATACCATTATTTGGCTATTGTAGGAACCAAACCATTTTTCCTGGGTGAATTAAGCTACACCGGTGTGGTACTTTGATCAGATGAGTAATTTTACTTAATGAAGGTGGCTTCTTCTTCTTCTTCTTCTTGTTCAGATTGATGCCTGGGCTCAGTTGAACTCTATCCCTGGGCAGTTCACAGGGAGTACGGGAGTGCAAGTCTTGACACAGGAGCAGCTGGCTAACACTGGGGCCCAGGCCTGGATCAAAAAGGTACACACACTATCAAAAATACAAAGCTAAGCTGTTGTTTGTTTGTTTGTTTTTGATAATCACACATTAAAAATGCAGGGGCAAGTGACTATCATGTTCCTGAGTAAGTTTGCTATGCAGATATACTCCAGGATGGACACTGAAGATGGGCTGAAATCCTGACACAATGCCAAATGCATACATACGGCCCAAGGGCCATTCATTTTGTATTTGGAGGTTGTTGGTTTTCATAGTTTTTTTTCTGTTGGTTTTAGTGGGGGTGGTTTTACTTAACTGTTTGAATGCTAACTGTACCAGGTGCTGTTAAGAATATTCCGCAGTTGCTGTTGAACTACTAACCTAATGGTTTCAGAGCAGTGGTTCTCAAAATTTTCCATCATGGGATACTTTATTACAGGTTTAGTTTGGTGGATCACTACCCCAGAGCCCTTTGCCACCCTAATTTGCATCCCTCTCCCCTTGTCCTGTCGTTAGTGCCTGCGCCTGCTCATAACCACCTTTGCTCCCACCTTCCTTTTACGACTTCTAGCCCCAGGCCCCTGTATGGTGGTCAGCTGTGAGATTCAATTAAGCGGTTGGGAGGCCCTAATTAATGCTGCATGTGGTAAACTTGCCATGGGACTGAAAGGTCGGGGGAGGACGGCTGGAATGTGGGGTGGGCAGTTGTGAAGGGGGGTAAGAGGGTGGGACGGGCTGCAGATAACTATCTGTGGACCACCATTTAGGTCCTGGTGGCCTCTGGTGATCCACAGGCTCAGTTTGAGAACCACTGACTTCATGAGAAAACAGGATATGTAAGACCTAAAATCAAGGGAGAGGACGGAACATCTCATGCTGCGAAGATGTAGGTGACCTGATTTCAGATTCCTGCAATGAGATTTGTCAACTCTACCTACGGCTACCTCACTGTTGGGGGAGTCTTAGGTGGTTAGAAGGGGCTTTCTGAAGAACTGATGTCTGGTGACTGGGCTGTGGTTGGTGGGTGATGAGAAATCTGTTTCAGGAGTGCTGAGACTGGGAGGGAGGCTGCGTGGTCTCCTGAATTGGGAAGGTTTCTTTGTCCTGCTGTGCTCCTGGCTCCTTGTGTGATCATGGGCAAGTAATTCCCAGTTGTCAAGTGGTGGGAGACAGGTTCTTAATAATGCCTCAGACAGTGATAATCAGTGATGTAATGGGTACCTATTACCTGTAGAATTGAATGAGGGCTATTCATGGGTGAGCTGAATTTTTTTTAAAAATTAGAAATTTTAGTTGCTTTGGACATTTAATACCATAACAGTTCTTATTTAACAAATTAATATAAGGTATTATGCATCTACATTGTGCTTGCCTTTTTCCTGTTAAATAGTTGTACCTAGGCATTGGTTTTGGGAAAAAGGGAATGATACAGAAATATTTATAAAGCTTGTATTCATTTTACATACTAAGACTTGGTATAAATTATGAAGGTGATAATTGAAAAGTAGCTTTCATCTTAGTGGGAAGAATTATGTGTTTACTTTTTTTATGACGTTGGACATTAAACTGGGGCCCTCAATTTAGACAGTAAGCACATGTGCAGAGCTTAGTGTTGAGTTGTGCTTCACCCATCTGGTCTTGACGCTGAGGGCCTAGGGTTGCAGGAAGTAGACGTGAAGTATTTTTGAGTGTATATGCTCATTAATAGCTCATGTGCTTCCAGAAGGTAGAAGCTTCTGGAAGGTTTTTCACTGTGAAATGTGCTTATATATAAAGAGCAGACAAACATGAGTATTTCCCAGGTGAGTCTTCACTTGTTCAAGGGGCTACCTAGACACTTTGTCCCAAGTAATTGTGTGCTATTTATCAGCTTGTGATTGTTCACTAGAAGTTTTAAAGTTGCTTTATCTTATAGTTTAATTAGGGTATAATTATATGTTCATCAGACTAAGTTACATTATAGAGGAAATAAACACTCATAGGAAAATGACCATATGTGAAGAATTACTGGAGAGTATCTGCTTAATGAAAGCTGCAGGACGATTCTCTTATTACATAGGCCCGTGCATTGTTTCATTCATATTTAAATTTTGAAATGGCCGTTTGGCTTTTCTTGGCCCAGCACTGTCATGTATTAAAAACTATAGGGGAAGCCAACCAATATAAATTCTTATCATGAGGACATTTAACAGTTAACTAATTTGAATAGACTTTTATTTTCTCAAATGATTTGATTTCATAAGTGTTGGTTACTGTGGTCTCCTTAGAGTAAGACAGCTGTATTCTAATATAATAGCAAACAGAATTGGAAAACTGGGCTACTTGGGGATTTACATTGTACTCTGTCTGTACAGTTGCCCTTTTTTTTAGGAGTGTTTCCTGGAAATGAGGGGAGATGAACCTGGAAGTAAGTAAAGTCATTCTAGGTGTGTAGCATCAAGGCAGTTGGTACCCAAGCTAACTTTTCTCTCTATATCCACAATGCATGGCCTGCACCAAATAAGGAACTGAACCAGGGGTATGTTTTTACCTCCATAGCCGCCTCCTTCCATCAGAGCACCTTGTGGAACTTAATGTCTAGTCACATGTCATTGGCATGTTTTCTCCCCAACATTTAACTATAAAGTTGAGGAAAAGAACTTATATAGTTTACTACAGTGAAAAAATAAAACTTTTAACTTATGAAGGAAAAATAATGTCAGTACTTGCTTGCTGAGCTACCAAACATTTGACTCTCTGTATTGACTTGGTTGTATTTGGCAGAGAACATTAACCTACACTGTAATAATTGGAAATAAAACATGGTTTATAGGAGCTTCGATTAAAAGGGGAAAAAGTCCCATGTAGATGAAGAGTGGGACTCATGCCTGGTAGATTATGTACTGGCACCTTTTAAAGGGCCCTGGACACTTCTTGCCTGCGGACCGTGCTACAGTACACAGTGGTGCAGCTCAGGACATTAAGTGGTTTGCTGCTTTGATGGAAATTATGGTTCAGTGGGTTGGATACAAGAGAGATGATTGTTCACAGAATAACCTGTGAACTTTCACCCCTCTGTATGGAAACTTGTTTCAGGGCCAAATCCTTGTAGCTGTCTTCTTGCCCCGGTCAGTGCCAGCCGTACTATTCACAACACTGCTGCTGCCGAGGCCTAGGTATGTAAACGTTTAAGGAGTTTTTTAAGTCTTTTAACATCAAGCCAGGGCTTAGAAGAATTCAGATTTGGTATACTCAGGGTATTTTATGTGCTTATCTTCAACTTACTACATGTAAATATATTCTGTTGCATAGGGATTTTCTAAGTAAAAATTTGATACCTGCTTTACAGTAGAATGGGACGAAAACTGGATGACAGACAATTGTATGCTTCTTCAGTGTCCAAACTATTTTAAAATAATTTCTAGGCTTTATTTATAAACTAGGTATACTTGAGATAATAATATTGACTGTTTTAACATTGCCTTCTTTTTATTTTGCAAGCTAAGAAGAGATACCAGTGAACCTAAATAGTGGACGAAAACAGGAGTGCTCTTTTTGTTGTTGTTTTTTTTTGGAGGGGGGCACTGAGGGGCAACTGTTGAAATTGCCATTTGACTTTCAAAGTGTTGGTAATAATTATCATTAGAACATATACTACAGAGTATAGAAGAATTTAAATTTAATGCTACTTCAGATCTAGAAGTAAAGTAAGATCTCTTTTTCTTAAGTTACCATTGACTTTGTAGTAGTTCAGTTCTAACTGTACACTGGGGGACTTCTCCCTTCTTTCTTTGGGTAGGATCAGTTCTTACGAGCAGCCCCAGTCACTGGAGGAATGGGTGCTGTCCTGATGAGGAAAATGGGCTGGAGAGAAGGAGAAGGGCTGGGGAAGAACAAAGAAGGGAATAAGGAGCCCATCCTTGTTGACTTTAAGACAGACCGGAAAGGTAAGTTCTTTCTAAAATGACAGCTTGTATTGTGTTAGTTATTGCGGAAATCAGTGTGAGTTTTGAATATTTCAATTTAAGAAAATAAGCCGGGCAGTGATGACACATGCCTTTAATCCCAGCACTCAGGAGGCAGAGGCAGGTGGATGTCTGATTTAAAGGACAGCCAGGACCACACAGACAAACTCTGTCTTAAAAAAACCAAAAAAGACGAGAAAAGGAAAAATTTTTCTTTTGCTCTTAATGGAGACCCCCATATATGCTTGCCTGTTTGTCCTTGATTTTCTCCATGTACTTGTTTCATGTGGGTGCAGGCATGACAGTTATTTTGTCTGCATGTCTGTTTTTACATCACAAGTGCCCATCAGGCCCAGAAGAGGGCATTGAATCCTGGGACTAAAGTTATAGATGGTTGAGTTGTGGGAATGCATGGAGTCAGGGTCCTATGGAGAGGACCAGTGCTTCTGACTGTTGGGCCATCTCTCCAGCTTTTTTGGTTGTCTTTGGAGATAAGGCTTGCTGGGCCTTGTCTCATGAGAGGTAGAATTACTCCCTTGGTTCATTTGTTTGTCTTTACTTCTAAGAAATAAAGTCAATCTTTCTAAGACACTTTACATAGTTTCTTAATTTCCTAGTAGTGTCCACTCCAGGAACTGTTTTTGCCTGTCATTTTAAAGCCTACTATTTGTGTTGTGGGTTAAAGCATAGATCAGTGATGTATTAGTTCTTCATTACCTCCTGTTTGGGCACCTTGAAACTCTCACTGCTGTTAGCTGTTTTGGAAATATGCATACAGAAACCAAAGTTAACAACTAGCTAGTGACAGTCAAAGTAGAATCACAGCAGGTTGGCAGAGGCAGGCAGATCTCTCAGTTTGAGGCCAGCCTAGTTTACAGAGCAACATCTAGTTCAGCCATAGCTACACAACGTTACCTTGTCAACAACAACAAAAAAAATCAAAACACCCTTTAATCCCAGCACTCTGGAGACAGAAAGGCAGGCATTTCAGTGAATTTGAGGCCAGCCTGGTCTACATATTGAGTTTTAGGACAGCCAAAGCCACACAGAGAAACCCTGTCTCATCTATCATATAGCTCAGGTCAGCCTTGACCTCCACAATCCTAATGTCTTAGCCAAATTCTTGGATTACAGGCATGTGCTACCAGTACAGTTAGGCCTGATGTTAAAAAATTGTATTTATTTTGAAGTTCAATGATAAATTGGAGTTAAATATCTGCGAATCCGACTAGTATTGTATAACTCTAGGGAGCATCCACATTGAAATTACACAACACATGGTGTGCATTTTCAGACCGCAGGCATTTCCTAAAACAGGTTTGAGGGAGATGCATATACTAGCATGTACCTAGCAATGGAGTGGCTGAAAACTTCAGCAAAGACACATGGATAATGGGAAAAGCACCAACTTATATAGGGGGGAGGGGGTTATATTTGTTAAGGAAGTAAGTAGTTGCTATGACAGGATCTCTTCTTTGGGATACTTCCCTTTACACTGTGTGTACCTTTATTTAGTGGTGGCCATGCTCTTAACTTCACAATGTATCTTAAAAGATAAATTTGCAAAGCTAACGTGCCGTTAGTAGCCACCAAAACTACGGTAAGATGCTGACAGCTCCATGCCCCGTCTCTGCTCAATGTTGTTTGTAGGTGCTTGCATTGCGGTTAGAGACCAGTAAGTAGCCTATGCTACTCCTCAGGCACCATCCATCTACCTTGATATTTGAAACAGCCTCACAGGCCTGGAGTCCAGATGGTATGCTGGACTGCCAGAGAGCACCAGGGACCAGCTGTGTCCCCACTGCTGGAAGTATGTGCCAGCAAAAGTGGGTTCTGGGGTTCAGACTCAAGCCTTTATGGTTGTGCTTTGTGACTGAGCTATTTCCTAACCCTTACATGTGTTTTCATAATGTATGAGTGTAAAGTAGGAGTTTAGATACTGAAGTCAAGTTCGATTGTGATTTAAATGCACTGAATATTTTATTGGAAGGCATGGATTTTTATTAGTGGGAGGTATTTGTTTTTTTCCATCTCATAATTATTATTGTGTTGTAAATTTGGCTTTCTGTTTAAAGGTCTTGTTGCAGTAGGAGAGAGAGCACAAAAGAGATCTGGGAACTTCTCTGCTGCAATGAAAGACTTGTCAGGTGAGAACACACCCTGTTAAGTTCTTGCCTTATCCGAATCATAAGTTGTTACAAAGCTGGTGGGAATCTTTTATAACTAGTGGTTTTTCTCTACAGGCAAACATCCTGTGTCTGCCTTGATGGAAATCTGTAATAAAAGAAGGTGGCAACCACCAGAATTTCTCTTGGTCCATGATAGTGGCCCTGATCATCGCAAACATTTTCTCTTTAGGGTAAATATGAACTTACATACTATTACATATCAATCTTAGAGGGTTAAGGGACAGGTGTGGTACTAAAAGCACAGTGTTAATATCTGTGGGGGGAGATCACTGCTGTGCATATGTGTGGGTAGTGGGGTTTTTAAACTTAGAAGGGGATTTTAAATTATTAAAGGGGAGGGTATGTGCAAAATCTGGTTAACATTTGGTATGTGGGGGTAATTGGTACATTTAGTAGTGCTTCTTATTTTTAAATGTGGAGACCTGCAGTTATTTTGCAGTTTCCTTTTTTATATTATTTAATGCTTTGGGGTTAAGATTAATTTATATAATTTGGGGTTTATAATTATTATTTAGTGAAAAAGTACAAAGCTAATAGATATTAAAGTTTGATGCTGTTCTTATTGTATGTTTTTCTTGAATAGGTATTGAGAAATGGAAGCCCTTACCAGCCCAATTGTATGTTTTTCTTGAATAGGTATTGATAAATGGAAGCGCTTACCAGCCCAGCTTTGCCAGCCCTAATAAGAAGCATGCTAAAGCCACAGCAGCTACTGTGGTTCTTCAAGCAATGGGCCTTGTACCAAAGGACCTCATGGCTAATGCCACTTGCTTCAGGAGTGCCTCACGTAGATAGATTGAGGTTTTATATTAATCATTTCAGATAATTTTACTCTGCATCACAATGTATTTCCTCCTTAATGTTGTAAATATTTCACAATTAAGACATTGTGTAAAAAGCAATCTGTACAAACATCTCCAGGCTTTGGTTTTTGTACCATGGAAATTGTATTTAACCATACAGGGTTTTGGTATGTTTATATTGTTTACTTTAGTGATGTATTTGTTTAAGTGGCTAACATCAAAACAATTGTTTGAAGGCATCAGTAATATTCAGTGTGGAATGTTAAATAACGCTTTTATACTGTATTTTGTACTATGATGTAACTCCCCTTCCTTATGGCTAGGCTGCTGTAACACTTGCCTGTAATAATCAGTGAAGGGCTGTGCACCTTGTACTATTTCACAATGGGTTCTGCTGGACAGATACTGGGCCAGTGTTATTAAGGTTATGAAGTAAGATCTGCTCCACAGGGCTAATGCCACCATCTCCCCTTAAGTTTTGTAGAGGTTATGAAAAGAAAGTGATGTCATGATGAGCACTAAGTCCTGCATTCCCATTAAAGCTACTTGGGTCATAAGAAGGGAGTCACAATGGGAGTCCAACTAGCGTTTCACTTCAGAGGCCAAGTACATATTTAGTATGGCTTGAGTTGTGATATAGTTTTACTTTGATGTGCATTTTGAATTTCAGCTACACCTAGATAGACGTAAATAATAAAAATGCTGTAACCAACTTATCTAATAAAAATTGGCAACCAGCCACTATTTTGTTGACTATGAGAAAGTTTAAGTTTATGTTAATTTTTAGGGTCTGATAGAATATTCATGTGTATTACAGTGGTATTCATATGCTATGTCTCTAAACTTTATTTTCAAAATCTCAAGGCCCAAATACAACCTTCTCTGGAATAAATGTGGTGTCTCATTCTCTGACTTCATGGAACACACATAACTAAGTACTATTACTTGTTACCCAATGACTTCTATGCACGTTTATTTAAAAATGCTGTATTTTATACACACATGCACACATACAAATTACCTGTAAGCACCCAAGCCTGAGCATTCAACACGCGGGTACAAAAGAACAAGTGTGAGTGGATGTGGTGGACAAGAGGAACTAGGTAGCATTAATGACCGCTCAGCTTTGCAACAGTGTCTACACTGCCCTGCATCTCTAAAGAACCTACTACAGTGAAGGTACATAGGATGCTTTTCTGACCATTAGTTTCAATGTAACAAGTGCTACATACAGGTTATCTCCTGTCTCATTTGTAATGAAACACTTTAATTGAGTTTTCTACTCAGGTTACAATTAAGTTGCAGGGATATAGAATTCTCATTCAAATTACCTAAGATTTAAGCTTGTATCTTCAGATCTCAAAATGTATAAAAATAATTAAAAGCCTAATGCTTGTTATAAAAGTAACGATTAGAAACACATCGGTATTTTAAAACATATTCTTCCAAAATGAACTTAAAGAGCCAAAGTTTAAAAATCAACTTCCTTCCTTGCTAGGAAGCTTTTCCTCAGTTTCCCTTTAGGCTTACTTTGGTGTTCAGGATCTCCAATTAAAAATGTAGTCACTCATTTCCACATTCCGTAAGGATGATTTCCCCAGCAATGGTATTTGACTGAGCTGCTCCAGGGTTTTGGGGTGCAGTCCACAGTTAGCAAGGTCCTTATGAGTAACTTTCTGTAGAAATACAAGTCCACATCCATGAACATGTTAGTTCTTCTCATCACCATAAAGAATGGCAAATAATGGCTTATTCACTTAATCATGGCTAGAAGTTGATCCTAACAATCTCTGTAGTTTGAAAAAAAAAACAGATTCTTATTAATTTCTGGGGCTGGAGAGATGGCTCAGGTTAAGAGCACCAACTGTTCTTCCAGAGGTCCTGAGTTCAAGTCCCAGTAACCACATGGTGGCTCACAACCATCTATCATGAGATCTGGTGCCCTCTTCTGGTGTGTAGACATACATGCAGACATAATAAGTAAATAAAAAAATTAACATCCTTTACAAAGTCTATATAAAGACTATAAAGATGGTTAGAATTCAAAGGAAATCAGTTGAGTAGGGCAGGGAGATAGTTCAGTCTTGAAGCATCTGTGCTGCAAGTGTGATGACCAGAGTTGGGGTATCCAGAAGCCTCTTAAAGTGCTGTGCACACAGGGCAGTGCTGTCATAGCAACCTGCTATGACTAACCATTTTAGTGTCTTCTGGTTTTGATGAAAAGACCCTGCATTGCTGAACAAGGTGGAGAACAATGCAGCAGGAGTTGTCAGCCAAGGCTTCCCTGTGTGAGCACTCCCCACTGAGGGTGCCTAAGCACACACACAACGGCAAGTAACATATACACATACATGTCCATAAACTAAAAAGAGGGAAACGGGCATTACTAAACTTAAGTTGTGAGAGCAGAAAGCACTTCTTAGGTTTGGGAGTTTTTAGTATTGCCTGAATTAATAAATTTCCTCAATTCATAACTTGCTTTCTAAATGGATATAAATTTGGTGTATTGTGACATTTCTTCCAGTAAGAGGACACAAGCTACGACAGTCTACTTACTGTATGCGGGTCTCTACTCGGTGGCAGGCAGGTATTGAACACAGCAGTTGGCTCATGTGCATGCATCCCAACAGAGAACGATCCCCTTTGTGAAGACCGGAGGAGCATGGTCACATTATGCAGAGCGTGAGGCATGATGGGACCTGTGATCTCCAAACTAAACTGGTCTCTGTATCCAGAAAGAGCATTTGTCTTTACATTCATGCTTCGTGCCTTCAGAAAATGTAAAGAAAAGCACAATTAGGATCATACCTTAATTTGTCCCTTAGCTGAAGATATCTTCAGTGCATTTTTATTTGGGATTTCTTATGCCAGGAAACAGGAACTACTTTTGTTTCCTACGATAACAACATAGCACTTAACACATTGCTTCCATTTCCGTTTCTGAGATCTGTAAGCTTTTTTGGTATATACATAAAGTGGGATGGATCAAACAACTTTTTTTGAAATGACAAGTGAGAAAGTGAACAGCAAAATGTTTTATTACCAAACATAATTTATCCAGTGTGGGGAAAAAAACACACACAAAATTCACTTGGGAAGTAATGGCAGGAAGGTCAAGAATTCAGGGTCATCCTCCACTACAGTGAGTTTGAAGCTAGTTTGGATTATTTCTTAAAGTCGTGTGATAGAGAATAAGTAAAAGGAATTGGACAAAATTCATGTGTGTTCATGTATACATGTAAAATACATGCATATTCTGAGACAGGGTCTCATGTATCACAGGTGAACTTGAACTTCTGATCACCACACTCTTAAATCACTTTTATTTTTAATGGAGAAAGCAAGAAGAAAACTACCGGGAATGCAGCTCAGGACACAATGTTTGCCAATATGCCCCACACTCCTGTTTCAATCTTAGTGGTGAAAAACAAAGCCAAAAGTATGCTAGAACAATTAAAAATATTTCAGAGATTTGTAAATTTTGTTGTTTTGAGACAGGGTTTTCACTATGTGGCCCTGGCTGTCCCAAAACTCATTGAGATCGGCTTGCCTCTGTCTCCCAAGTGCTGGGATTAAAGGTGTAGCTACCATGTTGTGTCTGGTTATCTGTGGGGATAAAAGAGGCAGCAGACCCCCTTGAAACAGGACTTAATGACGGCTGTGAGTCATCATATAAGTGATGAAAATCGAACTTGGGTCTTCTATAAGAGGAGTTTATTTATTTTTAAAGATTTATTCATTATATATAGTGTTCTGTCTGCAAGTGTTCCTACAGGCCAGAAGAGGATGCCAGACCTCATTACAGATGGCTGGGTCCTGGGAAGGCAACCCGTGTCCTCTGCAAGACCAGCTAGTGTTCTTAATCCCCAGCCATGTCTCCAGCCCTGCAGAAAGTGACCCTAAACTCTGAGCCATCTCCCCAATCCCTACATTACTTTTCAAAAGATTTACTTATTTTAGGTGTATGAGTGCTCTATCAGAGCATCAGATCCCACTAGAGATGGCTGTGAGTCTCCATGTGGGTGCTGGGAACTGAACTCAGGACCTCTGGAAGAGCAGTCCGTTAGCCATCTTAACTGTTGAGTCATCTCTCCAGCCACGAATTATTTTTTAAAAATTGAGAATTTGAGCTAGGAATGTTGGCACATGCTTTTAATCCCAGCACCCAGGAGGCAGAGGCAAGTAGTTATCTGTGAGCTTGAGACCAGAATGGTTTATGTAACCAGTTCCAGGACAGCCAAGGCTATACTAAGAGCCTGTATTTATAAAATATTCTAAAAAACGAAGCTAAGAACTAAAGTCAAGATGGCACCTTTACAGAGTGAAGCCACCTACTGAGAACTGGACTGTACCCGGCAGCGGCGGCGGTGGTGGCGCACACCTTTAATCCCAGCACTCGGGGGGCAGAGGCAGGCGGATCTCTGTGAGTTTGAGACCAGGCTGGTGAAGTATGCGCTCACTCACCTTCAGCATTTGCATGGAGGCACCGCGGAAGGCTACTGGGGATAAAAGTGTCGGAGGGAGGCCTGCTTGTGCACCTGAGGTGGCAACTAAGCTCTTGCAGTTGATCAAAAAATTGAGCAATGTGAAGGTGTTGAGTCCTTTCACCAGGACGGCAGACTCAGGTCTGTGGTCCATTTGCACTTCATGTTTTTCTCTAAGTCTGAAAATGATAATCAAGGAAAGAGCAAAAAAACATAAAACCAAACAAACAAAAAATCCCCACCAGTGCAGTGCAGATAGCCACCTTGATTCTAGATGCCTGGGGTTCCCTGTCCCGTTTCTCAAGTCTAATGAATCGTTGACCACTTGAAAGTGGTAGACAAAAACCAGCAAAAACTTTGTATACGACCAATGTGGACTGTCCTTACTTAAGCCAGTGTTAAACCACCAACTCAGCCAGGCGGTGGTGGCGCATGCCTTTAATCCCAGCACTCGGGAGGCAGAGGCAGGCGGATTTCTGTGAGTTCGAGACCAGCCTGGTCTACAGGGAGAGTTCCAGGACAGCCTCCAAAACAATACAGAGAAACCCTGTCTCGAAAAACCAAAAAAAAACAAAACCACCAACTCAATCAAAGTTCTTCATAGCAACAGAAAGGATACAGCTTGATAGAGTTCATGTCTGGCTTTTTTATTTGATCTTGCACACCTATCTCTTCCAACCAAGAAAAGCTCTCCTCTTCATCTTCATCACTGGCTGCTTGCTCCCTAAGAAACTGCTGGTTAGAAGCACGCATTCACAGAGCCAGTGCACTTACAACTCATTGCACCCAGCTCCAGTTAGGGAATTCATACACTAGGGACGATGTAGAAGTTTACGTAATACATACTCCTCACACTCCAGATTTGCTTCTCGTGTTTTCCTCTTATGGCCACTCTCTTCGAGCAAAGGCAGAGAGAATTCAATACCTGCACCAGAAAAGAAAAGGTAACTCCCTTTCTTCAATTAACCATGAGTATCCTACCACTGGCATATACACATGAGCTTTTCTAGCCTTCCCTCCCGTTCCTGACCCACTAACTGATGGGTTAACACAGTCTTACAATTACTAAAGGGGAAGTTTAGATGATTTCAAGGGTTAGACAGTCTAGGGCTGGTGAGACGGCTCAGTAGTTCGAGTGTGCCAAGTCCTAGGACACCTGAGTTCACTTCCTAGAACTCACATGGTGGAAGAAAGAAATGACTCTTAGAAGCTGGCTTCTAACCTTCGCATGCGCGCTCGCGCGCACACACACACGTAAAAATGTTTCAAAGTGCCAAGTATATTCAGTAAGAAGAGACTTTTGGAACCTACTGTGTGCATTATTTCATAGAGCAGAAAAAGGAACATAACAAAGTTCAGCTACATTTTAGAAATAGCTTTACCAACAGGGAGAAAGAAAAAAAAAACTCTGAAAAAAATGGACTACATCTCTTAAATTCATTTTGATAACCAATTAGTAAAAGACAATGCAAAGTGGTTTGTTTCTTGTTTTTTTAAATATCCTATTTTATGCGTGTGAGTGCTGATGTCTGTGTACCACTGTGTACCTGGTGTCTCTACTGGCCAGCAGAGGGCACTGGATCCCCTTGCAACTGGAGTTACATATGAAGTCAGCCACCATGTGGTGACATAAATCAAACCAGGTCCTCTGAAGAGCAGCCATCTCTGCAGCCCCCAACTCAGCATTTGAGCAAGAGGGACCCTCAACTGTGAACATAAACTGTTACCTTCATTTTTCATAGCTTCTCTCAGACCTCTAGTTGTAGGTGATATGACTGCTGTGACCACGTCACTTCCGGCTAACCCTGCTGCCCGGAACAGGACAGTGAACTGGTAGGTACAAACGTAGAAAAAGGGGCAAAGCTTTGTTTTCAACAGATTATACAAGGAAGCAAAACTCACAGACCTGTGAGACAAAAGAGATTTTCAGGGTTACAATATTTCAAACTTAATGCCGTGTAATTTAGCCTGTCAAGTAGATAAAACCCAATGTACATTTTTTGAGTACTGAATCGAGTTTCCTGTGTGAAACTCGCTTTGAGGACAGAAGCTGTGGAGTGAGTGCTGATGACTCCTTAGTACTGTGTGCATGGAAACACGTGCTCTTTCAAGCCCTGGGAACTGGACACAAACTCTGAGCAACTTCTGATGAAAAAAGCACCAAGTGACAGGAAGCAAAACTGAAGACGTAGACCTGTCTACATGTTTATCCAACACAGTCCTAAGACATTTGACAGTGTAGACCCGTCTACACTACAGTCCTAAGACATTTGACAGTGTAGACCCGTCTACATGTTTATCCAACACAGTCCTAAGACATTTGACAGTGTAGACCTGTCTACATGTTTATCCAACACAGTCCTAAGACATTTGACAGTGTAGACCTGTCTACATGTTTATCCAATACAGTCCTAAGACATTTGACAGTGTAGCCCCGTCTACAATATAGTCCTAAGACATTTGACAGTGTAGACCCGTCTACACTACAGTCCTAAGACATTTGACAGTGTAGACCCGTCTACAATACAGTCCTAAGACATTTGACAGTGTAGACCTGTCTATATGTTTATCCAATATAGTCCTAAGACATTTGATAGTGATGAAGTTGGGAAAAAAAGCAAACTGATTAAATCCTGGACATTAACAGTTTCTCGATAAGGAACACAGAGACATATTCTTTCCATAGTAGCCAAGAGTCCTGCTATTGAAGGAATGCGCCCTTCTACTGACTTACCAGTCACTCATGAGAGTATGTTGTAGAGTTTCATCGTTTGACCATGGACTCGTCTTTCCAGCCATTTTCCTATCAGCTCCAATGCGAGGGAACAGCGGCAGCCATGAGAAGGCGGGGTGAAGCCAGTAGACGAGGGTCTGCTGGAAGGCACATCGTAGCTCAGTCGAGAGCTTGGGATCCTGAATTCCGGTGCAGAGAATGGTTGGTTTTACTCATCAGAAAGATAAACGTTCATTAGAGACACTGGTATATCATACAATTTAATAGTTTAAAAGGTTAGTTGGGAGTAATGGCAGACCCTCTTGAATCCTAGCACTTGGGAGGAAGGCAGATCTCTGTGAAGCCAGGCTGGTCAACATATGAACCCAACGAAAGCTCAAACACTTGTCTCAAATACCTTCTCCCAAATTATTTATATATTTATTTATTTTTTGAGACAGGGTTTCTCTGTGTAACAGCCCTGGCTGTCCTGCAACTTGCTCTGCAGACCAGGCTGGCCTCAAAAGCAGAGATCCACCTGCCTCTGCCTCTCGAGTGCTGGGGTTAAAGGCATGCTCCACCACGATTTTTATTTTTAATTGTAGGTGTGCCTGCAGTTTGAACACGTTTTCTGAAAGAACAGCATGTTCTCTTAATGACTGAACCATCTTTCCAGCACAGTCTCAGAATTTATAGTGCTTTTTATTAGGAAGTATCAGCAATGGTCAGAGGCTGGAGTGCAGTGAACTCTGCTTTCTGGACAAGTGTGTTGGAGCACGCATCGCAAAGAGCTTATGCACACACCGGAACCCTGTCTCTGCCTTTCCCTAGGCATTCAGACGATGGGAGGAGGGGCGAGTGTAGGGAAAGTGCCAAATAGATGCCAGGGAAGAGGCTCCTCCCCCAGGAAAACAGTCTCACGAGCTGTCAGCCAGGGGAAGAGCGAACTACAAACCATCTTGATACTTTGAGGAGTATGTCTCAAGTCCTATTTCAAGCAAACCTTTATAACCTAGTTTGTGGTGATGAGCTGCTTCATGGTAATTAAATTACTGAGACGGTTCTAAACCTCATCAATCCTTCAATTTATTAAGAACCGAACCAGAGTGTGATTGGATGTGGTAGTTGCATACCTTTAGTCCCAGCACTGAGGAGGCAGAGGCAGGGTATGTCTATGAGTTTGAGGCCAGCCTGGCCTACAGAGCCAGTTCCAAGAAAGTCAGAGCTACAAAGTGAGACTTTGTCTTGGGAACAAAAATAACAACAGCAAAAACAGCCCCCTACCCCAAAGCCAGAGTAACTCAGTAGCTGAATTTTCATGTTTCCTTAGAAGCTACAAAAGGATAGTGTAGAGAAAACAATGCCTGTCTATACTCCTGACTGACTTCCAGAAATCTCTACATGAAATGAGCTGTTATTACCTGATAAACATGAGTGTGAAAGTATCCTTTGGGAGAAATGAATTGTCAAATTTTTGTCTACACCTCTCAGAAGAACAGCTTAACAAGAAAGTAGTGTGTGGATTTTCAGGACATATCCTTCTACACTTAATTTGAAACACTACCATAGACTCCTGGGCTGGTGTGAGGTTCAGCTGTTAAAAGAGCTTGAGTTTGGATCCCTGCAAGCACACACAGGTTGGGATTCACCTGTGAACGCCTGTGGCCCCGGCACTGAATAAGCAGAGACGGGAGCAGCGTGGAGGCTTGCTGGCCCGCAGGCCAGCCACAAAACAGGAGCTCCAGGCTCACGGAAACCTCGTCCCAAAGAGACAAGGAGACACAGGACTGTCACCCTTGGCTTCTGCTGATATACCTGCCTGTGTGGCTGTGCACGCACACACACGGACACATACACACACAAACATGAATGCACACACATATAATACGTTCCTCCCCTCTCAGGCCCCTCCATTCAGACTTACCTGTACACTCTGGGGTAAAGTAACTTCTGCTGCCCTACAATGTTGAACAAGACCTCGGGCTTCTTCCTGTGCCTTCAAATGATCTGCCCAGGAAAAGGGTTGAGGAGAGGTAAAAAGGAGTCGGGTTTTAATACTCCAGTCCGCAGGTAACTCAGTACCTTCTGAAGGAGTCGTATCTGACTCAGAGAATGATACGTGTTGACTCTTAGAAAACAAAGAACACAAAAATTAGAGTTTCAAGAATATTCTTTTAATACAAAAATCCTAGTTATTCTACTCTTGATCACTAAATGTCAAAATTTATGAATGGTCCAACGTTAAAAATATATTTCACCTGAGAAGTCTGGAAGGAGGTAAACCAAGCTATTAAGAGGCCTTGGGCCAGGCAGATGACTCTGCAGGTAGTGGCACCTGCCACTAAGCCTGAACGTCTGAGCTGGAAGGAGAGAACAGGCTCCCAAGAAAGCTCAGCGGACAACTAAGTACATGCATACAACGCTCAGCGGATAACTAAATACATACATAAAATGCTCAGCGGACAACTAAGTACATACATACAATGCTCAGCGGATAACTAAATACATACATAAAATGCTCAGTGGGGTGGTGCTGGAGCACTGAGTTTCACTGTTCAGCTTTCACAGTTCTATCTAGCACTACAGACAACAAAGGAGACATGTTCCTAGTACTTAAAAAGTATCTTGTCAGCCCCTGAATTACTGTGACCAGGGCCAAGCTCCTCCTTCAGGTTAAGCAACCTGGGTAGAACTCAAAGGATTTAAAAAACATTTCGGGGAGGGGAGTGCTGGAGAGATGGCTGCTCTTCCAAAGGTCCTGCGTTCAATTCCCAGCAACCACATGATGGCTCACAACCATCCATAATGAGATCTGGTGCCCTCTTCTGTAATGCAGAACACTGGATATATAATAAATAGATTAATTAAAAACATTTCCTGAGCCGGGTGTTGGTGGCGCACGCCTTTAATCCCAGCACTTGGGAGGCAGAGGCAGGCGGATATCTGTGAGTTCGAGGCCAGCCTGGTCTACAAGAGCGAGTTCCAGGACAGCCTCCAAAGCCACAGAGAAACCCTGTCTCGAAAAACCAAAAAAAAAAAAAAAAAAAATTTCCTGAAGAGAAAGAAAGAAAGCTAGAGTCAACCTGCTGTTCAAGTCTATCTTCTCCACATCACACAGGTTCCCTTAGGGATTGTCACAAAATATCCTGCCAGGGGAGCTGCCTCCCTCCACAAGACTGTGGAAGCCAGAATGGATGTTCAGAACTCTTTCAGCCTCTTCCTATTAGGGCGGACTATCTGTCTACAGGGAGCTGGGGGCCCCTGCAGCTCAGGCGGCAGACTGCTCGCTCCACACGCAGGAAGCACTGGGCTTGATCCCCCAGGCTAAAGCAGGCTTGGTCCCCACAGTCCATACGTATTGTCCCAGCACCGGGTCTCATGGGTTCCGGGCCTCGGCTGTCGTGTTTATAGGCTGATCTCAAACTTTTGACAATCCTTCCTGCGCTCACGCCCTTGTAAGTGTGCACCATCGTGCCCCTGCACACTAGGCAAGCGTTTTACAAACTGAGCTACAGTCCCGGACTTCAAATGAAACTAATTTTTCAAGCAAGACGCCCTTGAGAAGCGTTTCTTAGAACACACATACATTACAATCATATTTAAGAAGTACTGCCTGGGCTAGGCCATCCAGGCGGCTCAGCAGGTAAAGGCATCTATCTGCCTCTGAGTTGGGCCCCCACAAGGTTGGAGGGACTGACTTTCACACAGACAACTGTGGCACTCACAATAAGCGTAGCTTTAAAAAGTACCTGGGAGAGTTCGGTGACAGTTCTTTCATGAGACGCTTCCGCCCATAGCAAATTATTTTCTTCATTAGAATCTAAATGCTGAGGTTAAAACAAACAAACAGTTGTTTTAAAACTTCAGCGATGAGGGAACTTACTTTAAATACGTAAGGCCTCATCTGGCACACCAGGCTCAGGAGTGGGGACTCCGATCCACACACTACCAACGTCTGCTCCACCACCTCAGTCTTGTGCCTGAGCTCATCAAGGGGAGGCAAGGCCAGGCCGACACGTTTAACAACCGTAATTCGTAAATCTTAGGCCAGAGAGCGACCGATTCGTCCTCAACAGTCCTCCATGTCCTCAGGAATTTCGACTGCCCGAGGAGGAGGAGGTCCATGCGAGTGTGCCGTGCAGGACGGGGTGTCCTGAGGACTCTTCGAGCCTCGTTCGCGTGTGGCTTCGAGGGCAGCCCCCGCCCCCACCTCAGGACGCGGGGCTGCGGCGGCTGTTCGTGCCCACTCCCACCCGTGACCCCGGCAGCCCGGCGCGGAGACTCACCGAGCCCGGAGCTCCCTGCGGACCCCGGGACGGCTCCTCGCGGGCCTCGTCGGCGACCCGCGGCCGGTTGTCCAGGCGGGCGAAAGGGTTCCTGCGGGCGACGGTGGCGGCGCCGCCTCTGCCGCCCGCGGTCGGGAAGGGGCGCAGGGGCAGCCCGGCCGCCAGCGCGGCGCGGCGGGGCGTGGGCTCCGGCAGTGCGGGGGGCACGGCGGCGCCGCGGTCCCGAGGCCTTTTCCGGCGGAGCCGCACGATCTCCGGCGGCCTCTTGAAGCTGGGCGAGTAGCCGGGCACCGAGACAGCCATTGCGCAGCGCGGACGGAACCCGCAGCCCGGCCTGCGCTTCCCGCGCGCTCCGGCCCCGCGCTGCTCGCCCACTGGAGGGCCCCGAGGCCCCGCCCCGCAGCGGGCCCGCCTCCCGGAGCATGCGTGCTTGGCCGTCACGCCCCGCCCCGCCCCGCAGATGTCCCTGGGGCCGCTTCCGGCCAGGCGCGCGCAGCCCGGTGGGGGGGGGGGGAGGTGCTCCTTTAGCAGCGCTGCCGCGAGGCTGGGCGTAGCCCAGAAAACGCCGCCAGCCCATCAGCCCGGAGGGCAAGGAAACGGATCCACGCTGCTTTAGTCTGCAGCGGCGACAGGGTCAGCTCCGGGTGCGGAGCCTGAGTGCAAAGCACACAGCACACTCGAGCTGTGGCGATGGACGGGCAGCTTCTCTCCGAGAGAAGCTGCAAGGTCATTCTGAGAGGGAGTGACGGGCCGAGGCCTTGCTGCGCCCCACTGCTCAACAGAGCACCCACAGAGCAGCCTCAGGTCAATTCTCACATCCTTGTCCCCAGTGCCCCCCACTCCAGCCATCTATGCAAATGCTATGCCACTACTACAAGACCAGGTACTATGTGATTCTGTATGATCTTGGAGAAATTCAGAATGAATGTTTTTAGAAAATCTTAAATGCTAATGGATTACTTTGACATCAGAAAATACACTCAAATGCTAAAATAAAGGCTTGTTAAGGAAGGAGTTGAGAATGGAGCTGATAGAAAATCAAATGACATTTCATGCTAGAGCAAAAGCTGGTGGCGGATGCTGTGATAGGACAGTGTGGCTTTGGCCGAAAGCAGTTTTCTTTATGGAAAGAATTTTATAGCAGAGGCAAAATGCATAGATACAATAACAAAAAAAAAAAGGTTTTTGGAATATCCCCTTCAAGATGTAAAAAAAAATTAATCTGGATTGTTTGCATATTAATTTTTCAAATATGTCAAATAACCAAACGTCTTACTATGGCAGGAAAACAGGCTTAAAAATAGAAAAAAGTTGTTTCTCATCTTCCTTGATTTTCTCAACAATTTCCAAAGAAAACTGGCTTCATATACTGGCATGGGTGCGTCCAACTGAGGTCTGGGAAAGAAAATTAAAATTGAACAACTTGCTTTTTTCTTTCTTGATTTTTCTGAACAACTTCCATGGCAGCTTTTGCCTCAGACAGTGGAATGGGCTCATCAAGTATCGGTCTGAGAAGAAGAAGGGTTAGAAACATCAGCATGGCCACAGGCGCACACACAAGGTGTGCACACACAAGGTGTACACACCACACACTGCGCTATAGTTGATTGTATTCCTCCAAACAATCCAAACAGCTTGGTGGGGGTGCGTGCCTTTGCTCCAGCACTGGAGAGGCAGAGGCAGGGGGATCTGTGAGTTCCACATCAGCCTGACCTATTCAGCTAGCAAAATAAATAAATAAATGAAAATACCAACCAATCAAACAAAATTACAAACTCATCCATTAATATTTTATGGTTTAGGGGCTGGAGAGGTGGCTCAGAGGTTAAGAGCACTGGCTGCTCTTCCAGAGGTCCTGAGTTCAATTCCCAGCAACCACATGGTGGCTCACAACCATCTACAGTTCAATCTGGTGCCCTCTTCTGGTGTGTAGACAGAACACTGTATATTCAATAAATAAATAAAAATCTTTAAAAAATATGGTTTAAAAGTAGTAATTTTCCTTTCCTTTCCCTTTCCCCATTCTTCCTTCCTTCCTTCTCTCCCTCCCCCCTTCCTTCCTGTGTCTATGTCTGTGGTTTTTTAAAATCCTGGAACTCACTTCATAGACTAGACTGGCCTCTCATTCACAGAGATCTGCCTGCCTCTGCCTCCCAAGTGCTGGGATTAAAAGTGTGTGCCATCAAGCCATGTTTTTTTTTTTTTTTTGGGTTAAGATTGGGTTTGTCTTGTTAGATAACCCAGAATGGCCTAGAACTCATTATCCCTGCCTTAGCTCTCCTAGGCTGTGAATACAGATATGGTCCACAACATTGGGCTAAATGTGTTTAAGTTTTGAAAGAAAAATATATTACTCACTCCCTTTACATTGTAAGTGATATCAAAACCCAATTTAAACAAACTTGGTACTTTTTTTCCTCTTGTCAAGCTCTGAATAACTCCAAATTCCCTGGCAAGAGGAATCAGAATGGAACTGGGAGAAAAGGCACACGGTAGATAAAATCTCCAGGGATACCCTTGGTGTACATTTTGAGAAGTGAGAGAGACTATCTGCTTATCTGAAGTGAATGAAGCCAGAGGTACTATGTGTACCATAAGACTGAGAAAAACAGATGCCCACCTTTCCCCGAGAACAGAAAAACAATGATGATCTGACTTTATGGCATACCTGAAGATACCAGCCGATAACTTCTCCATCACGTCTCTTAAGATGCGTAACTGGAAGGGTTGTTAAGGTGGCAGCTTAATTAGAAAGGGGTCTAAATAAGCCTTCAGTAAACATAAGATGCTGTCCCGGCCACTTCTATTTTTCTTTTGTACTTTCAAATTCTACTAGGAACTGTCAATGACTTCTAAAACAAAGGTATGACTTGAGAGAACTGAGCTGTGAGTGACTGGAGAATGAACTTCTAAAGACAAGTGGTGAGGGCAGCAAGCTGTCACTTATGCAGTGACCAAGACCACCCCCAGAGGGCAGTTCGTGGAGTAATGCATGGTTTTCATTCATGCACTGCACAGCACACAGTGTTCGGCACTTACACCTCTTCCAGGAAGTAAACGTTTGTTTCACTGATATCAAGTTCAATTTGTTTGCATAAATTCATTTTATTTCAAAAATATGGAAAGAGCTAATGAATATGTGTGCATTTATGGTAGTCTGGTTCATGTATTTGAAGGCTTGGCCTCCAGTGGGTTGTGTTCAGGGAGTTATGAAGCTTTAGTTGAAGGAAGTACTTCGTGGGGGGCAGGCTTTGATGGTTTTAAGGTCTCATCTCTGCTTCCCGCTCTCTTGGCTTCCCATGTAGATAAGGTATGTTAACCCAGGACCCTGCCCTGCTGCCAAGCCACGCCTCCCAACCCTTATGGGCTCTATCCCTCTGGAACCATAAGCCAAAACAAACCCTCCCTTTTATAAATTGATTTTGATAAATGGTATTTATTCATAGCAACATATGAAGAAAAATAATAAATAAGAAGGCCTAGAGAGACAGCTCACTGGTAAGATCACCTGCTGTGCTTGGAGAGGACAGAGGTTCAGCCCCCCATATGCATAAGGCAACTCACGAGTGTCTGTAACTCGAGTTTCAGGGGACCTGATGCCCTCTTTTGATGTCCATGGGCACCAGGTGCACAGACAACATGCAGGCATAGACCCATATACAGACACATACACATTAGGCAAACAAACAAACAAATTCATAAATCTTCTAAAAACTAAATTTCCTAGTACTGGTACTTGTGAAATTCAACTATGAACATTTTGGAATATTTTGTGCAATGGTACCATCATAGGAGTTAAGGGTGCTGTCTCTTAAGGTGCCATGCAATGCCAGACTGAAAACAAAAGACAAACCTCCATTCAGGAGTGAGGCCCTGGGGTGTGTGTGGTTGTGAGTCTCTCTTGCTACGGTACCTCCCCTCAGGCAGCCTTTTCACCTGTGAAATGAGTTCTTTACTCATTCCTCGTAGACAATGCTTGAATGAATGTATGGACCTGTCACTGTCATACATGCTCCAGGGAAGCTCACAACTAGTTATAATCTCTGATTGTCACCTCGAAAGAGTTTGAGTAGAGTGTGCGGCAAATCACAAGGTAGCAGCTCAAACCAGTAGAAAAGGATATAAAGGTATTTCCCCTGGTGTGCATTTGACAAATTCCAAACTTCCTCATTAAGGAAAGCCACCGTTGCCCCCTTGAGGAAAAGGCAGTGGCTGTCTGGAGGGTCCAACTTTGATAGAAGAAACAAAGACAAAACAACAATTAAGTTCAGCAGCGTAAAGGTGTTTGAACCATAAACCTTTAATGCAAATTAATCATTGCAGAAAGCACAAAACCAGCTACAAGCTTCAACAGCCATTTAGTACTGTGACGCTTTCTTCCCGTGCCATGATGAACTGGCTAGGACAAGGCAGATGCACAGCCAATCTGGAAACCCAGGGATAAAATGGCAGAGACAGGCTTCTGTGTGTGGCTTCTGGTGACCATCAGTCACTTTGTATGTTGGAAAGTCTAGACTGGTATATTAAATTACAGTATTTGTATGTTAGCTATGATATAAATATTCAATTAGGATTCTGTTAAAAGGTAACAGAAGGGAGGTAATTCATCTATACACATATATACTAACATCAATTTGGGTTATTAAATTATGATAATATTATTTATAAATATTACAATTGCTAAGTTACTAGAAAGCAAATTTTTAGGGTCTGAGATATGGCTTAAGTTACCAGTGTGTTTGTCACACAAACACAAGGACCCAAGTTTGAACACCAGCACCCATGCAGAAGGCCAGGTGCAGTGGTGCACATCTGTGACACACACCTGTGGTGCACATCTGTAGTGCACACCTGTAACACACACCTGTAGTACACACCTGTAACACACACCTGTAGTGCACATCTGTAGTGCACACCTGTAGCACACACCTGTAGTGCACATCTGTCATGCACACCTGTAACACACACCTGCAGTGCACATCTGTGGTGCACATCTGTAGTGCACACCTGTAACACACACCTGTAGTGCACACCTGTAGTGCACATCTGTCATGCACACCTGTAACACACACCTGTAGTGCACATCTGTCATGCACACCTGTAACACACACCTGCAGTGCACATCTGTAGTGCACACCTGTAACACACACCTGTAGTGCACACCTGTAACACACACCTGTAGTGCACACCTGTAACACCTGTAGTGCACATCTGTCACCCCACTGCTGGAGATGCTGGCACAGGAGGATGTTTGGGTCTTAATGCCAGCCAGCCTAGGCAAACTGGCAAGCCCCAGGCCCATTGAGAGATCCCCTCTCAAAAGACAAGGCGGAGAATGATAGAGAGAGGTACCAGCTTTATCTCTGGTCTCCCTCACACATACATGTGCACACACAGATAAAGTGTAATTTGAAGTACAATTTTAAAATTCAGAGGCCACTATACACAATGAATTAAATACAATTATAATTCATTCTGACTGAATGGACTTCCCTGCCTGATAGAATCTGGCCAGTATGTCCCTAACACAGAAAATAAGTTACATTCCTTTAAACATAGGTGTAATTAGAACTTATACTGTTCTTTACCAATGGCACCCCTTGGTGTAATAGCAGGGCTTTTTTGTTTCTGAAAATACCTGCAGGTTTTCTTCTGTTGTTACCCAGTGGCCTCCAACACCAAGAAGTGTGATGACATCGTGCTTATGTGGCAGTTGTGACTTTACAGCTGGTTCCTCATCTTTACTGTACAGCCTCACTTACAAATGAACAGTTAAAAAAGAGAGAAAAGGTATACTTTATAAAAGTCTGACAAAATTGGTTTTGCATGTCAGTCTTTTTATATACCAAGAAACATTTTCTTAATAAAAGGCAAACTTAATTAACTTTAAGCTACACCAAAACGTACCCTACACTTAATTGAAATTAAATGCAAACAAAATAAATTTTGATTTGGAAGCAAGCAAGGTAATACAACTACATAACTATGTCTCATGCTAATTGTAATAACTGTAGCTTAATGCAGTGGGACGAACTGCTGCTGCCTCTTTAAAATATTGAGTCACACACACCGAATCACACATTTGAAAGGTGATCACACTACAATACACTGTTCCCTTCCACTGATGATGTTTATGAGCCAATTTCAAGGCCTGAAAAATACACATTAGAAAGGGACACACACTATGGCTATAGTCATACTCAACAATAAAATACAAATAGAACTGCTGTGCAGTTCACAATACTAACCCTTCAGGAGTAAATGGTGCCACCTAAATGTGCACGGAGTAGGTGTGAAATAGATCCAAGTTAGGTAAAAGGTTCAGGGAAATGAATGGAACAAACTTGTTTTTTCCAAACAGAGGGTACTGAAATCACCCATCCAACAGAGGGTAGTCACGAAGTTCTAGAGGCAGCTATGAAATGCTGGACAGGTGTGTATTACTGGGGACCCACAGAGTCTACTGATCATGGTGACAGGTTTCATTTTTGGGGGGGGTGTTCAAGACTGGGTTTCTCTGTGTGTGTCCTGGAACTCACTCTGTAGACCAGGCTGGCCTCAACTCACAGAGATCCGCCTGCCTCTGCCTCCAGAGTGCTGGGATTAAAGGTGTGCACCATCACCGGCCGGCTAAAAGTCTACATTTTTTTTTTTTTGAGACAGGGTTTCTCTGTATTGTTTTGGAGGCTGTCCTGGAACTCACTCTGTAGACCAGGGTGACCTCGAACTCACAGAGATCCGCCTGCCTCTGCCTCCCAAGTGCTGGGATTAAAGGCGTGCGCCACCAACGCTCCCTTTCCGTAGTTTCTCAAACTAAAAACATCACACAGGTTGGTCATGGTATAGGTACCCACCTCCTGCATCTATGACAATATCTACTCCTAGGCCACCTGTTTCCTCCAAACAGCTTTCAGCAACATGGACTTTCCCATTAGAGACATCAATCACGCGGGCTGTAAAGGATAGGAAATGGGGCAATTGTACAGTTCTATGTGTGATCAATACAAGCAAGTCAGGAGGGTAGGAAAAGAAAAGTCAGTGGGTGTCTGGTTTTGGAATAGCTCCAAAAATTATTACATTTAAAGGAAAATGTCAATTCTGTTTAGACTTTTTTTTCTCAAGGAATTCAATACTGATTGATAAGGATCAATCTAAAGAGAGGGTTGGCATATTAGTAAAACGAGTAAGTACATTTTGACCCAAGGCTGTCCTGTTGACAGAGGCCAGCTGTTTGAACCCAGGCTAGACCATCAGCTAGATGACCAGGCCCGGGAACCGAGACGGCACAGACACAGCAGAGAGAGCAGACAGCTTCTCAAGTCTCTTGCGGTGCCATGGTGCGCAGAGCTGCGTCCTGTATTTGCACACTGTGGTCCTCATCTGTCAGAGCCATTTCATCCTTAGCCCTGGAAACCCACCTCCCCACTCTCCTCTAGCTCCCCCAAACGCAGAACAGTCCCGAGAGTACGGAAAAAGGAAAAGGAATAGGACTGGTTTGGGCAGGGAAAAACAAGCTAATTTTAATTGGTTGTATTAATTAAATATCCAGACACATACATAAACATACTCTGTGTGTATGTGTTGCTAGGTCAGGGGTGTGGGCAAACCCTGGACCTTATGAATGACTACTGAGTGGTGTCCTTCACTCTTAAAACAGAAAATAGAGAATGAACTGTTAATAGTACAACAGAACTATACAGAGAACTGAAAAAAGTCTCTCAGGATCTGAACCAATGAGGATATAATACTATTTCATTTTGGTTTTTTAGTATCTTGTTGAGGAAAATGTCTTTTGGAGCTGTTCAGGTTAGAGGCTCAGTCTAACAGCAATCTGTGACTTCGGTGGTGAGATGGGGCAGTAATGGGGGCCGCGGCTAGGAGGGCGGTAGAGGGCAGGGGCAGGGGAGAGCGCAGAGGTTAAGAGCACTTGCTGCTTTCCCGGAGCACCTCAGATGTGTTCCAGGCTCCCAGCACCAAGTCAGCGACTCCCAGCTGCCTCCACGTCCAGCTCCAGGTGACCTGATACCCGACTTTGCACTCTGCCAGGACCAGCACACATGTGACACGTGCGTGTGCGCACACACACGTGCACACGCACATAGACACTCCCACATATACACATGTACCCACACTCACACACATACACACACACACTCTCACTCACACACATACACACACACTCACACACACACATCTTAAAACAGGAAGCTCTTTAAAGGGTGCTGAAGCAATCCAGGAAGGCAGAATTAGCCAACAGGAAACATTTCCAAGACTACAGTTTTAGCCCTCTTCCTCCCTTCTAGCTCCTCTCCCCGTCTTCCGGTGCTGGAGATTAGGCATACGCGATAGTTAGGATTCAGTAACATGGAGTGACTGAACTACAACCCAGACCTGCAATCTCTTTGGTCTTCGTGTGTGTATGAACACATGCAGATGCATGTAGGTGTTGGTCATGCACACATACGCACTTCACTGCGGGTGTCCAAAGTCCACACTGGGAATGTTCCACCTACTTTATTGTGTGCATGCATGTACCATAGCACGTGTGGCGCTCAGAGGACAACTTACGGGAATCATTTTTCTCTTTCCACCAAGTGGCGAGTGCCTCTGCCCCATGGGCCACCTCACTGGTCCATCCACATTTCTATGTGCTGACACAGGGTTTCCCACAGAATCTGCGGCACGTGACTTTAGCTAGCCAGCCTCCGCAGGGATCCCGTCCAGTCTCCACCTCCTGAGTGCTGCTTAGAGTCACCGGGTTCAGGGGAGCTGCAGTCTGCGCTTCCTGCGTGAGCGGTGCCATTTCCCTGCCCACGGCTCTCTCTGCAATCCGTCCCTAGCTCCTGCGCTCTTGAACACTGTTCGTCTATTTCTGCTCCTCTTGGTCAGATGCAAATGGCTTTAGTGTTACAAGGGGCGAGCCTACAACCCTGTCCCAGTCCCTCGTTCCGTTTGGTTCTCTCTTGGAGAGACCGGCTGAGCTCTTTGGAAGCTGTGCGGTGAGGGTCGAGGGGCCTGCAGAGGAGCACCCGAATTTACCGCGGCTTTTCCCGGACGCTCCCCTCACTGCTCACATCCGCTTCTCACCCGCTTCTCTCTCCACTCCAACCTCTCCCTGTTCTCGTTGCCCGCTTTCCTCCAGCCGCCATCTTGGTCTGAGGACAAGTTCAGTCTGTTGAGAGGCTGCCAGCCTCCACCATGGCCCGCACGTTTCACCTACTTCTCAGTGTTTTACAGAAGACAGACGGTGTTAGAGCACACACGGGGTAACGGCTGAGAAACACGCAACACGAGGTGAAACTGTATTGAGCAACTGGCTGAAATTGGAGAAGCAACTGGTATTTCTGAACTGATTTAAATCAAACTTGGTTAAGTTGGTAACAATAGGGCAGAGAAGAGAAAAACAGAAGATGTAAAAAGTTTTAGGTTCAGAGCCTTAAACAGGGGCTGAAGATGATGGCTCAGTGATGGTCCACTGCATGTTACATGCATGAGGCCTGGGGATGACCACCAGCACCATGTAAACCAAATGCACAAACTCCAGCAATAAGAAACTTCAGGAATGAACTGTTCGACTTAAGTAATCTGGGTTTAGCAAACACGCGCTAAGAACATTTTAAGACTCATTTTTATTTGGGATTTTGTACTTTGTTTTACCAGCATAAGGTTTCTTTTTCCCTTTTCTTTTCTTCTATTTTTTTTTTTTTTTGAGACAGGATCTCAATGGGTAGCTCAGGCTGGCTTTGAACTCATGATTCTCCTGCCTCACTCCACTGAGTGTTGGGATTACAGACAAGAGACACCAGGCCTGGCTACTAGTTTTACTTTCCCTGCAAGACTGAGTAATGTAACATGTAACGCACCTAGAGAAGGCCTAATCCTTTCAAGATGCTGCTTGTCTTCCAGGCTGCGTGCTGTTGAAATCACCTTGGCTCCTCTATGGTGTGCTAACTGAATGGCTATTGTGCCAAATGCCTGTGTGGAAATACGTATCAGTGGGTTCATACATACAGATGAAAGGACATACCTAGTTTACTTCACAGACCATTCAACACGTATAAGTCTTCAGTACTACTTTAATATAGCTCAAAATGTTACATGGTACAGCAAAGAAATAATATGCTCACGCTTAGCAGGGCAAGTATCTGACCGATTCCTCCAGAGCTGCGAGGTCAGACTCTACTGTAACCACACATGGGTCATCCGAGGATGGAGGGCCGCACTCTGACACATGGCGGTTGGAGGAGAACAGCCCATAAAGGCAAGGATGGAGGGCCACGCTATGACACATGATGGCTGGAGGACAACAGCCCATAAAGGCAAGGATGGAGGGCCGCGCTCTGACACATGGCGGTTTTTCTAAGCCCGGATGGGAATGTAACCACACTGCTGTAACGGCTGCAGTACCTGAGCAGCGCCATCTCTGCATCCGCAGGTGAGGGTGAAGACTAGTTGGATATCCGACTACAGTCAATGCTGAAGATATTTCTGTCCCCCACCCCAGAAATGGAGGTGTCAGCCTGCTAAAAATAAAACTATGGTTTTTAGCCTAAGTCTTGTAGCTTTTTTTTTCTTAGTGGATCATGTAGTGTCTTTTTCTTTATTTTCTTCTTCTTTTTTTTTTGGTGACACATACAACACACTCAACATGAGCACAGTTTAAGCGTGTGTGTGAGCCACCTGATAACGCCAACACCCTTACCAGCGTAAGCAAGCCCTGGGGTTACCATCTGAACCTGGCTGAGCCGTCTTGAGTGGCCCTGAAGACTCAGAGCTGTTTCAGACCCCATGTGACAGTCATGAATAAAAGGCGTGGCTGGCGCACAGTGACTGACAGAGCACTTGCCTAGCATGCCCCAAGCCTTGGGCTGGACACCACCACTGACAAGAAGAAGGGAGAAACAAAAGTCTAGCTTTGCTTTTAGCTCATGGGTGGATTCAGAGTAGTTAGAGGCTGGCTCACGAAGTCCCACCTCGACATGCTATAAGCTGCCTGTGAGGTGACGTCAGGAGTTTGGAAAAGAAATCCAGCGACTGAATGACACAGAAGGCTATCTGCAGACAGAACCCTCCCACGGTTCCTGTGTTTACATTGTGTTGGTATACGTTTTTTTTTAATAAAACAAAAAATAAAACCAAGGGACTCACGCTTGCTCCATCCATGATCAGCACGGACTTTCCGGGAGAGACGTGAGAAAGGTAATATAGAGCTGTGCAGGCTCGCACACCGTCCCGAACGGCTCCGGCGGCTGCCGTCCACGAAACCTTCTCTGGTTTATGAACTATGGGGAAGAACGACAGACAGTCATGAGTACCAACTCTTAGATCCAGTCAGGCACATCTCTCCCGCAGCGGACAGCTGCCCCTGCTCCAGCCCCTCCTTCAGCACTTACGTTAGAGTTCCCAGTTTCTATCGTCAGGCACGGAGAAGCCATTCTCAGGAGTGTTAGGAGATAAAATACATCCAGAAAGCACATAAGGTGCCGAGCAGGATCGACTAGAACACACAGACACTGCTTCCCGGTGGAGCCCGTGCCTTCCTGGCAGACCGTCCGTACCCGGTGTCTCAGGCCAAGCTCTGCGGCTCTGGCTCAGCTTCTAACCCTACCTCAGAGCTCGTCATGGATGCATTCCTCTGCAGTCACCAGCTCTGCCTGGCTCGGAGCCTCATCTGTGTAGAGCTATGCACTCTTTTCTACCTTGCCTTTTTATATTTCGTGTTGTTTTTAAATTAAAACCCTTCTTTCCCATTGTGTGTCCGTGTGTATGACAGCCCATGTGCAGGCAGCAGAGGACAGCTCCCTGGGCCCCGCGTTAGCTTTTCAGTAGCTATGTCCTTGTCCTCACTAGGAGGCCGTGGCTGCTGGAGCTTTCAGTTTTAGTATTCTGTGGCATGGGCCATGCTGATGAACGCGTGTCCCCAGTGTCTGGCGGCTGCAACAGCTTGGCTAAGAATGCCAGTGTATCGGGTTGGAGAGGCTCTGGCCATCACTGGTGCTCAGAGTCACACGTTGCCCACCATGTGGGTGTGCGATGGCCCTGACTGTGACGTCATTCATTCGCTTTCCCGATCACCTCTCTTCTCATGTGTGCTGGCCTTCCCAGTCCTTTCATGACGTGACTGTTGAGTCTCGGTCAAACTTTCCTGACTGTTGTTTTATGGGAATTTTTAACATGTTTCAGATGAGTCATCTCTTTATATGCTACGAATACTACAAGCTGCGCATCCTGCAAGATGCTTGAGACAAAAAGTGTGTTGGATTTCAGAACATTTGCATATGCATAGTGAGCTATCTTGCAGACAGGACCCAATTCCAAATATAAAATTTATTTGCGTCACATGTATTTTATGTATATAGCTTGAAACTACTTTTATTTACTTTATCCTTAAAGATTGACTTATTCCAATTTTATGTGTACAGCTGCTTCACACTCACACACGTCTGTGCGCCACTTGTGTGTAGTGCCCACAGAGGCCAGAAGAGGGCGGTGTAACATATGAAACTGGAATTACAAACATTTGTGATTCACCACATGGGTGCTAGGAACCAAACCCAGGTCCTCCAGAGGAGCAGCCAGTGCTCTTAACTTTGTGGCCACAACTTTGAAAGTAATTTTATATAGACTTTTAGCATGCCTTCTTGGCTGTAACCTGTCATATGAAGCTAGGTGTGGAATTTTTGACTCGTGGCATCATGCTGGTACTCCGAAACATTTAGAGTTTGGAGCATTTTTTAAAAAAATTTCAGACTATAGTTATTCACACATTTCAACTTGACAGCTCTCCTTTCCCATCACTCCAGTGACGTCCCTAAGCAGAGCACTGCTGGAGGACACCGAGTCAGTCAGTTGGACACGATGCTGCGTTAGTGGGAAAGGTCAGCGTGAGCTACACAGCAAGACTGACTAAAAACAAAACGCGCTGGCAAGACGGCTCAGCAGGTGACGGCGCCTGCTGCCACTCCTGATGACCCGAGTTCCATCCCCGAAACTACCCGGTGACAGCACAGCAGAGAACTGACCTGTGCAAGCTGTCCTCTGATGTCACGCATGGGCCACGGCGTGCACGCACATGCATGAGCACACCAACACACACACACACACACGTAAAAGCAAACCACACAACATGTAAATAATACCCTAGCACTTCTTTTCTTAAATGGAATCCATCAATGCCCTCCCACTGCACTTGGGAACTAATGTAAAGTCCTAATACAGCTTTAAAAGTTCCAAATATATGTGGGCATCATGACACACACATTTAATTCCTGAACCAGGGCACAAAGGTAGGCAGATCTCTGTGAGGTTCAGGCAATCCGAGGCTGCATAGTGAGACCCTGCCTCAAAACTAAACAAACAAGTAACAACCCCTAGACCACCTCAAAATGGGATCATAAACTAAAAAATAAATAATAGTTCTGTACAATCTCCCACCAGGCTGCTTCTTCACCTTTTGACTAATTCTTGCGTTCAAATGAAGTGTGGTGCTGTCACCCCTAAAAGAAGTCCTTCCTGATTTTATTTCAGATCGGTGAATCACACTTTTTATATGACCAGGTCACAGAGCCTGCAGCAGAGCATCAGCAGCAGACTGATGCCACCTAGTGGGCAGACGGAGCATCCACGCAATATGGTGAACATGCCCAAAAGAGTGGGCTGGAAAAGGACATGATTTATTTATTTATTTGGTTTTACGAGACAGGGTTTCTCTGTATTGTTTTGGAGGCTGTTGGTCCAGCCTGGCCTCAAACTCACAGAGATCCGCCTGCCTCTGCCTCCCGAGTGCTGGGATTAAAGGCGTGCGCCACCACCGCCCGGCTGACAACCATGATTTATACATACGCCTTCAGCCTTGGTTCCTGGTCATGACTCCCACTGCCCATTTTATTTTCTAAATGACTATAAGTGCATCTTTCATTAAAGTATTTGAATCTTTGTCCTTGGTTGCCTGATGAAGGCAAGAGATGTCTTTTGTTTTGTTCTGTTTTGTTTTTTGTTTTTCGAGACAGGGTTTCTCTGTATTGTTTTGGAGACTGTTCTGGAACTCGCTCTGTAGACCAGGCTGGCCTTGAACTGACAGAGATCCGCCTGCCTCTGCCTCCCGAGTGCTGGGATTAAAGGCGTGTGCCACCACCACTAGGCTCCAAAAGATGGTCTTTTATATTGCTGGGTATGTCAGCTCAGAAGCAAGCATCCCTCTAACTTTATACACTATCTATTGCTGTTTTGGTCTTGGAGTTGACCTGCCTATAAAACTCTGACACACCTTGCCTGGTAGTAGACATGAAGTCCTCCATTCTAGTGGGGTTCCTGTCCCACGTGCAAGAGAAAGGAATGAGAGAAGTTGAGACTGTCCTGTGCATGTCCTCACCTGTGTTGATTTATATCCTTTACAAGAAGCCATAAATGTGCTAGCTTCAGTTCTTCACAAGATTCACACCGGCATCTATTCATGGCATTCGACGTGCCAGTGCTTTGTCTGCATGTGTGCACATGCGTCACAGGCATGCCCAGTGCTCCTGGAGGCCAGAGGAGGCACCGGATCCCCTGGACCTGCAGTCACCGACGGCTGGGAGCCGCTATCTGGGTGCTGGCAGTCAGGGCAGCACATGCTCTTGACCACTGAGCCATCAATCACTGCAGCCTCCACCTCAGCTCAGTCAGTCTACAAGTCACCTAAAGTGCGGACCCTCCTCTCAGAAATGAGGCAGGCAGTCTTGTGGGACTGAGCCCTCAGCCTGCGGCATCTGTGCCATCTCCCAGAAGACGGCATCGGAACTGAAGAGAACGAAGAACAGAGGATGCCCAGTGGAGAACTGACCGTTGTGGGAAAATTCCCACACATTCCGAGGTCACTTAGGAATGTCCCATGTTGAGTATGTAGTAGAAGAAATAGACTGTGTTTGTTTTTACTTTCTTTCATTTTTTATCTACCCAATACTACTCTTCCAATTTTGCCGATTATGAAATTAGGTATAGAATAATAACTGGTTTGCCTAAGGTCTTATAGGCAATAAGGCTGAATATGTGACCTAAAGTGTATCTATCTCTTCTAAAGTTCATCTGTACACATTTTAGTTGTATGGAGGCAATATTCCCGGCCATAAGATGTCAGTTTATCATATTTCATCAAAACTTTATTCATAGGACATAATCCCAACACTTAGAAGGCTGAAGTAGTAAGAGAATTACAAATCTGACCAGCTTTGGATACACAGTGAGCATTGTCTCAGAAAGAAGAAAAGACAGTAAAGAAATTTTAAAAATGCACATATATAATTCTAATTCACACACATGCACATGTACATACCATTCATGCAGTCCTTCAAAAAACATTAAGGGCAATGAAACTACATTTAAGATTCTAAAAATTGTTTTTAAAAAAGATCTATTTATGTATGTGTGCACACATGTCATGTGCCACAGGACACCGGAAGAGGGCAAGACAGTCCTTGTTGCTGGAGTGACAGAAACCTGTGGGCTTCTGGGTGTGGGGCGCTGGGATCTGAACCCAGGCCTTGGGACAGAACGGCCAGCACTGCCAATTGCAGCAACGTCATCTTTGCAGCCCGAGACGCCACGGCTCTAACTGCCTGCTCGAGTCCTGCTTCTGCAGTAGATGCTCATTATGTTATAAAGACTAAACAAATAAATAAAATATGGATCAATGATAGATACATGAACAGTGAGAATGAACATTACATTTCTTTTTAGTTTTGGCCCAGAAAAAAGGGGGTGCAGTTGAAGATGTATGCCCAATTTTGAATGAGAAAATAAAATTATTTCTAAGTTTGTCAGAATGCCTTAAGTACTCAAAGCAGCCGGGGCTGGAGAGATGGCTCAGGGCCACCAAGTCAGATGACTGAGTTCCTTATCTGGAACCCTCCCGGTGGAAGGAGACAACTGACTCACTCTTACAGGCTGCCCTCGGACTGTCACACATGCACACAATAAATAACTACATGTCTAAAAGGAATCGGAAGCAGCATTCCTACACGGCTGGAAGGAGCACACAGCCTGAAGGGATCAGTGGGGCTGGGAAAATGCTCGCAGTTGGGAGGTGATCTATCTGGAGCCTCACTCTTGGGTTTGGTCAAAGAACAAAACTTACTAAAACTGAAAGTGACTGAATGCTGAGTTCTCATTAAACAGTCACCAGGCCAAACAAGAACAGAAACTCAACGCCAAGTTTCATGGAGTGCACTGAAATCATCTGCCCATAAAATGCTGCAGCTGCAAACTGAACACAGTGTGACCAGGATTCTCGCCTAAAGCTCCCACTCTTGGTGGCCATTTGTTAATATTCTAAAGAATTAGTTTTATTTATAAGCATGTGTCCATGAGTCTGTGTATGTGTGCCACAAGTGTGCATGTCCATGACGACCAGCAGAGGGCGTCAGATCTCCTGGAGCCAAAGTTACAGGCAGTTGTGAGTTGTCTGACTTGGGTGCTCTCAACACGGAGCCACCTCTTTAGCCCGAGAGTGGTCATTCTGACAGGACTTGGGCTGTTTCGAGACAGGCTCTCACTTGTAGCCCAGGCCTTGAGCTCTAGAGCCTCTTGTCTAGCCTAAGTGCTGGGATGACAGCCATGATCTACCGGGCCTGGATTCAAGGGCTCCCAAGGAAACATCGAATCGTGGTTTCTTCCTCAGAGCATACCTGCAATTGTTTACATACCTTGGTACACTTTTGGACTACAATCCATCTTCCCGGTTTATAAATAAAACCAGTAAGAGAAACATTTTGAACTTAAGCTTCAGAGCTAGGCTTCGGATATTTGGCCTCGCTCTTTACCTTCTCACCTGTGCTAATGATGTCACAGTGATGCCCAGCATACCTCAGGCCTCTGGGTCCCATCTCCAGCACCTTACAACAGGCAAACGGAACCTTTCAGTGATCACTGCTGCCCGGCGGGGCTTTGTCTTACTGTTTTTTAAAGTCATTTGGTTGTGTGCATGTGCTCATGTGTATTTGGGTGTACATACCCGTGGATGTGAACATGAAGAGGCCAGAGTTACATGTTGGTCAGATTCCTCATTCTCCTTCCTATTTTTTGAGATATGATCTCTCATTGAACTTGGGTGCCCTCTGATTGGTTGGCTAGGCTGGCTGGCCAGCAAGTAGGAGGGAGGGATCCTCTTGTCCTGGCCTCTCTTGGCACTGAGGCAACGGGTGGGCATGCACCACAGCCTGCAGCTCTGAACAAGGTCTGTAGGGTGTGCAGCAAGTCCTGAACCAGCGCCAGCCACTGCTGAACTCTACTTCTTCAGCTTCTACAGAGAGCTGTATCGCTTAGTAGTCCTCGCTCCTAAGTGCATTACAACTCCTACAACTGTTTAGGTGATGAAGTATCTTGTCATCATTTTCGGAACTTGTGTATTTATTTAGGAAACACTCAAAATGTGATTTCTCATGAAAAAATAAACACTGAATATTGGTCAAAACCTATTAGCAACAGAGACCAAATATAACCTTTCCTAATTCTGTCCTGCCTCAGCTTTGACAGCTACTGTCTGATTGTGTACATTCTTTTGTTTTAGTAAATAACAAAGAGTTCAATGATACAGCACTTGCTGAGCAGGCTGGAGGCCCTAACTTCCATCTCTAGCAATATACACACACAAATAAAAACAGACACGAGAGACAGACAGACAGACAGACAGACAGACAGACAGACACACACACACACTCAGATAAGCCAAGGGCAAGTCATATTCAAATTCTGATTATGAATATAATTTCAGAGACATGAGCAATGTTAGTAAACTTCGCAGGTCTACACAATGCTTACTCTACACATTGATTTTACAAATAATGTAAGCTGAAGTACTCACATGGCCAGCCAACAGTCACACTACAAACAGTGAAATAAGACTGACTAGGTTCCAGATGACTGGACTGCCACATACATACCCAGGTAATGCTCATGTACTCGAATAATTTCACAGAGCCCAGGGTCTTCTGAATCCAACGGCAAAATTCCTGAAAATTACAGTGAGAAGTTTAAGGGGGAAAACACCCGGGATGAATTTATTCCTGATGAGCTATGTTCCTGTAAATTCTGTCCAGTGATGTCACAGGGAAGGCTCCCGAAGTTACCAGAAAGGGGGAGAAGCAGCTGAGCCTCTCCTGGCATGAGCACTGGGACACTAATGACACCTCCTCTTTTTCCCCTCTGTCACTCCTGAGTGACAGTAAAGATGACGGCCTCTGCCATGCTGCCAACCCGCAGTGTTGGGGCCCCGGATGTCCCTTTGCATAGCTTTGTTTCACAGGGTGCTCTGGCATGACATCAACAGAACCCCACTTTCCTGGAGTCTAGCCAACTTCACTCTGCTCCCTTACAAAAGGAAACTTGAGCAACGAGAGGGTCACTCATTTCTTGGGTAAAAAAAATAAAAGAATAAAATCAGTAGTTCCTGAAAATGCAAGTCAGAGCCCATGAAAGCTGAAGACACCTTCCCACACAACTGATCTCCAACGGCATTTCCCAAGGCTCGGAAGGCGCTTTCTCTGAAGACGATGAACGTTTCTGAGAGCTACAAAAGTGATGCCCCACACGTTCCATGACTGTCTGGGATGCAAGCATGAGCAGATGTTTATGACATTCTTTCAGTAACAATGGACTTAAGAATAACAAATTGCTTCAAGCTAATTTTTAGTTTTCAAGAGTAGCAGAGAGCTCTCTAGAGTTCAAACTGGGGTGGAGAACAGAGATTCTACGAGGCCCACTCCATCAGTGATCTTCAAGCCCAGGCCTCTGGCTCTACAGTTTTCTGTGTGGTCAGACAGTGGAGACAGAACAGGAAAGCCGGGCATTAAGGTGAATGTGAGGTCTTGCTGTTTTCTATCTGTGTAACTCCTTGACAGTCAGACACATGCAGGCCTGAGGTGTTCTCCTAACTGAGGTCAAACTCTCAGTTTTCTTCAGCAATGAATATTTGGGAGCAAATTTCAAAAGCCAGGGAAACAGTTTTATTTCTGGAATGTTAGTTTTGAACTTTAGGCCTTGCACGTGCTATGCCCCCAGCCAAAGAAAAGCATTTTTTTGGTAAGAAGTAAGGTGATAATGAACATTAATAATTACACAGAGGCACAGATGAGATGATAATGAGATACAGGACTTGAAACAGGACTTGAGAGCTGCAACTTACCGACTACTTCATCATCTGGTTGAAAGAATGATACCTTACTGCCAACTAAAGAGCAGAAAAAGGTAAGTGTTAACATCACACAATTACAAAACTTAATCCCTTTACTTCAACCTCCTTATTTTACTGTGTGTGTGGGTGTTTTAACCTGTGTATTTCTGTGTACTTGTGCATGCCTGTTGCCTATGAAAGCCAGAGAGGGCATTAGATTTCCTGGGATGGAGTTATGGTTGTGAGCCACCATGTGGGTGCTGGGAATCAAACCTGGGTCCTCCGGAAGAGCAGCCCATGTACTCAACCACAGAGCTGCCTCTCCAGCCCCCCTAAATTTAATTTTTATTAATTACTAAACCAAATGAAAAAGCCAGAGTGAGTAACACCTGTAACCCCAGCACTTAGGAAATGGAGTCAGGAGTCTTAAGAGTTGAGGGTCATCCTTGGCTACATATCAAACTAAAGGCCAGCCTAGGCTACATGAGACCCTGCCCCCAAACAAACAAAAAGCCAAATAAAAAATGAACGACATGAAATCATTGACTGGATTGTAAAAATCCACTCCATCAAAGAGCCAAGAACGTGTGTAAAATGGAAACATCAGGTCTTGTTTCTCTAGAAAACGTGAGGACATGGGTGTGGACACTCAAAGGAAATGCCCTGTCTAGTGTCACTGTCACCGTGGCTCACTTGGAGGCCGTGCAAAGAAAAGCAACACCCTGTGACTTCTGACATCTGTCCTCTACCACCCCGCCCCCACGCCTGTGCCAGGCACGCCTGTCATCATCTATGTGGGCGGGTCCCAGACACACAGTAGGGAATGGCGAGTCACGGGTTACGCTGATGGCCGGAGAGATGGCTCAGCAGTTGGATCTCTTGCTGCTCTTGCAGAGGACCCGGATTTGGTTCTCAGCACCCACAAGAAGGCTCACACTGTCTGCAGCTTCAGTTTCAGGGGATCTCACGCCCTCTCTGTCCTCCACAGGTGTACACACATCCATGCGGACACACGCCCATTACAAAACAACAAAAATGATATTTAGTACATGAATTCTGATTGACATCCACAGAGTGCTTGAAACTTTATTTTATTATTATTATTATCATTATTGTGTGTGTACCCGAGTCCATGCCATGGCAAACAAGTGGGAGTTAGTTGCTTTGCAAGCAAGGAATGGGCTTGGGTCATCAGGTTTGTGTAGTAAAGTGCTCTTACTGGCTGAACCATCTCTTTGGCCCAGTTCTGGGAACTTGGAACTTTGGTGTTATGATACTGTTTCTATTTTCTACCACAAATGTGTGTGCATGTGTGTGTGTGCACACACACCCCTGCCAAAAGTCAATTCATTTGCTGTATTTTTGTTCTAAGAGTTATAAGATGAAATGGCAAGAAAACAGTCCAATGCTGTTGACTGACTTGTGCTCAGAAACTTTCCATAAGCTTTACAGTACACCTTAGAGTACATTTATAGGATGCTTTATAGTACACCTTATAGTATATTTATGTATCCCTTATGGAATACCTTATAGTATGTTTATAGCATACCTTATGGTATAACCTTATAGTATATTTATAGTATCCTTTATGGTATCCCTTATAGTATATTTAGAGTGTATCTTATAGTATATTTATAGTATACCTTAAGGTATATCTTATAGTACACCTTGAAATATACATTATGGTACACCTTGTAGTAAACCTTATAGTATGTTTATAGTATATCTTCTAGTATCCTTTGCAATATGCCTTATAGTATATTTATAGTATCCTTTATGGTATATTTATAGTATACCTTACAGTATTTTTATAGTATGCCTCATAGTGTATGGCATTATTCCCCTAACCTACAGACAAGAAAACTACAGAACCCATCTATGGGTGCTGAGCAAGTCACTCTAAGTCAGTAAATCTGTTCTCCTTCTTGCTTGCTCTCTCTGCCCCCCCCCCCCCCCGTGCCGTTACCCCGTCTCCCGGCTCCTGACTCACTGAGTGAGTTCTCCTCTGGTCCCGTGGTCTCATTCTCCTGGGATCACCTGTTCTGTTCTTTCCCGGGTTTTTCACAACTCTTCCCCCCACTGTCCCTCAAACACGGGTATTCCAAAGGTTCCTCTTGATGTCTACCGGATCCCTGGCTCAGCAACTCTGTTCTTTGTTTTTTATCTATACACTGACAATTCTCAAATGGAATTATTTCCTGCATAGGACTTTCACCCTCCAGAATCAACTCAAGCAAATGTTCACTAGATATTACAAGTGAGACATCATTTACCTTCTTGACCTCAACTAGAGTAAGTCTGAACTCATAATGATTATGTCATTTACAACTCTGGCCTCTTCTGATTCCCCTGAGGTCAATCAATCATTAGCTGCCGCTGACTTCATTTCCTCAATGTTTCTCCAGTCAGTCCCTCTTCTCTGTCATCGCTGTCCAGCCTATGGACATTGCTATCTCTCATGCTGCTCATGACCCACGCTACCAGTCCTGGTGCCTAGAAACTGGTGTGCCTTGAACCTTCCCTTTAGCAGCTAACCTAATAAGCTCATTTGTAATGCTCACCACGTGTCTGACTGGCTCTGGCCAACCCTCCTGGTTGTTTCTTTCTGAGAGCAGCTTGTGTTCAACATTCTTTTGTTCACTATCTTTATTCTCTCATATTTGCAGAATAATTTTCCTTTTTTCTGCCAGCAGTAAGGACAGAACCCATGGCCTCGAGTCGCCAGGCAAGCACATTCCCATTGAGCTACATACTAAGTCTGACATTATCCCATTTGTGTAATGTTGGTAAACAAGTCCAAGTTACTCGTGTGAGTCAGCTGTGGAGCAGCATTATATAACCGTCAGCAACTACATTAGATGAAGTTTCCAAGGCTTGCTTTACGTCAAGCATTTAAGAGTAAAGAGTTTATCTAAAAATCTGAATTGCCATTTCCAAGGAGAAACAACCAGTGAGGTTTTATTTTTTTGATCACCCTAAAGTATTTTTTAGTAAATAATGATTTTAGCATATAGAACGGGAACCCTAAGTATCTGAAGAAAGTTGTTTATAGAGCTAGCCAATATTTACTAACAGGTGGTCATGATCAGAGCAGGTCTAGAGCACATACGATGACAACCAATTCGGGGAGACTGTTTGAATTTTACTTGTGATTTTAATTATAAACAAATGATACTCTTTCGCTTATCTGAGTGATCATTTCATCCTTCTTTAATCTACCCTGACTGTAGGAAAAAATTTAATTAGATAAGCATTAAATTCACTAGCTGCTTAGTAAGCACTTGCATTTAAAAGACAATGCCTGTCCTCAAGCGTTACCAATAAGAAACACACACACACAAATAAGCAGATCATTATAAAAGCTCCATGGAAACCTGGGCTCTGGGATTCAGCTGCTGCATACAAAAAAAGGACAAAATTCAATATGATTACATATGAGTTAGTGCCTAAATATTTACTCAAATTAAGCTCTTTAATTATAAACTCAATCATAGTTTAGATTTTTTGTTGTTGTTGTTTTTTTGAGACAGGGTTTCTCTGTATTATTTTGGAGGCTGTCCTGGAACTCACTTTGTAGACCAAGCTGGCCTTGAACTCACAGAGATCCACCTGCCTCTGCCTCCCGAGTGCTGGGATTAAAGGCGTGCGCCACCACCGCCCGGCTCCTAGTTTAGATTTTTAAAAATGAATTTGTAATAAATTTATAGCCAGGGGTGGTGGAGCACGCCTTTAATCCCAGCACTCGGGAGGTAGAGGCAGTTGGATCTCTCTGAGTTTGAGGTCAGCCTGGCCTACAGAGTGAGTTCTAGGACAGCCACGGTTATACAGAAAAACCCTCTCTGGAAAACAAAACAAAACAAAGTATAAGACATTATTTTGGTAACTTTATTAGCTATTACAAATTTCGTTTACTGTAGAAAATATAGATGATACTTACCATCTAATACAATTCCAGCAACTTCTCTTCCAACAGGGAAGAAATCTTTTTCCATCTTCATTTCTGCCAGAAGCTAAACCATAATGGAAGCTGTCAGCACACTAGTCAAGAGTAAATTCTGGAATTACATGGCAATGCAGTACTGTAATCCCAACACTTGCCTCAACCCCAGCATGCAGGAGGCAGAGGCTGGTCTGAGCAACAAACAAACAACAACCCATCTCTCACTTCTGAGAAAGCGGAGTAACGACAACGACAAAACTCATGCACAGAGACAGCAAATACGATTCGCTTTTGGAATTACAATAAAGCAAACAACTTCACAAAACCCCTTCGGAGGCATTTGACACAGGGCTGAGGCATGGGTGTTATCGCTCAAGCCAGCAGGACACGCTTAGCTTAGCATTTTTCTCTGACAAGAGGAAGGGAAGTTACCACCCCAGACAATTCTCAGCTGGCTAAATACGGCTTAACCAGCTGAACAAGGAGGTGTGGCCAAGCCTCACCTCACACCCTCTAAGGATCACCTGGGCTGGGCTGGCATGTACCCAGTGGGTAGGGCTTGGCTACCATGCAGAAAGCCCTGAGTTCCACCCCAGCCTCCCCCCAAAAACCAAGCATGGTGGCACAAGCGGCGATCTTGAGGGTCAGAATCTATGTTAAGGCCAGTATGGGTACGGAAGAGTGTCGTCTTTAAAAAAAGGGGGGGCATCTGGATTTTCCCCCAGTCTTGGGTCAGGGCTCAGTGGGAAGGAATGGCAGGTGTTTGTTGGGAAGCTGTCAGAAGATTCCAGACTTACTTGGTAAGTGCAGGGCTTCTTGGGTTGGGCTACTTCCTTGTTTTAAAGTTCTTTATTTCTTCTTATTTTATGTGTGTGAGTATCTGCCTGCATGTATGTGAAGGCGTGTTTTAAAGTATTTATTTCTTCTTATTTTACGTGTGTGAGTATCGGCCTGCAAGTATGTGAAGGTGCCACATGAGTTCCTGGTGGCTACAGAGGTCAGGGTCAGGGTTGGAAGCCCTGGAACTGGAGTTACAGATGGTTGTGAGCTGCCATGTGGGTGCTGGGAACTGAACCCCAGTGCTCTGCATGGGCAACAGATACTCTTGACTGCCGAGTCAACTCTCCAGCCTGCCACTGCTTTTCAGTTAAAAATGGAACAAAAAAAGAAGCCCTCTAGATGTGTATTGACTTTGCAGAATTTCCTGGTGTGGAACTTCACACTCTTCCCAGGATGTCCATATATGACGTCTTAGGGAAACACTGGGGATTTTACTCTCCCTCCGTCTCACGTGGGTAGTGGCACTGGGGACAGGCCAGGGTCTGTGCGTGCTCAAGTGGCACTGTCACTGAGCCTTTCTTTCCGATTGTGCCCATTTGTAGTTATAACCATGCCCTTAGCAACTGCATTCCGCACCTCCATTTACCAGACTCATTTTCTTACACTGATGTGTCTTCATAACCATCATGCTTGACAGCAGCTAAGATTTCCTTTTTGGTTTTGTTTGTTTTGGGTTGGTTTTTCGACACAAGGCTTCTCTGGTAGCTTTGGCTGTTCTGGAACTTGCTCTGTAGACCAGGCTGGCCTTGAACTCACAGAGATCTACCTTCTCATGCTGGGATTAAAAGCATGCACCACTACTGCCTGGCTGTAATAGTTTATTCCACTGCTGTTTGCCATTTCTTCCTGCTAGGGGTAGAGTGCTCCCTAGCATTCCCAAGGTCCTGGGTTCAGTCCTTAACACCACCCCGGCCAGAATCTGTGCAAACCTCATAAAGTTGAACAGTGACTGACTGGACGGCATCTCCACCGAGCAGGCACACATTAGGTACCACCCGACTTTTGTCACGGACATCTAAAACGTGCACCAAAATCAATCTTCTTGTCTGTATTCCTTCTGCTGCAGACTGGGGCTCCTCCCACACCACCTGACATGCTTCTAGCCCTGACCCCTAATGTGACTGCGTCTGAAGACAGACACTTTAAGAGAGGAATTAACGTTAAATGAAGTTGTCCCAAACGAGGACTGGGGACTTAGGATGACAATGACACCAGGAGCGGGCACACACGCATGAAATGCCACGTGAGCAAGGAGGTCACTTGCACCATCAAGAACAGCCCTGAGACCAGCCTGCTTGCCGCATACTAACTTTTCTTGGACTCTCCCCCTTCAGATCTGGGATAAAGTATCAGCTGTTCAAGTCAAAAGGCCAAAGGAAAACCACAATCAAACAAACAGGAACAAAACCCCCAAAACAAAAACAGGAGAGCACTCTGGACGTGGAGGAGCACACCTATAATCTGGTACCCCGGAGACCCAGGCGGAAAGACCACGAGTCTAAGGCCAGCCTGGGCTACACAGTGAGAATCTGTCTCACTCCAAGACTGAAAACACTCAGCATGGCACGTTTAACCACTTATTACCAGTATTAACTATTTATTTACCATTTAAAGCCTTTTTTTCTTTTAAGACAAGGTTTCTCCGTGTGGCCCTGGCTGACGTGGAACCAGCTATGAAGAGCAGACCTGCCCCCAACTCTCAAAGCCCCGCCTCCCAGGCGCTGGGCTTATGTGCCACCATGCTGGGCTAAAGACACTTGCTTTGTTTTTGGTTTTCGAGATAGGGTTTCTCTGTGTAGTCCTGTCTGTTCGAGACCAGCCTGGTCTACAAAGAGAGTCCAGGACAGTTAGGATTATTATACAGAGAAACCTGCCTTGAAAAAAAATTATACATATTATATATATATGAATATATGAAATAGTTTTTCTAGTTCAGTTTTTTCTTTTTTTAATAATTTATTTATTCTTTTAAATTTCATTCCAACCACAGTTCTCCCTCCTACCCCTCCTTCCGTCCCCCCTCACTTCCCCCTCAGCCCCCCCCAGTCCACTCCTCCTCAGGGTAAGGGCTCCCATGAGGAGTCAGCATAGTCTGGCTCATTAGGTTGGGGCAGGGCCTGGTCCCTCTCCCATGCACTAAGGCAGAGCATGGCATCCCACCACAGGGAATGGGTCCCGGGTTTGTATCGTGGGCCCACTGCCAGGGACCCTCTGATAGTCCAAGCTTCACAACTGTCTCCCACACATGGAGGGTCTAATTTGGTTCCCTGAGTTCAGTTTTTCTCAGGAAAAAAATTTCTTGGCGCTCAGAAATCAATACCACTGTACACCATGTATCCTCTGAAGTCACCCACAGCCAAAGCACCAGTACCTTTGTGTTTATCTGGCTCAGAGCGCAAGCTTTAACTTGAAGTTTCACAAAGTTATCCTCTGTAACAGGGAGATTCTCCTAGAACCAAATAACAGAACCGCGTGTTACACACCCCTCTGAGGACATTCACTCATTGCATGAAATGTCTATATATAACTGAAAAAATAAACTGAGGCCAAATCTTATGACTAGTAATTATCTAATAGTATATGATAATAAAGAAGAAAAATTAGGAGTGTAATTTAAGAAGTTTTAGTGCCTTTTCTTTAAAAGCACTCAAAGACCGACATGGGTGACTATAGGAGCAAACTCGGCTTCATAGAGCACAATGGCAAATACTGTATTTTAACTTAAGTAATTCAAAGTGTCAGATCTTTACAGTATGCATACATCAGACAGCCTCTGATAAAGCCTGGGATATCCCTCGTGCTATGAATGGAATTATTCAATGTTACTTGTCTATCTGTTTGTGAACATCTACTCCAGAAGCCTCGGCACATCCCACAGTATTTTGCTATCAAAACATTAACATAATGGAATCTAACGACCTCTTACCCTCTAGCGATATAAAGTAACAAAAGCAAAAAAATACTCCAAATTGAGGCACTAGGAGTCGTCCAACTAACTGCAATATGTCCTCAGTGACACGCGGTCAGGTCTTGCACACATGACCCATCACAGGCAGGGATCACTGTGCTTCCAGTGGCCACAAACGACATCAGCCTCTTTACAAGATCTCAGATCTGCTGTTCAGTGATACGGATGACGACAGTGATAGTTGATGAGTGTGTTAATTTTACCCAGAGAAAAGTTTTACTGAGATTCAATCAATCCTTTTCCTGACTCAGTGGTAGGAGTGAGCTGTCTGAGGCATAGTCTTAGACTGCTCTAAATCACTCTGGAGTTAAGGGAAGGCAAGAGAGGAAAAACACATCCTGTTCTCACTTGCCCCTGGGAAAAGCCAACAGAGCGCAGCATGGCTTCCATCCTGAAACCCACAGCGAGATGATTCTGGCTTGATGCAAAGCTTTTAAATAGTCACCACCAAGTCTTAAAAGCTTAATGGATGAGGTGAGTTTAGGAAGTGCCTAAACTTGTACAGAAAATAAGGTTTTTCTGTCTCTTCCACTTAACAATACAGATACTTTCTATCAAGTGGCAACAATTGGAAAACTTGCTGTCTTACAGTATTGGCAGTGCTGGGGACAAACTTATGAGCTCTGTGGATACTAGGCTAGAGTGTGCCACTGAGCCCCACCCTGACTCACCTGGGTCCACTCTGTGTGTAACATGTAGGCTTGTTCTGCCCTCCCAGTGCTTTTCACGGTACAGCCAACATAGCAGCTCCCTTTAAATTATGTGTGTATGTAAATGTGGGCTTGCGCACACCAGTGCAGTGCCGTGGAGGCCAGAGGGGGCACCGGATCTCTGTAGCTGGACTTCCAAATGGTTGAGAGCTGCCTGACACGGGCGCTGGGAACCAAATCTGGATCCTCGGCAAGAACAGCCTATGCTTGTAACCACGGAGCCAAGTCTCAGCCCCGGTGGCAGCTCTTTTAAAATTACAGTTACACTGCAACATGGGCCTCCATTCTCACATAAAGTCAAGGGAAAGGAAGATGGGGGAGGTGGCTTAAGCTTTCGCTCACTTAGTTTCACTTAAAATAACTAATAACTCATTTAAAAGTGAGTCTCGGGTCCATGGACGGCTCTAGCTGGTAGGCACTTGGCCCAAAAGCCTGGCAACCTGAGTTTGGCTCCCAGAAATCATGTAAACGAAAGACAGTTGTCCTCCGGCCTTCACGTGTGTGTAGTGGTATGTGCCCACCCCCACCCCTGTTAAAGTGCACTCTGACTGTAAAGGTTAGTGCTGACAGAGTCAACTAGACACAATGTAGACTCACTTGGCAGACAGTCTCGGGGTGTGCCTGCGGGGAATTAATTACCTTGATTGCGTTTAAAGAGATGAGAAGACTAACCCAGGGTCCTGGACAGGGTGAGGAAGGGAGCTGGACTGCAGCGTGCAGTCACCCCTTGTCCTCTGGACGGAGGATGTGACAAGTCTCCTCCCCACCGCTGAGATCAGTTACGGAGGACTCTGACCTGGACCTGGGTGTTAAGTAAGTCCTTTCTCCCATAAGTTGCTTTTGTTTGAGCATTTCATCATAGCAGCCAAAAGCAAACAAAGGCAGTTACACACGGAAAGACATTATCTTATCTCATCTAACGAGTAAATAATTTATCCTTACCCTTTCTTGAAATAGAAATGTTATTCCTTCATTTGCGGAACTCTGTTGAAAATACAAGCCCTTCATAGTTACCTAGAACAAACAAACAAATACAAGTTAAAAAAACAAACAACAAAAGACAGTCTTCCTGAGGGCTGGAGACAGCTCAGTAGGAGGACTTACTGCTCTTCCAGGGGACCCAGGTTCCAGTTCCTACGACCATCCTTAACTCCAGATCCAGGAGACCCGAGGCCCTCTCCTGGCCTCCTTGGGCACTAGGCATGCACATGGTACACAAATATGCAGGCAAAACGCCATACACATAAAGCAAAAAATTTAACCGAGTTTTAAAAATGAAAATAAGTAAATAAGGTCTACTTATCAGATGGGAATACATGGGGAAAAACTGTCCAGACAAGGAGAGAAAAGCACCTGTAAATGTAATCGGCAGATGATTCTTCCAGAAAACGAACAGGAGGCCTTGTCAGGCTCTGGCCCATCTGACAAGCAGAGGGACAGAAATGGACTAGGGTCAGTGCTACCACAGGTGCTTGCCGAAGGTCGCGTTTCAGGCTCTGTGGCACAGGCTGGACCCTGCATTCAGTCGGCTGAGGTAGCATTGAAAGCTAAAAGCTAGCCTGGGTTACATAGTCAGACACTGTCTTAAAAGGAAAGGGGAGGCACTTTCCTATTCAATAACAAATATTATACTTATTTAAAAGAGACAAAAAAAAAAAAAGCCTTACAAGGGCCAGATAGGCAGGCCAAAAATGTTCAAAGGTAGCTTTAAAATGCTTTCAAACATTTAACAAGGCAGGACTCTGACTGAGATTATCATCTCCATTCTTCTACGGCAGCCTTGTTTTCTTAAGTCTCACCGTATAGTTTACACTGACCCCAAACTCAGGCTCCGTCTGCCTCAGCCTGTTAAAGGTTTGGATTACAGGGGTATGCCACCAGGTCCAAATCCTATAAGCCCTTTTAGTTTTGATATTTTAAATGGATTTTTGGGGGGGTGGTTTCGAAACAGGGTTTCTCTGTGTAGCTTTGGAGGCTGTCCTGGAACTCTCTCTGTAGACCAGGCTAATCTGGAACTCACAAACATCCGCCTGCCTCTGCCTCCCGAGTGCTGGGATTAAAGGCATGCGCCACCAACACCCGGCTTTAAATAGGTTCTTAAAGATTTATTTATTTATGTGTTTGAGTGTTTTGTTGCATATATGTATGTGTACTGCATGTACCTTGTGCCTGAAGAGGCTAGAGAAGAATCCCCTGAAACTGGAGGGTTGGGAGCCATCACATGGGCGCTGGGAACCAAACAGGGTCCTCTGGAAGAGCAGCCAGTGCTCTTAACTGCTGAGCCATCTCTCCAGCCCACCCCACCCCCCTTTACTTTTTAACGAAAAGAATATTTTTGGTTTCAATATACATTTGTGGTATATATGTCTAAGGATGGACATGCATATGTGCGCACGCATTTGGAGGCCGGAGGCTGACACTGGGTGTTCTCATCTTTCCATCTTATTTATATTTTTGGAGACAGGGACTCGCCATAAAAGCTTTGGCTGGCTTCGAACTCACTGTGTAGGCCTGGTTGACTTTGAATCAGAGATCCACTTGCTTCTGCTCCTTGAGCATTGGGATTAAAGTTTTGAGCTATCATGTCCAGCCATCTTATTTTTTGAGACAGGGCCTCTTATCAAACCCGGAGCTCACCGATTCATCTAGACTGGATGGTCAATGAGCACCCCTATGCATGTTAACTTGACACAAGCTAATGTCACCGGAGAGGAGGGGACCTCAAATAAGAAATTGCTTCTGGTCTACAAGGTATAGCAAAGTATCATTAGGACTAGATACGCCGTGCATGGCTGATACCCCTGGGAGCCTAACCTTTTTCTAAAGGAAAATGGAGGAGGAGGAGTGCATCTGTGGGAAGAGCAGAGGCGGGGAGGGAGGAGGGAAGAGGGAGGGGAAGCTGCAATTGGGATGTGATATGCGAGAGAATTAAAAACAAAGAGGAATTGCTTCCACAACATGAGGCTGTAGGCAAGACCATAGAGCATTTTCTTTACTCTTTTTTTTTGTTTGTTTGTTTTTTCGAGACAGGGTTTCTCTGTGGCTTTGGAGGCTGTCCTGGAACTAGCTTGGTAGTCCAGGCTGGTCTCCAACTTACAGAGATCCGCCTGCCTCTGCCTCTGCCTCCCGAGTGCTGGGATTAAAGGCGTGCGCCACCAACGCCCGGCTTATAGGGCATTTTCTTAATCAGCAATTGATGGGGGAGGGCCTAGTCCATGGTGGGTGGGGCCATCCTAGGCTGGTGGTCCTGGGTTCTATAAGACAGCAAGCCGACCACCTTCCATGGCCTCTGCATCAGCTCCTGCCTCCAGGCTGCTGTTCTGCTTGAGCTCCTGCCCTCATCGTTTTTGATGATGAACTTTATATGAAGTGCGAGTGAGACAAGCACTTTCCTCCCCAAGTCGCTTTTGGTCATGGTGCTTCCTCAGCAAGACTAACCATGACAGAAACACCCCCTTAGATCTCCTGTCTCCATCTCCCTGGTGCTGGAGCTATAGGTCTGGTGGCCATGTCTAGCTTGTTTACGTGGGTGCTGTGGACCCAAACTCAGGTCTTGATACTTGTGAAGGAAGCACTTCATCACTGACTGACCCCCCAGGTCCTCTATAACATCCCCCGCGTGTGATGTGGTTTGTGTACACGTATGCATGTTTGCATGTGTGTGTATGTGTGAGGCCAGAGATGACACTGGGTATCTTCCTCAATGGCTCTAATCTTACAAGCTGAGACCAGGTCTCTTACTTGAACTCAGGTCTCACCCATTGGCTTGGCCTAGGTAGTTGGCTTGTTCTGAGATTCAGGTTAGCTGCTGTACCCATCTGACATTCTGTGAGTGCTAGGGACACACACTGTAGTCCTCATCCTTGGACGGCAAGGTCTTTGCTCACTGAGCAGTCTCCTAGTTTGTTTATTTATTTGATTTTTCAAGACAGGGCTTCTCTGTATAACAACCTTGACTGTCCTGGAACTTGCTCTGTAGACCAGGCTGGCCTCAAACTCACAGAGATCCCAGTCTTTTTAACAGAACTATATCAGTGGTTTATATCCTGGGAAAAGTGTCTCTAGGATTTCCCTCCCTTCCTCCCTCCCTCCCTGTTTCTCTAACTCTGCATCCCAAGTGGGCCCAGAGCTCACTAGGCAGCCCAGGCTGTCCTTGAATTTCTAGTTAATTCTATTGCCTTGGCTCCTGGAGTAGCAAAGTTACAGGTGTGAGCCACTATGTCCGGATTGTTTACTCTTCCAAACGTAAACTTTACAGAATCATACACTACACAGAGAAGTGCACGTGGACCGCTAGAGTAGAGTCTGTCCAATCGGAAGCGAATATGCCCACGGCCCAGCCACATGTAGAACATCTGGAGCTTACATGCCTGTCAGGTTACGGCCTTCCTTCCCTTCCCAAGGATCTGAACCACCTGGATTGTGACAGATGGACCACCTCCTCATGAAGGACGCGGAGGTGAGACCCCAAGGATCTGAACCGCCTGGATTGTGACAGACGGACCGCCTCCTCATGAAGGACGCGGAGATGAGCCCCCTTCTTCAGCTTCTGTAGGCACTCTCTCCCGCTGTGACTGTGGCCCCACTGTCACTGTCACTGTCGCTGCGGCTGCTTAGCTGTGCTCCACCCATGCTTCCTCACTGTGTGTCACCCCACTGTAGGGACGCTTCCAGTTCCCGGATGGAAACGTTTCCAGCCTGGGGCTGTTACAAACGGCCATGCTCACAATATTTCGGTATATGCTTTTTGCGTTTATTACATGGATGAGGAAACTGCGCTTGCCCCATCCACTCAGGGATTAAGATTCTCCCAAGAGCTCACAGTACCAGCTGGGCTGGCGCCTTGAAGTTACTGCTCTGAACCGTCCCAGTCTTTGGTGGTGTCTACTGAGCTGCTGACACGATTCACTCACCCAGAACCACCACACTTTATCCTGTGGGACAGACTACTCAGCACTTGCTGATACATCTGCTGTTTTAATCTGCAGGTCCCAAAGCGAAGCAAAACAAAACAACAGTAACAAAAAAAGTGGGAACCTCATCTAGAAAATAATTAGAATTTCCAAGTTGGCAGTAGCAGACTATTAAGCCAAGCATATGTCCTTACAAGAAGAGGCCCAGGGACCTGCATAGACCTCATGCCCATGAAACCAGTTCTCTGTGTTAGGACCGCGGTGGACCTAAGTCGATCCCTATAAAAAGAGTTGCATCGAGTAGCTGAGTAATGGTTGCTGTTCTCTAGGATAGGATAATCAAATGCAGAAACTACCTGCAAACACACATGTAAGACACGAAGCCATGTGTCAGGTAGCAAGCGTGCACAGAACGGTGAAGGCACGGCTCAGCGTCAGTGTGCGCTGGACTGTGTCGGGAGGGAGCACCTACAGGCAGACGCAGCACGCACGCACGCACGCCCCACGTTACGCATCTCGGTTCCTGCTCGGCTTTCTAGGCTCTCTCAAGGCATATGCTCTCCCTAGTCTACCTTATTCCACCCACAACGTTTCCGCACAAACTTGTTTGACCAAATCAGTGAGACTTAACACATACATCTGTCCTATCCCGGGCTTTCTAGGCACAGCCTATTCCTTGAGAGTATGCTGCACTAGGCCACTATGCTGCTGAGTAATAAAGTCCAAATCCAACTCCCTCCTCTGGAATGGCTAATGCATGATGGGTAGTAACACATCCCGTCTGCTCCGCACTGTAGATTACTGTTATTTTATTTACTTACTAGTGAGTGAGCTTTCCCAGCTATTGCTTGCACGCACCAATTCCTTTGGCTTATCTGTTTTCAGACAGGGTCTTGATTTGTAGTCTAGCCTGGCCTGGAACTCTGGATTCTCCTGGCTGTCACCTGTGTACTGGGATTACAGGTTTGCACCACACATGCCCAGTAATACCCATTATTAAATAAGCAAAATTCTGCTCCTATTTAGCCTGCATCTATGGGGGTCACCTTTTATATGAGTGTAACTCAGGGTGTTCTGTACTAATGTCCTGAGTTTAAAACACCTCCCTTTGTAGCTCTAGAAGCCATTGTTTTCTCTGCCTACTGAATCTTTGATGTGTAGCTTGGGTCAACAATCATGTGGACCTTAAACTATAACCTAATTTCAGAGACCTGGGGGATAATTCTGCACACCCTAGAATTAAGCATCTGTGCGTGTGTATGTGAGTGCGTGAGTGTGTGTTCAAAATAAGGATTAGTTAATCTAATTAAGAACTGTCTGGGCCCAAAACCATTTACTACCTTACAAAGTAAAGAAAAAAATGTTTCTTTGAGACAGGGTTTCTTTGTGTAACCTTGTATGTACTAGAATTCACTCTGTTGACCAAGCTGGCCTTGAAATCACAGAGATTCACCTGCCTCTGCCTTTTGAGTGCTAGGATTAAAGTGTTTGCCACTTAACACTCTCCTGGAAAAGGGAAAGTTTTTTTTTTAAACAAACACTTAAAATTTTTTTTAAATCATGTGTATGTGTGGACTGGCAAGATGGCTTATCAGGTCAAGACACATCCGCTGTCAAGCATGATAATTCCCAAGTTCAATCCTATAGTCCCCAAGGCAGAAGGACACAGTCCGGTCCTACAGTCCCCAAGGCAGGAGGACACAGTCCAGTTCTACAGTCCCCAAGGCGGGAGGAGAAAACCGACTCCTCTGAGTTGTCCTCTGACTTGCATACACGTGTGTGCACTACACACAAAAGTAAGTAAACCTGATTTACAAATTTCGTGCAGGTGTGTTTGTGCATGTGCGTGGAATGCCACAGAACACAGAAGAGGGTGCGGCTCGTCTGGAGCTGGGGTCTCAGGCCGTGGGAGCCACACTGATGTGTGCTAGGAATGGAACCTGGGTCCTCTCCAGGAGCAGGCACACTCGTGGCTGCCAAGCCGTCTCTGCAGCCCTGAGACAGTTGGCTTGCTGTTCGGTTTTTGTCTTTCCAATGGAGATATACGAAAATAAAAACCAGGAAATAGTATTTGTTTTACAAACCTACCACCTTCTCTGCCACCTGAAAAAATAGGGATTTTGAGCTTTTAGTATTAAAAATATTGTAAAATTCAAGGCCCACATGGCTTCTTGGGCACTGGTCCAGGTTAACAAAAGACTTGAATTCACTAATAAAATTTCTACTGAACTTAAAGATATGTGCACATAGAAAATAATTGTACATGTGACAAAATTAGATGTTAAAGGTAAGTGTGTACCTTGACATTTCCAAGAATGTTTTATAATCTGAAAACCATATGACCTGACATAAACTTTGCTAAATCTAAAAAGTGGTACAGAATTTATCTATTTATTTGCAGTGCTGGGGGTTGAACCTAGGGCCTCATACATGTTGTATTGTAAGTGTGACACCACAGTCACATCCCTAGCACAGTAGCTAAAGCTTCTCATGTGCTTTTCTTTTTGAAATGGAGTCTTCCTGTGTGCCCACGCTATCACTGAATTGACTATCCGGCTGAGCTGGTCTAAAACGCCTGATCTACCTACCACATCTGCCTTATAAAGCTTTGCAATGACATCCAATATGTTTAGAATATGGTAGGGGCTGGGGACTTGGCTCATCAGTAAAGCACACTGGCTGTTCTTGCAGAGGACCCGGGTTCAATTCCCAGCACTCGCACTGCTGCTTACAAGAGTCTGTAACTCCAGTCCTAGCGTATCCGGTGCTCTTCCCAGACAAAGACCCACATTCTGACAAAACACACATTCAAAACACCCAGACACATGAAATAAAATAATGATAATTATTTAAAAATGTAAAAAAAGTTGGGTAGGCTGAGATGCCTTGTGAGGAGCACAGAGAGACGGCATTTCTACAAGTGTATCAGACTTGAAAATAAACCCATAAGCAGGATTATTTTAGCAATATTTTAAATGTTTATAAAGCCACATAGCAAACACGCTAAATCTGCAGATAATTAGAAAGGGTATTGACTTACGATTCAGCTATGCAAACAGAGAGACCTTGGCATACACTAAACACCCAACTGTAAGTACTTCAAGAGAATACTTAAGGTAGGACCCTGCCGGGGGATGTCTTCAGAGCCAAGGGGAGGGGATTTCAATGGTTCCCTTTGTGTTTTAACAGCAACAAAAATTACCCTGGCTTGCCTCCTGCTACACTCTACTCCCCAAGGAACTCACCTGTTAATGACTGTAAATAAACTCTGCACATTAGCCCTTACCTACACTTTCAGGACAAAAGTGCCCCAAGTGTCTGATCAACCTCAAAGTCAACAGGCATGTCACTGGGTATCTTACAGGAAGGACAGAGGAGATGGCCTGAGTGGCTTCATCCTGGTCAAGCCACAGCAAGTCCAGCAAATAATGGGATGTAAGAACTTTTAAAAACATGTGGGTTTTGTTGTTGTTTGTTTGTTTACCTTTTGAGACAGAGTCTCTCTATGTAACCCTGACTGGCCTGGAATTCATAGAGATCGGATTGCCTCTACTTCAAGATTGCTGGGATTAAATATGCGTGCCATATTTGGCAAGATTTACTTTTTACAATTCTTACTTATGTGCACGTGCATGTCTGTGTGATAGTATGCCACTTGTAAGCAGGAGCCTAAAGGCCAGAAGCTGAGTTGCTACAATGGTCCCTTTTATTACCTGGACCTGTATAGCAGCTAATAGCCACAGGTGCAGCTAGGATGAAAGGTCTGCTGTGAGGGTAAGACGCACAACACATCTGTAAAGCTTAGTATAAAAAATACACTATCTTATTTAAATATTTGCCTTTTTTTTTAAATGTTGAAATAGTATTCGGATATACTGGTTTAAATGAAACATAAAATTAATTTCACGTGTTCCTTTCATTGTCCAAATGCGGCTCCCAGGAAATCTAAAAGCACCTAAGTGCCTAGGACATTTGTCTTGAACAGGCAAAAGCACAGCTACTGTGGACTAGCAACACTTGGGAGCTTGTTAAAAATACAGATACCCATTTTTTTAAAAAAACAATTGCGGACCATCAGTCCCAGATCCAGAATCAGTATCGACACCTCCTCACGACCCTGGGATAATCAATCTTTCTCATGGTTCAAGCATTCCACCGGACAGCTCAAGGAAGGGGGCAGTCCCGACCCAAGGCCACACACACCGCTGCGGACACCACCCCTGATTGAGGAAACTGCTTAGCGGAAAGGTAAGGGGAAGGGGAGAAAGCATCAGAATCAGTTACAGGGAGAAGCGGCTGGGGGCCGGGTGGACTCAACCCGGGAGAAAGGCAGTTCTAGGCCTTTGCGGACCTATCCACCACGGTCGGGAGCTGTCCGTCAACTCCAGGATTACCCCCGCCTCGCCGCCCCCAGCGGACTCAGCCAAGCTAGGCCTGGGCCGGAGCAGCTCTGAGGTCGGCTTGGATGCAAAGCACCAGCCGCCCCCCCGACCCCCAGGGCTAGGCAGCTCCTTCAGGCGTTTCTCCATCTGTCGCCCAAAGTCCCATTCCCCGCGACACACACCGCTCAGTCCCAGCTCACCTGCTTCCGAGCAACCTCAACCGCCAGCGCCTTCGCCGCCGCCTCCGCCACCTTCCCAGTCCTTCTGCAGAGAGCCCGCCCTCTCGGGCCCAAACAGTACTGCCATTGGCCAGACTGCCCGTCATACCGCAGGGGAGGCGGTGACGAACGCCATAGCAACCGAACCCGGAACTACAACTCCCGGCATGCTCTTCTCCTCGGCGAGGCGAGGCACCACCCCGAGGGACCACCAATAAATGGGAGAAGCAGGGTTTCGCCCAGACGGGTTCCGTTTTATGCAAATCACAGCGAAAGGCCACACCCTTCCTCATTCCAACCGTGCCCCCTACCATCTTTCCTCATTCTTTGTCTCGCCTCGCCCCTTCGTCTCCGCGTCCTTTCTGCAAGCCCTTCAGTTTAGTTGAATGGATCCTAGCCACTGTCGAGGAGCAAAACACCAAACCGTGAACCAAAAATCTCCACACGCACAGTCGAGAAGCCTCTAGCTACGCCTTTTTGGGAAAGAGACAAGGGAGAAGGGTGTGGAAAGCCCTCTGGCCCGCTTGATTGGTTTATCTGGCTGCCACTCTGTACACCTCTATTTCCTTTGGCTCTCCCCATCCTTGCCCCGCCCGGGAGGGCGTGGTCACACGGGGAGGCCGGGCGAGGAGGGCGTGGCCTCCGACGTCCGATTGGCAGGCGGTTTATCCCCGCCCACCTGTGGGCGGAGCGGAGGGCTGGCTGGTGAGGGGGCGGGGGGAGAGGGGAGGCGGCGGAGGGAGATGAGGAGATAGGCGGGAGCGAGGGAGCCCGGGAGCGAGAGGACTGGAGCGGCGCGGGGAGGGCGCGCAGCTTGGTTGCTCCGTAGTACGGCGGCTCGCGAGGGAGCATCCCGAGCGGGCTCCGGGACGCCCGGGAGCGGGCGGGCGGGGATGGTGTGCGCGGCTGCGGACCCTGCGTCCCTCCGCGCGGCGTGCGGGCTGCACTGATTTGTGCGAGCGGCGGCCGCGCGCACCCGCCCGGAGATGAGGTGAGGAGCTGACGCGGGCGGCCTGGCGCGCGGGCGGGGGTCGGCGATGGCCGCCCGGGGGGGGTCGGGTCCTGCGGCCGGGCGCGCGTCCCCGCGGCCGCCGTCGCCGGTCGGCCTCGTCTCTCTCATCTCCCCCACCTCCCCGGGGGGCCGGCGGGCGGCGGCGGGCTGCGGCGGCCGGACGGGCTCGGGCTGAATGGGCGTCCGCAGCCGCGGCCGGTGCTCCCGAGGGGGCGTCGCGGCGGGCGGGCGGGCGGTCCTTCCACAGCTGACCCCTCTGCCCTCGGCCGCCGCGGGGTGGCGGGCCGGCCCGGCCTCCCGGGGATCCGGGGCTCGGGGAGCGGCATCGCGCCCCCCGCCGGTTCTCTCCCCCCACCCCTCGGCCTCGAGTCCCCCGGCTCGTCCTTCTCCTTTCTTCCTCCGGCGTCTGCTTGGAACACCCTGTCAGTGAAGGGCGGTCAATGCCGCTCGGCCCGGAGCGATGCGGCCGCGGCTGCCTCCGATGGCATGTAGCAGAAAGCGGCTCCCTTTGCAGCGAGAGCGCGTCCCCGGGGTCGGACGAAGCTTCGTCCTCCCTTGCGCACGCACTGGCTCGGCTTTCTGCTGTGGACCCAGGGCACCGTTGCGGTCCCTTCTTGGGGGAGGTGGGGGCAGGATTCCCAGAAAAAGGAAGGCAAGGAGGAGCTGGCTGCACCGCCCTTCACTTCCGATTGCCTTTGGTTTGGGAGACAACTTCGCGGATCCCCTTCCCTGCCAGTGAGCAGTCTATTGTGATTCAGACTACGGGCTTGGCTTTGGAAGGGGTAGACAGACCGAGCGGCTTCTTGCCGCAGCTGGAGGGTGTAGAGATGTTCGGTGGTGGCATCTTGGATGGTGGAAGTTCCCAACTTTTGCCCTCCCTCCCTCATCACCGGTATTCGGAGAACAGAGCCAGCCTGGAAATGGAAACGCGTGCAGGCTCCGGGCCGATGCCGGTTCTTTTGTGCGGATCTGTTGGTGTCTTCCTCTTGGTGCTTAGGTGGTCACAAACAGAATAACAGGACTCTTGATTGATAGCAGCGTAGAGGATGAAAGCGTAGGGGCGAATGTCTCTGGAAAATTATCAGTTCTGTTTTCGGGGAGACCGCTTCCCTAATCCCGTTGAACTGATGAAGAGAAAGGCTAGCTCATGGATTATGTAGTGGACAGGATGTGAGGGCAGGAGCGAGGGCCAGGAGCCAGCAGGCCAGTTGCTTTGCTGGGCACTTCTCTGACCGCGGCTAACAGGAGCAATTTATTTGTTGGGATACTTTTATTTTTAGATGACGTTAGCGTCAAGCATGCAGACATTTCAACAACCGTTGTCATTTCTGTTGTTTACATTTCTTTACTAGTTTGCCCGAAGCTTTTGTGTGTGTGTTTGCGTGTAACTTAACGTTTTAGAAAGGAAACTCTTTTGTAGGAGATATGTAAAGAACTCAGGAAGTTATAAGGGATTTAAATTAAGAAGTGAGGGACTCTGATTTGGTGACGGGGCTAAAGGCATTCCCTGCACCTTTAAGCCACAGTAAGGAGCCTTTCTGAGAGGACGTGTTTTTTTTTTTTTTTTTAAAAAGATAGTTACTAAAAAAGTGCTGAAATTGCTGAGGATGGTGGTACCGTCACAAAACTATTATTATTCTGGCTGAGTAAGAGAGGAAATGAACACATTTTTTTTTTATGTACTTTGGAACCCTGTAGCTTGCTCAGATGGCCAGCGTTGTGAGACAGGGCATAAAATGAGTGGTGGCAAGTTAGTTCCCTGAAATGTTTGTCCCTCAGCATTCCCCCCCCTTTTTTTTTTTTTTTTTTTTGCTGTTGACTAGCAATTTCCTTTTTCTCTGGGCATTCTTTATCTTTCCCCTAAATACCTAGATTGAGACACACCCTCAAAACACTTAGAAGAGATTAAAAGAGAGGCCCTTGTAAATTCCTCGACTCATGCCTTTTCTCTTTGGTGACTGAGCCAGGGTTTGGAGCATGGCAAGCATGCGCCCTGTCACCTGGCCACATCCCCCAGCCTCATACTCATCTCTGCATGTGGCGCTGGCATTCCAACCTTGGGCCTTGTGATGATGGCAAGCTCTGTGTTTAGTCTCCCATCTTTTTAGTTTGCTACATTTGTGACTTGTAGAAAATTAAGTAGGTGAGTGTTTGGGTTATGTTCTCTTTTTAATGACTCCTTCCTGAATGGCTCCACTTTTTAACTGGCTCCGTTTTGGAGTCTGGACCTCAGATAGCTTTGCAGAAACGGTAGCAGGTTTCTGTCTCTCTGCTAAGAATCAGACAATGGGAAGTAGTCAGTATTTTCAATATGTTTTCTAGGAATTTCTCCAGGGTAGGAAGATCTGGAGATCCTTGGCAGTGTGCTTATTTCTTACTGAGTGTCTCCTCAGACTCTCTCCTCAAGTGGATAGCAAGCTTTTCCCAAGTGGCAGACGTTTTACATGTTAGTTAGGCTGCTAGTAAACTGCCGGCCATGATCTTCAGGAATAATTGTGCCATGATAAATGTTTCAGAAGGGTAGAGTTTGTGTTACTGTGGTCTCTGTAGAAACTAAAATAGTTCCTGGAGGAACACTCCCTTCCATCATTGCTGAATGAGTGTGTGAACCAGATTGCAATGAGCCTGGTTGTTTAGGCCTTTACCTCCCAAGTTAATTGCATTACAGAATAGTCACAACCACTGTATACCAGTCAGTTCAGATAGCCTGACTAATATTGAATGTTGTAGAGTCTTTCTGGCTAATACGATGGAAGGAAGTCTAGCAAAAACAGTGGCTGATCATTTCATATGCCATTTTTATAAATGATGATAATCCTAATAAAAGTCATTTCCAGAAAATATAGACAATGCTTTCCAACTTATGACATATGACCTTCACTCATTTACCAAGACTGCCACTGTGCCTATAAATCACAGGTTTTATGTGAGAGCTAGGTAGTTAGGTTGCTGAACTCTGGGGTTTTATCACATATTGTCAATGACTCAGATGTAGCCACCAAACCTCTCAGTACCTCAGTTTTCTTTGCTAAAAATGGGAAGAATGATAGTAGAGTTTACATTCCCCTAAGTAGGTCAGGCTTGCCTCCAAGTGCTGAGATTTAAGCATGTGCCACCTTGTCCTACACTTGAACAAGTCAGTTATTAAGTAGTGGTTCACACTGATGATAAAGAATTGCAGTATATAGTACACAAGATTTGAAAACTAAAACGTGATCTCTGCATTGCTTTATTTTGTGGTCACAAGTAGAAACTCACTTGTTTGCAAAGGAAGTCTCTTGATACTTTCTTGGTACTAAATATGTATACTTAATAAGCTACCAAGGATTATGTATATGTAATTATAAAATAAAGATAAATCTCATGATCACTTTCATCATAATTATATTACTTTAGAATAAATCTCGGCCAGTTTAGAGTGAATAGCTAATAGCCTTTGTGTTTAAAAACATTACATTTAGAAAAATTACAAAACAAACAAAAAAAATGCAAGGAAGCTATGAAATACCCATAAATCAATGACCCAAGTTATACATACCGGATCATTTTTGTGTGTGCATATGACTGCTCATATGCAGCTTTTGATATAGATCTGGGGTCTTTCTGTGCATGTCTGGCTCCCCTCCCCTTCTTCAAGGTCCTATCTAGCCTTAACTAGCCAGGAACTCACTGGGTACAGAGCAGGCTGGCTCCGAACTTGCAATGATTTTTTTTCCTACAGCCTGCCTAAGAGAAGCACTAAAAAAAAAAAAAACCCTCCCACACTGTCTAGGACTTGAACCCTGGGCCTCACACAGGGCACTGAGCCGTTGTCCCAGCTGCTTTCTTTTTCTTCTCATTCTTTTCCTCTCTGTCTCAGAGAATGTGTCTTGCTGTGCGGGCCAGGCTAGCCTCAGCCTTGCAAAGATCCTCTTACCTCTGCTCCCCTGGTATTGGAATTCAAGCACACACCAACCACCATACCCAGCTCATAGATTTACTTTTTAACTTGTTTTCTCAATCTCTTAAAGTTTTCCCGTGTCTATATTTGTCCATTTGATAGCTGGATAATAAACCACTTTAGACATTAGTGTGTCATTTTCCGCCCTTGTTAACAGTATCGCTGCAATGACTGGCTCTCCTTAAGTGTTTCTTCTTCAGTTTTTTTGGTATTTTGTTAATTCTTAAAGAAATTTTATGTGTTTTGCCTGCATGTATTTTTTGAGGAGGCCAGAAGAGGGCACCAGAGCCCCTGGGACTGGAGTTACAGCCGGTTATGAGCCACTATGAGGGTGCTAGGGATTGAACCCTGGGTTCTATGGAAGAGCAGTCTGTCTCTCCAGTCCCCTGTGGGCATTTCCAGGGGAGGTAGCTCACTGGGCAAGGTGCTTTCTGCCCAGGCATGAAGCACTGAGTTCAGATCCCCAGAGCCGACACGAAAGCTGGGTATAACGATGTGTGGAAGACTCACTGTAAGATAGAGGCCAGCCTTAACCCCAGAGCAGGGGCCTGGGAAACCCCTGGATCTGCTGGCTGGACTAGCCAAAGGAAAAGCTCTAGTTTTAGTAACAGACAGTCCCCTAAAATGAAGGTAGAAGAGCCACTGAGGAAAAGCTCTCTCAGTGTCAGCCACATACCCCTACATGGATAAGTGTATCTTCACACACTAGTGCGGGAACATACATACGTCAAAGGTTTCGCAAAGCCTAGGTTCTAGTAGCGCTTGGAGAATCAATCAAGGTGATGCTAAAATCTTTCAAGACAGGGTTTCTCTGCGTGACAGCCCTGGCAGTCCTGGGGCTCACTCCCTCTGTAGGCCTGGAGCCCTCGCTCAGAGATCCTTCAGCTCTGCCTCCTGCATGCTGGGAACAAAGAAGTGCCCCGCCACCACCCGGTTTAAGACTCACGTATTCATTAACAGTTTCAGACACATACGTGTGGTCGTGTCCCCATCCTCCTCTCCTGTCCTCTGGCCCCTCATCCCGTCATTACCAACAAGT